GGGGGGCGGGAGGGGGGAAGAAACGGGGGCCAGAATGCAAGGCGAAAGGCAAGGCAAGGCATGACGGTGCGTGACAAGGCAATAGCCGATGGCGGGCGTCCCATCTCTCGACTGGTGACGGCACCTCCGCCGGCTTCCCGCGGTCGTCCTCTCTTTCTCTCTCTCTCTCTCTCCTTGCGCGCGCCGATGGACCTGCTGATCCTCACAGATGCAGTCGGTCGATTCGTGTCGCGCCGCCCGTCGTCCGTCACAAGCCGCGTTTGGAGCTTACTTCATGCCCCGACAGGCAGCGGCGTCATGGGCTCCTCCACGCGAGCTCTATCGTCGTCACCGACTACTTAGCCCCCCACCACGACCACCGCCGCCGCCGCCGCCGCCGCCGCAAAACCCCGATCAAACCAAGGTCTGCGCGCTTGATGTCTCCCGCTGGCGGCAATGGCGTCCGGCATTGGCACTTGACATTGTCGCCCCGCAAGGGCGCCTCCCGCTTTGAGGCCTGAGGCGCAGCCGAAACATCGACGGGCTCCGTCTTACACGCACTCGACCGAGCATAACAAAATGTGACAGAACTCTAACCAGCACGTCGCCGAATATAGCATCTGTTGACTTCCAAAATGCCTGGGGGCGCGGCGGGAAAGGATGAGCCCGCTTGCAGGCCCTGGCCCCAGAGCCTGCAGCCCTTCCTTGGCCGTTTTTAGCGCGCGGCCCCGGAGGTTATGTGCGATTGTTGCAGGGCTTAGGGCAGGCGTCCGTGGTGCGCGGAAAATGCTCCATCTAGTTAAACGTCGCGGACGAGGTTGACGGAAAACAGCGAGGGTTAGGGCGCATCGTGTGGAGCGAGGGGGTGGGGGGCTGGCTGGGCTGGCCGGGCTGTGGTGTTCCTGGTTGCATCCGCGCCGTTGGGCCTCGACCGTCGTGATCAGTCGACTGACGATGGCTGCCGTCAGCGCCGTGCAGTCGTTGACCAAGGACTTACTTCTCAACGGTGCCTCCCCCCCCAAAAAGGCGCAGCCCGGTCTGATTTATTGCGGAGCCGCGGCTGCACCGCCAACTCAAGCGGGCAAAGCAATGTACTGATCGCGCCTGAAAGGAGCAGGTGCGGCCGGGAGGGCCGTCTGCCATAAGCAGGAGCACATCGAGTCTGCAGGCAGGCAGCACAAGGAGCACACGATGGCGTTGGCAGGGCGGGCAGGTCGATTGGACTGCGCCGCCATCAGCTAATACTGGGGACCTCACAAGCAGAAGCATCGCATGCATCCGCGGCAAGCCGTTGCCTTTCCCCCCTCGCTTTGTTGGACGATTGGGGCTGGGCCGGGGGGTGCCGCGGTACGCTTGGGGAGGGTGCATGGGCTGTCTGGCTGGCCGGGCGGCGGGCTGGGCTGGGTGGCTGATCGCGCTGCGGTTGCGGCAAGGCAAGGCAAGGGTAAGGCGAGGCGGCGGATGCGGCAGCAGCCCGGCGCGTGCGCCAGTGCGATCAGGCGGGGGAGATCTGGAACTCGAGGTGATCGTGAGGCCGCCGCTCTGCCTACGCTCGCCCGGCCGGCGGCTGACTTGCGTGCACCACCCCTCGGGTCCTGTCGGCCGGCCAGCTGCGACGCGGTGCATCCATGCATGCAGTGCGCGCGCGCGCAGATACATCATCATGGCAGCAGCGCAAAAAGTCAGGCACGCGCGGCGGGTGCGCCCAACCGCCGCGCATGCTCACCGCCGCTTTGCGGGATTCGGCAGCAGTGGCTGGGGCTGAGACGATTGACAGGCAACGGTGCGGGCATCTGGGCCGCAGCCGGAGTGCGGGGGATGTGAACTCAAGGGGGTTGCCGCGAGATGGGGATGGGCGTGGGCGTAGCGCCCGTCGACAGCGGGCGAGGGCTGGGAGCTAGAAGGCTGGGCGGAAGAATGCCGTTGCGCGTCTCAACACCAGGCCCGGCGGGAAACACAGGCGCCGCATCGAGGCTGGCGGCGCGGCGCTTCCCAAACAGGAGGACGGTCCCGCGCCGTGGATAGATTATTGGGGGGGGTGTACACACATGCTGGGGGTTGGCGGTGGGTGTGCGGCGGAGGATGACGGGGGGCGTGCTTTTTATTTATCTCGAACGATCGGGACAGCCCATGCAGCCTCGCAGAAATTGCGGGCCGTCCCTATCTCGGGGCGAGCACGCATATCGACGAAACCGTCGGGCATTCTTCAGGCGCGCGGGAGGCCGGGCGGGCGGGGGCGCCGGGGGCTGGCTCCTCAGGCGCGGGCATGCGGCGCCGCGCCGCCCGCGCCCGCACCAGACCGTCGCAGCGCACGCGTGGTTGACCGGTGGTGCGCAGCACCCTCGCCGGGCGTTGTGGATGGGGATGGGATGACCGCAGGCAGCATGACGAAGCGCTAGGCCGTGCAGCGGACAATCAATTAAACTTTTCTGCTTGCTGCGGACGGGCACAACCTCCCGAGCGTGCTTGGGTGCTTGGCCGCGGCGGGCAGGCGCAGGTGCAGGGGCAGCAAAGCTCCGGGGCAGCCAACGCGTATCCACACCCACTCGTCCTCCCGGCCCGCGCGACGCCCCCTGCCCGCCCCATCAGTTAAATCCGAATTTTGCATGGCTCGCGGTCACATGATGCTCTCCCATATGCGAGTGTCCCGCTAGTTCGAGCCACCCTCGGCGGTACCCGGGCGTTTCAGCTGCCTTGATTCGCACCACATTGCCGCACCAGCAAGTACGAGAGAGTGACAACTCATTCGCTTTTACACGATCGCCCGCACGCCAATGCGCTGCGCCGCCCTCCGTCCGAGCGGCCAGTTGCACCACCTGTGCGCCAGAGCAAACGCTCCTCGAGCCCACCGCCTCGCTGCGCTCACGCGGCCGCCCCTTCTTCGGCGGCGCCGGGCTACTCATCGCCCTCGGCGCCGCTGCCGTCGCCGCTCGACGGCGCGTCCGGCATGACTACGCTGTTGAGGTACGTGATCTGCATGCACCGCAAGGTTAGCCACTGCTCTAGCGGTGATGTGTCCACCGCGTTGCTCTGCCGCTGCTGCCCGTGGTTGGCCAGGCCCAATCCACCATCATCCCCGCCAGCGCGGCAGACGGCAAAAATAAGACAGGTAACATTGTAAGCCTGCCGCGCCCCGGCTGACACTTCCGCCGTCTCTGCCAGGCTTACCGGCCCGGTACAGATGACTTCGGCGATGTGTTGTCAGCCCAGACACCGCCTGCTCCCCGTTGCGGAAACGCGCGCCTTCCTTGGCGCCTAAGCATGTCGATAGACTGGCAATAGACTCTCGGCCTTCCAGTGCTGCTGTGCGGAGAGAACTTACAAATGGCACCATGCATGCGATCAAGTCAGCTATCCGCTGCAGTCCTCCCGCTCCCACAACCGCCCTGTCGTCCAGCTTCGTGCCAATCGTGAAGCTGCGCAACCGCAGCAGCTCAATGTCTCGATGGTCTTTCTCGTATCCTTGAGGCCTAGTGAACGCACAACTGTTAGCATCGCTCCAACGAGACACGGCGAATCAGACGCCTCATAATTAGCGTGAACAATCCAGGCATCCAACGTGGCAAGAGATAGCCGTTTCAGCGCCGGTCCGGAACTCGATGTCGTCCGAGGAGCCTGCGCGCGTGAGCTGTCCAGAGCGCCAACCGGACGCCCCGTGGGCCCGACGCTCGTGGAGGCTATTTCGTTTCCACTCAACCGCCACCTCCTTCGCCTCGATAGGGCGGACCTGGCTCTCCCAAAGGAATCTAAACTGCTGTTGGGGTTGGATGGTGGCTTCGGACAATGACTTGCTAGTGAACCGAGCCCACGGGAGCCTCCCCCACTAGAGATAGCCGTTCCATCTTCAATAGGGATCCCTCGGCAGAGAGCAAATTTCATCACTCCAACTCCTTTTACTGCTGCTCGTGTGCTTTCACTGTGCGAAAACACCCGTTGCGACCCTGGGCTGGTGAGGAATGTACCCAGTGCTTTGGCATGCCGATGACGCGTCGAACGACTCCCGACCCCCAACTCGCACTTCTATCATCAACAACATCATCGGACGGCTTGCTGCCTTGCCTTCGTGCTTCCGATGCCTTGGACTGTCGTGTTGGGGAGTTTGGAGAGATACTGACCTGACCTTGAGTGCGCTTTCAGCATTCTTCTTCGTAAAGGCTCGCACCGCTGCCTTCTCGTCGTTCGGAATCCCATCGAAGAATTCCTTTCGGATATTCACATCGTTCAAGACACGCTTGATCTTGTGGGGCTTGAGATCGATCTCACGCCTCAGCCTTTGGAGGCTGTCCGCTGCGGGCATCCAGAGGCCGCCACCTAGACGAGTCGTCAGTCAGCGAGACGCGATCACCACACACTCAAGCGCAACCGAGCGACTACAGGGATCGGCAGAGTGATAACAAAGGGGAATTGACGCGATGGACGGCCAGCGTGACATTGTCAGAGCCTCTAGGTTCGTCCACACTAGATGACTCGTCCTTCGCGCAGTTCACGACTCCAAGCGACTGGGCTAGTGCGGCTTCGACAGGAAGCAGTCAAAGTGCCTCAGAGACTTCGTGGATTGCCTTCCACGCTCGTATCGACGGCAGTTATTGTGCTCCATCGTACACGAGCCAGTGGTCGTCCGATGGGTGGCCGGAACCAACGGGTTCCACGAGGTGGCGAATGTCCCATGGGGCCGTCTGGGGAGTCCATCCATCTCTTCAACCCCTCCGATCTTCTGGATACCTTCAGAGAGCGGTCCCCAATCCCTCTTGTTGCTCCCTGCACCCTGATATGCACAATGCGCCGTAACTGGCCGGGAGCGCGACAGACTAGGCCATAGGGGTCACTATTGCAGTATCTACCCATTGTCCTAGAGTCGACGGATAGGGACACCCTGGCACAGGCTGGTAGCAGGGTCTTCTGAACCATGATCCAACGTTGTGCAACAGAAGATGCAGCAGACGCTGCAAACGCAAGAGCCGCGACCCCAGGATTGATCCGTCGTGCGAACGCCGTGGCCTCCCGTTTTGGGAAATGAGAAGTGAAGCCTAACAACTTCCTGTTGTGTCGTGGACTAATGAACCGGTGTTGCAGTAGGTTGAATCCTTTCGATCGAACAAATCGCGGTGAAGACCTGGGCAGAGCGAGTTGCGCCGCCGGACGCCGAAGGAGCGGTGTAGCAGTTGAGCTTTCACACCAAGTTCTGTACAATCGCTTCAGAGACAGGACACCCTCTCTATCGATGAGGGGTGCTGCGAGTGGGCTGAGGACAACGATCGTGGGGTTTGTCCTCTGACGTCGTAGGCTCGTACGCACACCGCTCAAACACGATTGGCCACAACAGGGTCACCAGCCGAAGCGAGCGTACCTTACTCGAGGATTGACGACGGCGTTACAGCGGAGCGACATACGCACATACTGGCATATGGGGAGACGGCGTTGGCGTTCGTGACGATAGGAACGGTCGGTAGATGAGGGCAAGGCAGCTTGTGGCGTTGTTGCACGGCATTTAATTGCCCGAGCTACATCGTCTGCTGACCATTTCCATCGTCGTCCGACTAGGTTCTGGCGAAGCAAACCATTGGCAGGGGTTGCTTCATCTGGGCCGCGTGGATGTCGTACAGCACTGACAGACGGCTCCAGCTCTTGGCGCCCGCAATCAAAGGCGCGTGGCTTTCTGCCGACCACAAGCGTAGCGTGGGAAGGTCTCACAACCCGTAGATCCCGCGCAAGGCGGTTTGGCCGAAGGTTTGTGTCCCTTGCGTTACGGGTGGCCAGAGAGGGTTGCACAGCAGCGCGCTGTCGGAGACGAACCGTGGCGCATTTTGCGGCTCATTTGGAATTTGCCCATGCAGCCTGCAACGCTACTGCAGATGGACCCTTGTCGACATGCTCCGCTTCTCATCCACAGGGGGGCGATCGATGTGTGATAACAACCTTTGATAGAGCTGACTTACCTACGAAATTGGCGTTCGGCTCGATATGCACGTAGTATGCTGCATATGGCCCTTTTCGGCCGGTTCGGGACCTAGAAGCGGCTCAGTGAGTGGTGTTGCAAGGCGGTTTCGAAACATACCAGGCGGCAGCAAAGTGCGTCTGCTGTCTGTTAGCGTGTATCTTACAGGCCTCAGGTGAGAGTTTCCGACCTTGTACGGCGTTGGGTCAGAGCTAAATCTGATATCTCTGTAAATTCGGAAGACCTGTGCAGGGTGCATTAGCTCTGCGTGATTCAGCTGACTTGCGTTCAACACACAATGTCTTTAGTGGGCAGCTCAGGGATGGTGTCGTCTGCCTCGATGACCCTCTCCGTCAGTCGCTCGACGAATGAGTTGAAGTCCTTCAAGGATGTGCGGTAGTCCGGGTCGTGCACTGCATATAGTCACAGTACGTTAGCTTTGGACCTGGGGCGCGACCCGTGGAAGGTGACACGTGTCGGATGGCCAATGGCCTCTTGGGAGGAGACATGATGGGCGTATGACGGTGGGCTGAGCGACACGACGATAGAACTACCGGCTCGCGCGCGCCTGAGGATGGAGGGGTGCTCACTCTTCAGCCATTCGCGGTCATTGTTGCCGGCCAAGTCTTTCAAGAAGAGCATTGTATTCGGATGTATGGTGTCATCTGTATATGGCGTATCACCAGCTTCCCTGGGTTTGGGCTTCTTGATGATCAGCTTCGTGCCTGGTTCTAGGCCTGTGTCGACGCCCGCCCTCCACAATTCTTTGCCCTTCCTGCCCGTCGCCGCCGTTGCCTTCGTCATGCGGGCCGGCTTCTGGGGAAGACCCCTCTTCTTGGGCGCGGGGCATTCGTCGGAGGCATATGCGTCCCCCTCACTAGAATCGTCGGACTGGGTGCTGGACCCGATGCCGGCGACGTCCTCGTCCTCGTAGGCAGACTCGTCCTTTGCCAGCGTGTCGTCGGGCTCAGACTGCTCAGGCCCAGCGACATCCTCTGGCTCCTGCTCAAAGTACTGGCTCTTGGTAGGCGTAGCTTTGGAGCGGGCAGAGACCCTGGTCCGCTTGGACTGCCGAGTCGGCGTGGATTGCGGCGAGCTGGGCCGCTTGGAGGCAGCCGGATGGGCGGAACCGGCGGATTGTCGGAGAGAACGACGAGGCATGACTGCGGATTCGGAGGCGATTGTGCGGGCGACAGTCCGACTGGAGCGATGTGCGCGAATTCGGCGGTGTTGGTGTTCGCACAGCAAGTGGGTGGATGACGCACAGGAGCTCCTAGCTGCGACGCCTCGTCGCGTGTCCACCTGACAGGGGCGCGCGGGCTTCGCGCGGGCTTGGCCTTGGCCTTGCTGCCTTGTCTGTCAGGCTTCCCCCGGCTGCCGACAAAAAAATCTCTCCACCAGCAGGCCGCACACCGTCGCAGTTCCAGCCCGCGCGCCGCTGTCGCTCGATCCGTGCCGCGCCGCCCCCAATGGCGTCTGCATTCGCCGCCAAGAAACAACGCGTGCAGCAGCAGCTCGCGCAGCCTGCAGCCGACTACAGCGACGCGTCGCCCAAGGGCTCCATCGACGAGGGCATCCGCACCCTCATCGACGACATTAATGCCATTGCCGGGCTGGTGACGACGTCGAGCTGCGCCGGCCGCATCAGCGCCTTCCTCGAGGGCAGGAAGCGGGCGGCGGCGGCTGAGGGCGGCGAGCCGCGCGAAGCGCCCGCAGAGACGAGCATCGCCGGCGCAGGAGGAAAAGGCGGTGGACAGTGGCTGTTCGTGTCCCATGAGCCGGTTCCAATGCCCGCAGCAGATGCAGCTGGAGCGGGCCAGCACTTTACGGCCCTGTTCGGCCTCGACACTGCCGGCGGCCTCGCGCGCGCTGAGCACCACGCGGGCCAGCGACACGTCCATCTCAAGTTCGAGGCCATGGTACGTCCAGCATCGCCGCTTGAGTCGTGCAGCGCCTGATGAAACGTAGATATTGCACCTGCTGACCGCTTCGCTCGCGGATGCCCAAAGAGTCCTGTCGGCCGCGCTGCAGGCAGGCTTCAGGGAGAGTGGCGCGGTCGGCCTGCACCCCAACACTGACGGCTCCATCACCCCAATGGTTGCCGTCCGCTCCATCGGCCTTACATTTGACTCCGTCATCGCCTGCGAAGACGCTGCCGGTCGCATGGTGCCCGTCGTCGACGAGCAGTACCTGCAATCGCTGGTCGAGCTGGCCAACGAGCGCTTCTCGGTCAACACTGAGCGCATCGCGAGATTCCGCGCCCAGCTGCTTGCCCAGTTCCAGAAGGCCGGCGAGGGCAAGAAGGGCCATGCTGGCTGGGAGGACGCTGCAACCAGACGCGAGCGAAAGCGGGCCGAGGGGCTCGAGAATCAGCGGCAGAAGGCGCAGGCCATCGCGCAGAGCCCCTCGACACACGGCGACATTGCTCTCGACAGCATCTTCGGCTGACGGCTTCAGCGACTGGGGACTTCGATGGCGCCGCGGAGACTAAATCACTAGTCCGCTCCGCCCAGCTGCGCGGCCAATGGGAGAGTTACTAGGAGACTTAACCATTTCCATCCGCCAGCCACCCGCAGGCACAAAGTCCCCACAGCTCTACAGACAGCTTCAGCCCAGCATCTACATAGACACCTGCAGCCGTTAAATAGACCATCATCGCATCAAGATTCAGATACGCATCATTCATTCACAGCTCTCGAGACCGCAATCCGCAATCCGCAGCCATGAACGTGACCGACGCAAACCGCCAGAAGTTTGAGTATGCATACCTTGTTGCCCCAGTAGGGCCGATATCAAACTAACCATGCAAAGCGAAATGGCATCGCAGTACGACGCCAAAGACTGGCACAAGAAGATGGCCAACATGATCACTGGCGAGATCCGAAGCCGTCTTGATTGGTTTGGCGTAGACTGGGCAAAGGAGCACGATAAGAGCCGAGATGTCCGTCTCCTGGATTATGCTTGCGGCACTGGCTTAATCTCCCGGGTATATGGTCCCCGCTCGGCCGGCTGCACTCCAGAGATGCTAACTCGCCTGTTCATGCCAGACCCTTGGTCCTTATGTGACAACGATCCGCGGGATCGACCTGTCCTCGAACATGGCTGCCGAGTACAATTCTCGCGCCGTTGCTGCCGGTTTCAGCCCCCAAGAAATGTCCGCCGTCCAGGGAAACGTCGCCGCCAAGGACCCCGAGGCCCATCTGGCCGACCAGGCTCTCTTCAACTTCGACGTTGCCGCCGTTGGGCTTGGATTCCATCACTTTGATGACGTCTTCCTTGCAACCAAACGCATCGCTGAGCGGTTGAAGCCTGGCGGTGTATTCTTCATCGTCGACTTGGTCTCCGAGAAGCCACATGACATACCGCCCGAGCTCAGGGACTACGTCAAAGTCTTTGGCTTCAACGAGTCAGGAATGCGCAGTCTTTTCGAGGGAGCAGGCCTAGTCGATTTCGGCTTCAGTGTCATAGAGCAGCCGGGCGAGATGCAGAAATCTTCCGGAGAAAAGTTCACCGTGACACTGTTCGTCGCCAAAGGAAGAAAGCCTACGGACTGATACTCGCGAGACGCAGTTCAGATTGTTTTCGCTTAGTTTTCCAGGTCGTCATCCGTTTCTCTTTGCTTTATACTCACTTGCACAACGTACCAAATATATGACACTCTTTTTCGGCCATTAATGAAAGCGACCCGCTGTGTGTACATACTACATCCATCACTCCATCATCGAGATCAAGCGACTCAACCCAGATTTCGCTTATCTCGATCAACACATGCGGCTGTGACCTTCGTCAATTGACCGACATCGCAGCCAAGATTTTCCCGGAAAAGACCACGCTCTGTTGTACTCGTCCTTGCGAGAATGTGCCATTGGAGGCGTCAACTTTTGGTTACACCCCAACACTGTGGACACATGACTAGGTTTTACAAACCAGACTTAGAAGTGAGGTCTTCGAAACCAGACGCATCGTACACGTTTTAACGATGTTTTAGCAATGATGTTGACAGAATGGATGGAAATCCTACCTTTTGTTTATCGCGACCGGGTCGGAATTTTAGCGTAGAACGGAAAGGCAAAGCAACGCGGTACGCAACAAGTTGTGAGAACACCGGCTAAGAGTTGGATTTTGGATCAATCTTTTACAAATGATGATCAGTAAGATTAAAACTGCAGTCCAGTAGGTTTTGTCCGTAGCTTGGTGTTAGATAAAGCTGGGTTACGTAATTGTGGCATTGTTTGGCAAACGAGTGCTGTCAGCAGCACGATCGCAAGCCACAGTGGGGAACTGTTCAAGCTTCATACAACCTGATATTGGGGGCGACAAATGCGATTCTTCTTTATAGCCACCTCGGCTTCGCTGCCTAAACTTAGAGTGACTTTCGCGTGCGCGGAAAGGAGCTTACTTGACCATGTTTTTGTCCACTCACAATGGAAGATAGGGAGTTGAAAGAGACTCCAGCATCCACACCTCAAATGTGAGATATGGACACACTTGGAAACTCTAAGACCTTGCGCAGACATTCTTTCCTTATTATCCTGAACAAACCCCCTACAAACCACTGATACGTACGTAAAAACACCAAAGTAAGAAGAATAAAACAAACTGCATCAACCATGGCATCCCGCCCCCCTTCTTAAGATCATCATCGCCGGCGTACGCCCTCCATCCATCCCACAATAAAGGAAAACCACATCCAACCGGTTACGTGGTTTGAAGAGCGACGATCCCACGACAGGACGGCAAGCCTGGCTTCTCGGTCGTCATCTCGTCCGCGGGCGACTGGACGCGGCGCGTGATCTCGACGCCGCCGAGGTCTCTGTACGTCCGCTCCGGGCCCAACCAGGGCATGGCGGCCGTCACGCGGCTCTTCATCCCGGTCGTGCTCATCGCCACGGGCAGCGGCATCGGACCCTGCCTCGGCTTCTTCGTCGGGCGCCCCGGCCACGACGTGCGCGTTTACTGATCACGCGCAAAGGGATTTGCCATTGAACACAAGGAATCAATACTCGTTGAAGACTTTCAAGAAAGAGAATGAAAAAAAGGTTGACTCCTGCGCAATGGAAAAGAAAGTCAAAACAAACGAAATCTCAACCGGATAAAGAAAACCTCAGACATGCTCCAGCACCTTCCAATCACCTTCCAACATCCTCCTTCTTCAAGAACGAAACCTTGAAAGAATTCCACTTGGCAGTATCCTTATTCTCCTGTACCGCGAAGGCTGGGCTGCCTATGCACGCGCCTTTGGCATAGGTGCTGCTGACACCACGCTTGCCCCAGATGTTCTTCCACCATCCGTAGTCGAGCTCGGTGCAATCTATCACCCTCATCAGCGCAAAATGCTCTTCTCCACCTTACTCTCAGTCTGGTTGGTGCTCACCGCCGTTGACGTAGGTCCACACGGAGAAATCGGCGTAGGTTTCGATGTCGTAGTTCATTTCGAAGTTGTCGGAGCCGCCGGGTATGGTGATGCAGTCCTCGTTGATCGTGTCCTTCGTGGCAGACCAATCCGCTACCGCGCCGCTCTCGCAGGTGTAGGAAATCGCGGCGTCCTTGCCATCCGGAATCGCGACTGCGCCGTCCCACGCACGAGCCTGGAGGGTGTTCGGGGTCGTGTCTGTTGGAGCGGCAAGAGTGACTTGCTGAAGAGCACCGATGGCGAGGACGGTGGAAATGATCGACTTGTGGAACATGATGAAGAGCGGTGGGGATTGAAAGTTGAGATGAGTGGTAAATGGAGGGTTTGCGATTGAGGTGCGATTGTAATTGATGATTGAATGGTTGCTTGGTGTCCTCCATCAAGCTGCGCATCGACGACCATATATACACATGCTTTGGCCTCATTTTCTTGAAGTGAACCCTCCATGCAACTCAATGTACATACAGTAATTCATCGGAAGGATTACATGGACTGCAGAGAATATGTTGGACTACACTAGGTTTCAAGGCCTCCGTTAGCCATACTCATCAAAGATGTAGGAATATTTCGTCCACAAACCTCTTGGTTTACCTTTTCCGAATCGTGTGGCTTCAGGCTAAGAGCAATTCAACCTTAGGGCTAACCGTGATGTGGGCCACTCAACATTGCGCAACCCGGGTCAAGCCGGCTTCGCCCCCATCTACCAACCGTCTTGTACCCGCAAATAGCTTCGCCACCAACCGGATTATGGATCTAGCTCCGTACATTTTTCTCGATTCTACCTATGCCCTTTCCCTAGACCCAAAGGAGCCGTAGGATCTAAAGACTCGCCTTTGGCATGCTCCTTCCAATCTGCCGACAGCCTCACATTGCGATAACCGAGGAAATAACTTCCTGGCCGGCTGCGGCATCGCCACGGTTTGTTCGAATGATCCATGACAACTAAGGGACTCCCGGCAAGTCGTAGTTTGGAAATTGTTGGCATCTTCCGCTTCTGCGGATCACTATGATCCAGCGAAGATCTAGTCCGCACTTTGGCGTCGATAGGGAAATTTGACATCTTCCGGGATTGTCTCGATGCTCGATCCCGAGCCCAGAAAGTTCCGTGAGAAGACCACGTCAATGACAATTCGGTCCTGTATAGAGAGTCACTGCGGAGGAGATGGACACGAGGTCAGTTGGAACGAGTTCATGCCAGAGGCCTGAATAAAGTACGGGCAAATGAGGTCGACGCTCACTGTCTAATGGAATGGTTTGTGATTGGCAATCCTGGTTGTGCGTCTGCGAGAGTACACCAAAATGGCATACCTGGTTACAGCCTACAATACACAGCAGTAGGACATTTCCGGATCGAATCAACGTACCAGCGAAACATCCGTCTCCTCAAGACACTTAGTAGAGGCAAAACAAGACCAAAAGGCGATACACGAAATCATGCAACGAAGATAACACGGATCATAAGCTTCGTATGGAATAGTTCAGTTGGCTACTTTGTTATCCATCACTGATAGGAAATCATCGCGAATTAGACATCTCATCATAAAACTTCGTTGTGCTCTTCAGATTTTCGAAGGTTGACCGTTCCTAACAAAAAATCAGTCCAAGGGTCAAGGCATTTTCTAGAAGATATCATCATCCAAAATTTGGAATAGTAGCCTTGTCGTACCATTACTTGACCCTCGCAACGAAGCAAAATTCTACGCTTACAAGTTCTCGTGGAACCAGGAGAGGACAGTCTTGTAGCCACGGGTGTATTCTTCCTTTACACGAGCATCGCTCAAGTTCGAGCTACGAATGTGTCAGTTGCTGGATCACGACCGAGTTTGCGTGCCTTGTCTTACCGAGCAGCCATGAAACCATGGATCTGGTCGTCGAATGGCTCGACGTGACCCTTGACCTTCAGACCCTGCTGCCAGGACTTGACCGCCTCCTTGTCTTCATCCTTGGACGGCAACATGAGGAACGGAATAGTGACCTTGGGGGCGTCGGCAGGGTCGACCATGGCGGGGTGCGCAGAGGCAGCAGCCTTGAACTTGGTGCCTTCTGTAGATGAAAGGTTGGTGATCTACACCCCACGTTAGCATAGTCAATCGAGCGCAACGCAGAGATGATGGTGCACCTTTCCACCCCAGCAGAAGCCGAGGATGCCCCAGGCCGCGATGGCGCTGTTCTTGCTGTTGATCTCGTCGACGACCTTGGGGATGCGGGAGATGGTCTTGGGCGGGGCGGCAGGCCCGGCGAAGAAGTCTCCCAGCTTCTTTCCCTTCTCGTCGTTGTCCGGGGGGTACCAAGAGATATCGGCAGGCTTGCCCTCGAAGAAGTCAGGCATGAAGACCTGGTATTTGCGGTCCTTGTCGGAGGTGGCGAGGATATCGGCGCCCTGGACAGTCTGGGGGAAGAAGCCGAAGATGTCGTAGATGATCAGGATAGCATGCTTGGCATCGGCAGGGCCGGTGCGGTCTAATTGGGTTGGTAAGTTGGTGCGATTGCTGCAAAGGGCGGTGCATCTCGAAGGATGTGCACGCAGAACGGGACGGCATTGACTTACAGGTTTTAAGGCCATCAATGGTGATGTACTCGCCCTTTGGCTGGTAGCCCTCGGTGACGACGGGCGGGATGGTGCAACCTGGGGTTGGCGTGAGCTCTCAGCTAGTGCGAAGGTGGGGGAGACGATCGGGTGGAGCTCACAGGCAAGGGAATGCTGAGACGCCATTGTGCAGGAAAATCTGGGGCGGACAGCAAGAGGCTTCCTGAGCGGATGCGAGAAGCAATTGATGGGGCGGGCTTGAGCTGCACGGAGGATGCGGGCGGTGTTGTTCAGGAAAGGGCGCATGGCGGAGGAATCGATCGTTACGAAGGGAAGCCGCGGTCCAGTCGGCGGAGAGCAGCCCCGCAGTCGCGACTCGCGAGATGATGTCATGCACACGCTGCTCTCGGCACCCCAACTAGGTACACCATGGATCGTTGTCACTGCCCTCTACATTCCTGCCGCCCCGCAGCTGCCCGCACAGCTAACGGTCGGCGTCTGCCCGTGCAATGATCCGCGCCACTGCCATGGCTTATCTGCATTCCATTCGCGCTCTCCTCCCACGTTGCGCATCTGCTACTTTGCCGCCGTCAGTCGCATTTTGGCTTCCCAGAGTCCCTGCCCTGCCAATGATTGAAAGCATCCTGCGGAGTATACTTTCTTTGTACCGGTTCTATCCCCCATATGACGGCCAGGACAGCCGCTGCCTCCAGCAAGAAATGAGTCGTGAACCATTCAACCAAGAGTGGCAGACTTGGTTGTCTTGATTTCAGGTAACCGCCTGCTCTTGATCCAGCCAGATCCAGGAAGACCGGAAAGTTGTCTAACGATCGGAAGATGGTGAAAAGTTCCAGATGTAGGCGAATCTCCCTCAGAAATTGGTCCAACGTTGTCTTCGGCGTCTTTGGGGCATCCAAGACCACTCCGTTGAGGTTCCAGAAGAAGATTGCCTTTTCCCCATCCTGCGGCTCGGTCCTTTCCATGACGACTACGTCTTCTCCGTCTACCGCTTCTCTACTCCATTCATGGTGCGTGTTCTTTTCGACTTTGATTTCCCTCACACCTGCACTTTCTGGAGCAGAGATGATTTGCACCGTGTCTCCGAGTCTTACGCGGATGTTTCCTTTGATAACGCGCAAGTATTCGACATGCCGTTCGTGCCAATGGAGTCCGCTCGACCAGGTAGATCCGGCGGGAAGAGTGACCACAACGTAATCCGAGTGTGAGAGGTCGTATGTGACCGCGTCGGGTAGAGGCCGTTTGATGACCGAAGTGAGTTTCGCGTCGCCGGAAAGCATTGAGAGTCCAGATTGCGTAAGAAATGGTATGGACTCGATAGAAATTGTGCATTCCGTGGATATTTGACATTGGCGCAGAACGGTCTCATTTGGCTACACTTGCATCGGTAAGCCTTATTTGTAATCCGGTTCCTCTTGGAGACTGGGTAAGCGACCATCGCAACCTGCGGAATTCTCCCGCTGTTTTTCCCATTATTCGGCACACACTGATGAAATCGGGCAGCAAGAAATTAAGGCCCACGCGTCGCGAGTTTTGTTTTCCAGGAGCGAGGGCCAGGGTCCCTCAACTCATGCATGCGTCCACTTTGGGGCTAGTACGGTCCCTCTGGCAGCACTTTCCTTGTACGACGGTTGCCCTGCACCTTCCCCGATACCATCCGCGCCTTATCTCGCCTCTCTGCTGATCTGCCCGGGCGCTCCAAACACTCACAATACGTGCGCAGCCGTCATAAGCTCGGTGCGTGCATGATTTACATCAGCAGCCTACTTACGTCTCCAAGTCAAGCCATGCCACCGTCGCCTGCAACAGCCCAACACGCGGAGCTGGATGAAGCCCTGCTGGACGCAGACCGTGGCGATCGCGCCAGCGATGCAGAGGTTGCGCCGCAGCGTGGGCGGTATACCACAAGTGCTTCTGGCCATGATTCTCGTGACATGAGCACCTCCAGCCAACCTGTGCGGATCAAAGGCGAAAGCGACACAGAAGGTGACGACGATGATGAACGAGATAACTTGCGCGTATTCGAGGCAAGACCAAGCCTCCCAGCTCCTCGGGTTGAGCACCGCTCTTTACAAGATCTGATGGGTAAGAGGCCTGTCCACACTCGTATCAACAATGCTTACATCAACACAACAGATTTGTTGAGCAAAGATTCCGTAGATATCAATCCTGAGTATCAGCGGGACGTTGTGTGGAACAAGGAGCGCATGATGGGCCTCATCGACAGTGTCATTGGTGAGTGAAATCTCTACTCCATCTCCACGCACACATCATTCTCATAGCGAACAGAAAACCACTACATCCCTCCCATCATCTTCAACCGTCAGATTTCTCGCAATCAGGACGGGAAAGCCCGCATCAAGCGTGTTTGCATCGACGGCAAGCAGCGTCTCTCATCGGTAAAGGCCTTCATGGATGGAACTATCGGCTGCCATGACCGCCGTGGATCCGTATGGTAAGCACAGCCAATAGACGTTTGAGCCTTTGTCTCTGTCGCGACGCTTACCCTTGTAGGTACTACACCCCATCATCCAATAAAAGAAGCGCTCGTACCATTCCCGAACAGACCAGAGAAGCGTTCCGGAACAGAAAACTCATCATTTATGAATACCCGAATCTTGGAAGGCTTCAAGAAGAGGACTTGTTCTCTCGTGTCCAAAAAGGAGTGCAGCTGACGACCGCCGAGAAGTTCCGAGCTACAACTGGTCCGTGGCAGGAATTCGCAGAATCCTACAAGCGCGACTTTCCCAGAGTGGGCGGCTTGGCTGGACAGAAGCGGGGCGTGGATTTCAATAACATCCTCTCATCGTTTGGCCAGATACTCGAGGTTCAGCGCAGCCTTGCCAATGGAAATCCTCCCACCTTCAGTACCCAAATCTCAACCATCAAAAGTCTGTTAAAGAATGTAAAAGACTACAATGCGGAAACGAAGGACAAACTCCGCCGGACATACATGAAACTCGACAAATTGGTTGAGATTGACCTGAGAGCATTCATGGACAATCAATATTCTCATGCGAAGCTCTTCTCGCCATTGGAATTCATGGCAACGGCGGTTCTGATATCCTTGCATTTGGAAGACGAGAGCAATCAGTTCCTTCTCGAGAGCATTCGAATCATGCGTCTTTACTTACGACAGTGCCTCAAGGACTTGCGGATGAACAAGTCGGCTTGGAACTGTGTATGGCCCTTCTTAGAGAGCCTTCGACCTCCACCTGAGCGTGAAACGCCCCCAGTAACGCCCCCCGATACATTGCTCGCAGTCCGGGCTACCATTGCTCAACGGCTTGCTCACTTAAGTCCTGCAATTGATCCAGCTCACATTCCCATAAGTGGAGACGTGGACTCTGAGCCACCCCCAACCATACTCACAGACATACCAACTGCAACGCCAAACTGTTCAGTCCAACTTTCGAATGACCGACGCTTTATCCTGTGTCGGCTGGAGGATAACCCTGGCCTTCCAAACCACAATTCACTTGGCCAGGAGAAAACATCATCTGTCAGCAGTTCGCCAGCGGATATGCAAACTCCACAGCTTGATACAAGTCAACCTGAAAACGTGGAAGCTAAGCTACGTGAGCACATCTCCGTTCCCATAGTGGACCAAACCAGTCAGATGCCCAAACCCGAGTCTACTGGTATCAGTAGGAAGAGGAAACTTGCGCGCTTTACGGCATCGGGCTCCAGTCCCCAAGGTCGTGAAATAGCACAACCTCCTAAAGTGGGCGATGCATCGACAAGACAGAAGCCTCACCCACACATGGCCCCTGGCATACTCACGGCCCAGAAAGCAGTCGACGAGACAACCACTCCTTCAAGCCGAAAGCTTTCTGCTAACTCTACAGTTGTGGCCCAAACCCAGCAGTTGAGGACGAATGGTTCAGAGCTGGTCGTCGAGATATCTGATGAAGAAACTGGTGAAGCGGCTGAGAATCTTTTGGCGAAGTTCAAGCCACATACTTCGAAGAGGGTGAAGGTGAAAGAAGAAGATCTGGATGTTTGAGAAGGTTCGGTTCAAGCCGCCCAGAACAGATTGAAGCCGAGATCGAATCCTGGTTACTCGCAGAGCGCACAGACGATCTGCTCGAGAACCCACGAACCAAAGCCCAGACAGCCCATCGGACTGCTTCAGACGTATATGACGTACTTGGAGTGCAACGGAACGAGATACCCGGCAATATTCTTGCGTGTTCCTCCATTTCAGTAGCGGAAGGATACACTTAAGGCTTATGGTTATAGCCATTAACGTGTAGCTGCTAGGTCGTGGCTCGAACGACTATGATATTTCTTCCTTCAACTAGTAGCTCATGAACAGCTCGGCTGATCTTTAGAAATTTTGTCATAGAAAGGAACCAAAGTCGGGACAAGTCCAGAGTTCCATCGGTTGAAGCTTTCGATATCTGGGATGGTTGGTTACCGGCAAACAACATGACAAAGGCATGGATATAGTCAAGCGCGGAATTGGTAGCTAATATTCGGTAGCCCGTTTTCCTCGTGACCTAAACTGATTGGTAGTACATACACACATTAGGGCCAAATGACCGTTTGCTTAGAGTATGCGACTGGAAATTCAAGTAGCCGCGGACGATCGTGAAGGCAATCATGAGATTAACACTGATCCTCGAACACACAAGGTAGGCAAACTCTCGAGTATTTATGTGTGGGAGCAAAAAGTAGTTGCCGGGTAAGAGTCAGGTGTTCCCGCGCGGACCCTGCAGATCGCGCGGGCGCGTCTGCCCCGGCACCACCACCAAGCTCCTTCGGTCGTGCGTCTTCTCCTACGCTCGAGCCGCGCCACCGACCTGCGAATGGACGCCCCAACCCTCCTCGAGAGCCTCAATGGCCCTCAGGGGTATCTCGTGCTCGCCACCGTAGCTATAACGACCCTCTTCCTCTTCACCTTGTACACGTTCGACGTTGAAGCCGCTGTCTACTACTACGTCGAACCACCGGAGCAATGCTCGTCGGGCTGGAAGGGGAGGGTTCTCGAACAGCCTTCCCTCAAGGTCCGTCTTCGCCTACCCATGTGTACACCACTTCGATCTAATTGCCTTCAAATTGCTCCAGATTGCCGGCTCCAACGACATTCAGTGCTACGCTCCCGCGACCGGCCAGTTCCTCGACCGGATCACGCCAGCCTCCGAAAGGGACATTGACGACTCGGTCGCGCGGGCAAGGGAGGCGCAGAAAGAATGGAAGACTACCACCTTTGGCGATAGGCGGCAGGTCCTCAAGACCATGCTCAAGTGCGTATACCGCAGGATGATTGTGGCTCTCAGAAGCCGGACCAAGATGCTGAGCTCATGCCAGATTTTTGCTTGAGAACCAGCGAGACATTTCCACCGCGGCGTGTTTGGATAGCGGCAAGACTCGGGTAGACTCGAGCTTCGGCGAGATCCTGGTCACAGCGGAGAAGCTCAAATGGACCATCGACCACGGCGAGAAGGCCTTGGCTCCTGAGAGCAGGCCGACAAATTTCTTGATGATGTACAAGAAGAATGAAGTCAGGTGGGAGCCGCTGGGAGTAGTGGCGGCGTGTGTGAGCTGGAAGTAAGCATACCTCTCCCTATGCGGCAGAACGGTGAAAACTGACATTGCTCTCTCAGCTATCCCGTATGAACCTTTGAGAGTCTCGATCCCGTACTATTCTGATCGCTTTGCAGTTCCACAATCTCGTCGGCCCCATCATATCAGCCCTCTTCTCTGGCAACGCCATCATCGTAAAAGTTTCCGAGCAAACCGCATGGTCATCCCAATATTTCACCCGCATAGTCCACGGTGCCCTCTCCAAGTGCGGCTACGGCTCCTTGGCCTCCGACCTCGTCCAGACCGTCGTCACTTGGCCCGACGTCGCTGGCCACTTTACTTCTCACCCAGGAATCTCGCACCTGACCTTCATCGGCTCGCGTCCCGTCGCACACAAGGTCTGCGAATCGGCCGCGAAATCGCTCACCCCCGTCTGCGTCGAGCTCGGCGGCAAGGACGCCGCCATCATCCTCGACGACGTGCGCAACCTCGAGAAAGTCGGCCACATCCTCCTCCGCGGCGTCTTCCAAGCCGCCGGCCAAAACTGCATCGGCATCGAGCGCGTCGTCGCCCTCCCCAAAGCCTACGACCAACTCCTCGACTTCCTCACCCCGCGCGTCCGCGCCCTGCGCTCCGGCTCCGTCCTCTCGCTCGAAGACTCGAGCCCCGCCTCCAGCATCGACGTCGGCGCCAGCATCTCCGCCGCCGGCTTCGCCGCCCTCGAGTCCCTCATCGCCGACGCCGTCGCGCAGGGCGCCCGCCTCGTCGCCGGCGGCGCCCGCCACACGCACCCGGACCACCCGTCGGGGCACTACTTCGCGCCCACGCTCCTCGCCGACGTCACGCCGTCGATGCGCATCGCGCAGACGGAATGCTTCGCGCCCGTCTTGCTCCTCATGCGCGCCGCCTCGGTCGCGGACGCGGTCGCCATCGCCAACGGCACCGAGTACGGCCTCGGCGCCTCCGTCTTCGGCTCCCGCGCGCAGGACCTCGACTTCGTCGTCGACAACGTCGAGTCGGGCATGGTCAGCGTCAACGACTTCGCCGTCTACTACGCCGTGCAGCTGCCGTTCGGCGGCGTCAAGGGGTCCGGATACGGCCGCTTCGCGGGCGAGGAGGGACTGAGGGGCTTGTGCAACACCAAGGCCGTGTGTAGGGACCGCTTTCCCTCGCTGGTCTCGACGGGCATCCCGCCCGAGTTGCGGGTGCCGGTGCGGGACATGCGGCGCGCGTGGGAGGTCGCGTGTGGGGTCGTCGAGTTGGGGTATGGTGAGAGTGTTGGGAGGAGGGTGGCGGGGTTGAGGAGAGTTTTGGGGGTTTAGGGGATTTGTGCTGGATGCGAATATGGGGACGTGAAGGGGGGAGAAGAGGAGGAGGATGAAGTAAAAAGGATATGGGTGCTGGGATCTCACTGTGGGGACTAGCTTGTATGCTGGAAACTAGTAGTTGTCTGTTGTATAGAATAGTGTATTTTCTGACGTTTTAAAGTTTCGCCGACTGTAAATTTAATTTCTTTTTTTTGTCAAATCGGCCGGCAGACAAGTCTCGGAAAGTGTGTATATGTACTTCACGTTACCCAGTCATTGTTGAGTCGAGTATTGGTTGGAAGTTTGCCCTGGCGTATGCAACAGGATATACGTCCTATGATGTTCGTGTTGATCGTTGTCGGCTTGCGTCGTCTTCTGCTTTACGTATGCCATGTCGTGACCACCACGGCTACCTAGCTTCAATTACCCGCCACTGTGTTGCCGAAGGCGAACTTCCAAAGTGGCTAAGAGCATGGAAGTTCCAGACAAGTTTAAAAGGTCGAGAGGGGGTTCATAGTTTGTCTACTAACTCGAGTAGGTCCCGAAGCGACGAAGTGAGATATCATACATGGAAGAGATCAGAAAAAAAAAAAGTACAATTTCGAGGTATTGTTTATGAGGCATTCTACCTATTCATACCGAAAAGTGAACAGTAAACGCCGGGATAAATCGATCACCCAGCAGCAACCATAGTACTAGAACCGGAAGCCGACCAAGGAAACGATCGTAGCAGTATCATCATTTTCTAGCAAGCTGTGAAAAAAACAAGAGGTGGAATCTAAAAAGAGCTTGGAGAAAAGGAAGTTTACCTGCCAGAGGCAAGGTTCTGGGGAGCCAAGGAGGGGGGACCCTCGGGGGTGACGTAGGCCTGCAGATATGGTATTAGATTCCAGCCTTTTCCCCTCACAGATCTACGGGTTGCTGGGGGAGAACGTACCTTGGTCATGCCGCCGTCGACGACAAAGTCGGTGCCGTTGACGAAGCTGGCCTCGTCGCTGGCGAGGAAAACGACGGCCTTGGCCTGCTCAATGGCCTCGCCGAAGCGGCCGGTCGGGAAGTGAATCTCGCGGCGGTGGCGCTTGGGGATGTCGTCGCCAAGCCAGTCCTGGAGGAGAGGGGTGCTGTGTGGGTGATTCACACGTTAGCCGCTGCGGAATTGGGAGGGGTTAGCATGAGCAATTAAGGGAGCTTACTTGAGAGGAGCGGGGCAGAGGGAGTTGAAGCGGAAGCCTTCGCGGGCGTGGACGATGGCCAGCTCACGGGTCATGGCGAGCACAGCGCCCTTGGAGGCGGTGTAAGCCAGCTGAGGGGTGGCGGAGCCGACGAGGGCGACGACGGAGGCGGTGTTGATGATGGAGCCGTTCTTCTTGCCGTGCTTGCGGAGGGAGAGGACGGCGTGCTTGCTGCCGAACCAGACGCCCTTGACGTTGATGTTCTGGGTCAGGTCCCAGATCTTCTCGGGCGTGTCGACGGCATCAGCGTCGTCGGCATGCATGATGCCGGCGTTGTTGAAGATGACGTCCAGGCCACCCCAGGCATCCAGGTGATCAATCGCGGCCTTGACCGAGTCCTCGGACGAGACATCGACAATCTTGGTCTCAATGACGGCGCCGGCCGGCGAGAGCTCCTTCGCCTTCGCCAGACCCTTCTCGAGCGCCGGGCCCGAGATGTCACACATCAGGACCTTGGCGCCCTCACGGGCAAAGAGGATGGTGGTCTCCAGACCAATGCCACTGGACTATGGTCAGCGGATGGCCAGAAAGATTGCAAAATGCACCTGGATTTGCGTGCTGAGAAGTGCATGGAGATCAGGCGAGATGGCACGCGCATCCCAAAGCAGCAAAACGGGCTCAGAAATGCTGCGACGGCGCACCAATAAGAGGCGAGGTGATGAGAAATAGAGCTTACCCGGCAGCGCCGGTGACGACGCAGTTCTTGCCGGCGAGGCGGCCCTGAGAAGCTGGGGAGCTCATTGTGACGGTTGCTGCGCTGTCGAAGGGCCTGGGAGAGGAGGGTCGAGGACTGGCTCTGGGGAGAATGGTCGTGAGGTCTGCTTTAACAGGGCGTCGTCAGTGAAAAGCTGCCCCGCGATGGCACAGAGCACCTGCCAACGCCTAGTGTCGGGCCGAGTGGCAGCAGGCGGCGTGAGGAGCGGGTCCGCCTGGCGGTGGGATGTCCGGAGCGGCTGACTCACGCACGGCGCGAAGACGTAATACCTATCGGATGGGTAGGGCCGCTCTCTCAGCGTGCGAGACTCACGATGCTGCGCGGGGCGTCAATCGCGGCGTGGAGACGAGCGAGGAAGAGGCGCGACAATGGCGCTCTGTGATACTGTTGCCGGCTGCACGGCTGCCGTCCGATAACGGCGGGCCCTGCTGTGAGGCCAGATAAGGTCTTGAGCTGGCGGGAACGGGCCCCGCGATGCCGTAATTCGACGCTTCTGGAAATTGTTCCCTGCTGCCCGTTTGCATAGCGTAATCGCCCTGTGTCGTAGCCATCGTGCCCTGCGCCAACGCGAGCGCCGTGGGCGCTGCTCCGACGAGCCGTCGTGCCAGCAGCCACGCTGGCCGCGTGAGGTTGGAGATGCTGATTGCGCTGACTGCGCAGGGCTGAGCGGCGCCGGCGGCTCGGGATGCCCGCAGATGGCGATTCCCAGCGAGGCGTGGTGTGGCTCAGAGATCGTCGGCTATCTCCTCTGCTTTGCATCTCTCGCCCGCCGGCTGGACGCCTGTTCTGTGCTGAGGCTTGCAAGCACGCGTCCCTTATCCAGCACCCCACCACCGCGCCAATGCCGACGCCCTCTCTAGCTCCCCGACCTCCCCAGTCCCGTCTGCTCCGCCTGCTCCCCCCATAACCACCGCTCACGCGACAAGCCCCGAGCTTCTTCAACAGTCGCCCGCCATGTCGCCGCCGCAGCCCTCCGAAGTCACCGCCGCGAGCTTGCCCGAGCTGCTCAAGGACGACACCGCCGTCAAGGTCGGCGGTATCGACGTCGATGGCATCCTGCGCGGCAAGCTGATGGCCAAGTCCAAGTTCCTCTCCATCGCAGAGGCTGGCTTCGGCTTCTGCTCCGTCATCTTCGGCTGGGACATGCACGACCAGACCTACTTCAAGGAGCTCAAGATCAGCAACGCAGCGAATGGCTACCGCGACGTCATTGCCGTGCCCGACCTCTCGTCCTACAGGCGCATCCCCTGGGAGAACAACGTGCCCTTCTTCCTCGTCAGCTTCTTCGATCCCGACACCAACGAAAGCCTGAGCGCATGCCCCAGGTCGCTGCTGCAGAGGACGGTCGATAAGCTCAAGGCGCAGGGAATGGGCGCTATGGCTGGAGGTAGGTGCACACTGTGGACGGCAATCGCTGGGCCTGCGCGCAAACCACGTATACTTCGGTGAAGCTGATTGCGCCGTGTTTTTGATTCGCAGCCGAGTACGAGTTCTACCAGTTCAAGGCGCCCGTCGCTGGAGACGCCAGCGAACGCAATTCTTCGTCGACCGCCGCATTCCTGAGGGAGAACCCTGCCCACCAATTACCTGCCCTGACCGAGGGCATGTTTGGATACAGCTTGACCAGGCCGGTGCACAACCAGGAATACTACTACGGTATCTTCGACGCTTGCAACACTTTCAGATGTGGTATCGAAGGCTGGCATACCGAGAGCGGACCGGGTGTTTTCGAAGCGGTGAGCATATAAAAGCGAACAACTGGTCCAAAGAGGTCGATATGCTCATACAACACCAGGCGCTTGAGTTTGGCGAGATCACTGAAATGGCCGACAAGGCTGCACTGTTCAAGTATGCTCTCCCGGCGAACCACTTGGAGTATTTACAGGCTAATCATCTACAGACTGACCGTCAAGTCGCTCGGCTCCAAGTTTGGCATAACACCCTGCTTCATGGCGAAGCCGCGTGGCGGCCTCCCCGGCAACAGCGGCCACATGCACGTCTCGCTGGTCGACGGCGACGGCAAGAACCTTTTCTACCGCGGGTCCGAGGACCCCAACCCGCCATACCCCGACGTGCGGTTCCTGTCGGATCTCGGCCGGCACTTCCTCGCCGGCCTCATCGAGGGGCTTCCCGACATCATGCCCATCGTGGCGCCCACGATCAACAGCTACAAGCGCCTCGTCGAGAACTTCTGGGCGCCCGTGACGGTGTCGTGGGGCCTCGAGCACCGCGCCGCCTCGATCCGCATCATCACCCCGCCCACCGCCAGCCCCAAGGCCTGCCGCTTCGAGGTCCGCGTCCCCGGCGCCGACGCCAACCCCCACCTCGTCCTCGCCGCCATCCTCGCCCTGGGCTGGCGCGGCGTCGAGAAGAAGCTGGAGCTCACGCTGCCGCCGCTCGGCAAGGGCCAGAACGTCGGCGGCGTCGAGGACAAGGGCCAGCGGCTGGCGAAGAGCTTGAAGGAGGCGACCGCCACCATGGCCAGGCCGGAGAGCGTCGCCAGAGAAGCGCTGGGCGATGAGTTTGTGGAGCACTTCTGCGGCACGAGGGAGCACGAGATCAGATTGTGGGATGAGGCGGTCACGGACTGGGAGTTTAGAAGGTATATTGAGACGGTCTAGAAACGCACGTTTGTCTTTCTGCAAGGCCTGTTTTGTTCCATTTTGTTGTTGTTTTGTCCGGCTCGATTTTACGATGACTGTGCCGCTGAAGATTGCTCCGGGGTTCTGAATGTTTTATCTTGATATCCCCTATCAACGATTTTTCCTGTAGGACAATTGATGGAAATTCCCTGCGCTGTTGTCGGCCAAGCACGCCCACTGTTCACTTTTCCGTCTCGTTGAAGACCAGATTCATCGCATAATGATGCAGTCGTGAGACAATGCTGCTCGTGCGAGAGAGGTCTCCCGGGAATGATGTGATAAGTCCTTCTGTGGGGCACACTAACATGGATCTTGCAGCAGCAGAACCCTTCGTCTTCCCCGCCTGGCACGCGATGCGGGGTTCTTTGTCGATCACACCGCATGCTTATTCTCTTCCGTCCTCACTCGCCCGGCCTCTTAACCCTTTTCCTCCCATATGGCCGCCGCGAGAAGCTTCGCCAAGGCTGGAGAAGCTTATCCACATTCTAGGACAAGTCGCCGAAATGATCTGTCCCAGGCTTATGATGGCAGGTACGAGTGGAACGGCATATCAGGATCCAGATGGCTTTTCCTCAAGTTCGGAGAATTGGAGAGTTCGACACGGACGTGGCTGTTCAGTTGTGATGATCATGCGATTATGGGCCTTTTATTACACAATGGAGCTGCGGTTGTTCACGATGCCCGGATATAATTAATTCTGTCCGCTTGGAGGACATCACTAATTCATTTCCTTCACTTTCTTATCTTCAAGCTTTACCTACGAAGCGCGCAGAACATCTAACGTTAGAGAAAGTGATTTAAACTTTTCATTCGGTCATTGTCATAAATAGGCCTAATCTGTGACGTATCTGTAACTGTTTATTTCCCCCGCCTCCCCATTGCTTAAGCAACCTGGTACCACCAGCTACTCTACCTCCCCGCAAAGTCCTCTCATGGGTATATCCCCTTAACCGTCCACACGTGTCCCTCCCTCCAGCATCTCGTGAAAACTCCATCCTCACAACGCCACCACAGCACCCCCCACCGCCGCCGCCGCACCAAGCGCCCACGCACCGGCCCAGGAACCGACATTCGCAGCCGCGGCGCCCGCAGATGCCGTCGAGCTGGCGCCAGATGCGGACGACGCGGCAGTGCCGGAGGCGGAAGAAGAAGTAGTAGAAGAAGAAGAATCGCCGCTGCTCTCGCTCGTCTCGTTGGCGTTGCGGGGGTTGGAAATGGCCTGCGCGGTGACGCCGGAGCTGTTGGTGCAGTGGGCGTCGTAGGCGTCGGTGGAGAGCATCTCGTCAGTGAGCGTGACATCGGCGCACTGTGTGTGTGTGGGTTTAACTCGTCAGCATTTACCACTAACCCCCCCAAAAGAGAATCAATAAAAAAAAAAAACCAAACCACACATACCTGATACAACCCCCCCTCCGGATCCCCATTCGTCACCACCTGAATCGTCGCGTTCATCCCAGCCGTCAGGTTCGCACCCGCCGGCACCTCCACGCCGCCGACGCAGAACATGTCGGGCCCGCGCTCGCGGAACGTCTGGCGCAGCACGACGTCGAAGGCGCTGCCCGGGTCGTTTCCCACGGCCAGCAGCACCTGCACGTTGGCTTCCGTGTGGCCCATCTTCAGCTGGATGGGCGCGGCGCCGCGGAGCGGGAAGGCGGTGCGGTTGTTGGAGACGTTGTCGAACCCGCCGCACGGGAAGCTGGGCTCTTTGTCGTCGTCGAAGCCGCGCGAGGGGGGCCATTCGAGCGTGAAGTGCGCGGTGGTGAGGGCGCTGAAGGAGAGGGCGCTGAGGAGGAGGGCGTGGGCGGAGAGCATGGTGGGCGGTGGGCGGTGGGGTATTTTTTGGGGTTGGGAGGTGGGGATGGGAATGGCTGAGCTGTTACGCAGACGGCGTGGTAGCTGTGAGGGTGGTGGGAGGGAGGTGGAAGCAAATAATGGCAAGTGTTTGGCCAGAGGGTGTAAACAGAAGAAGCTCGGGCCACGGCTGGGCAAGGTTGTACGTGGGACGGGAGCAGTTGATAGGGTTGAGATTGAGGTTTGGAGAGCAGCTGGCGATTGACTTTGGTCCTACACAGCTTTATTTATAAAGGTTCACCGATCTGGACGCCAGAGGGCGGACAGCGCAGGTCGCGTAGCTCGTGCATGTTTGAGCAGCTCCTCCCGAGCACAGTTTCGGTGGCGCTTGCAGAGGGCGGGCGCGAGCAGCGAGCCGCACCAGGCGTGCATGGCGAGCGCCACCTGGGTCAGTATGTACCGTGGTGCGACGAGGCGAGACGGTTTGTGGTATGCTGGCGAGGTTGCGCGCAATTGAGCAGATTATCGGAAGCGCTAGACTGGAAGCAGCATGGGCTTCCTGTAGGTCAGCAGCCGCGGGGGTCTTGCGGAGAAAGGACCATGAGCTTGTTTGACGGCTGAAAGTGGAGACGGGCCTGCGCTTGCCTCGACCACCAGCCCGCGGCAACACCCGGCCAGCACGGTGCTGACTGCTGCCCTTCTCGACCGCCGTTACCCATGGGCTGTTGCAGGCTAGGGACACACTGGCGGTGACTTGGCCGTGGACATGGGTGCAGAAGGGGAACTCGTGTAGCCCACTGTGCGAGCAGATTTTGATTACGGATAAAGTATTATTACAGCTCATGGTGAGGTATGGCCTGATTCCTCCGCCGATGAGGCCTGACAACGCTCCCGCCCACTCAGTGATCGGCCACTTGAGAATACCGCCCGAATGCTAGCTCGCCCAGGAAGGTGCCACCGAGGACGGAGAGGAAGTAGCCAACATTCATGGTCATGACAGCGAGCATCCTGGAGCAAGTCAGCATTCCACAGCGCCCTCTCGGCCGGCGAGCTAGCAAACTTACAGCATGTAGCCCACGCCCACGATGACCGTGACCACGGCCGCGCGCGGCAGGTCGACGCCGAAGCGCCACGGCTGCACCGAGCCGCTGCCGAGCCGGTGCGCGACGCTGACGCGCTCCTCGACGCCGTTCGCGGTCAACACCGCCGTGCGCGAGTCGTCGTCGCTCTCGATACGCTCCGCCGCCGGCTGCTTGTCCGCAACCACTATGTACCGCCGCTGCAGCGCCTGCGCCAGCCACCGCTCCTCGAGCTTCTGCTTTGCCGCGAAGAGCCCGCGGAACACGGCCGCCAGCACGATGAGGAAGATGCAGATGCCCGCGTACTGGCCAGTTGTTGTCGGCGTGAATGCGTTGGTGAAGAGCGGCGTGTTGTCGGCGTTGTTGAATACCATGGCCATGGTCATGCTGCTGCTGCTGCTGCTGCTCGTGTCGTGGTCGGTGTGGCTCCCAAGGTCCATGGTCACGGTGCCGTCGTCGTGGCGTCGCTGCATGCTGGCGGATTCAGTTCTCGATATGTTCGTCGGGGACGTGAATGCGTGGTTTCCGCGTAGGTTCCCCGGTTGGGCGGGCGTGTGGCAGCGGGACGCGGCGTCTTTTGTATCAGAGTGCCAGACGCGGAGGTTGCGCAGGCAGACGGAATGTTGCGCACGTACAATCCAGGTTGCTGGCGCCGAGCAAGATAAGGGCAGAGATGAGGCTCTCCGGGTCGCAGGCTGGTAATGGACGCGAGACCAGGAGAATAAAGACGGCGGACGCGGACCGGACACGCTGGACCAGAGCGCTGGGCTTGCTCGTGTCTTGCTGCACATGTGTCGCCCAAAACGGCAAGTAGAGCTGCAGAGTGGATTTGAGCGAGTTCTCCGGGGGCCCATTGGCTGTTTCAGCCCAGGGCTGGACCGCCCCCGACGCCACCCTGCCGCCATCCGCAACACGCCCAAACTCTCAACCGCATTCCGCTGATGTTATCTACCCGACTCTCGGCACCCTCCCCCACGTCACTTCCAACCCCACAGGCACTCTTTGCTCGCGACACCATGAGTCCGTCTCACTAGCCTTTCACCACGCACAACTTCTCCAGCAGGCCTGGTCCCTTTGTTCAAGATGGACATGGACATGGACATGGGGGGCATGGACATGGGCTCCAGCGTGCCCGGCGTGCCCTCCCTCGACTTCCTGATGCAATATTACTGGGCTGTTGTGGGCGCTTTTGTTGGCACTGCAACCCTTGTCAACCTTGGCAACAGCTTGATCTGTCGGCAGAGGTCAGTTCTAGTCTTTGAAACAAGCCCGCCCGTAAGCCCGTGCTGATGCAATGACTACAGATTGACTGCTGCTTGCCGCGGCGATGCGAAACCAGCCAAGCCCAAGGCTTCCTTGCTGCGCATTAATGCCACCGCAACCGCCATCGTCCGAGAAGCGAGCAATGCAACCCTCTCTCCGCTCACTTTCAAGGGCCGAAGCATTTGTCTGCCCACCGTGGGCCGGACGACTATCGTGGCAGCCAACATCGCCACCCTCTTGGTGCTATGCTTCTACCACTTTGACCTCAGTGACCAATGGTCCTTTGAGAACATTGGGTACCGAACAGGCTGCATTTCCATCGCTCAGCTGCCCTTGATCTTCCTTTTGGCCGGGAAGAATAACATTCTCGGATGGCTAACCGGCTCGAGCTACGAGCGCTTGAACTGGCTGCACCGTTGGACTGCACGGTCTCTTCTTCTCACAGTCACCATCCACATGGGCTACTGGTTTGCTGACTGGGCGCCCTACAACTACATTGGCCACAAGATCAAAACCGACCCCATCACCCAGCACGGCCTGATCTCATGGTGCCTGCTGCTCTGGATCGTCTTCAGCTCCGTCGCCCCAATCCGCGGCCTATCATATGAGTTTTTTGTACTCCAGCATCTAGGCTCCATGGCTGTCTTTGTCGCCTTTGTCTACCTACACGTCAATTCCTGGCCATTGTACGTCCGAATCTACGTCATCCTCCCCATTGCGCTTGTATGTCTTGACCGCTTCGTCCGCGCTGTATGGCTCCTCTACAACAATTTCGCCATATTTCACCCTTCCCGGCGGAGAAAGGGCCAGAGCTCCAGCCTATGGGCCTGCGAAGCATCCTTCACCCCTCTGCCTCATGGCACAACCCGTATCACCATCCAAAATCCGCCAATCAGCTGGAACCCCGGCCAACATGTTTTCCTATCCTGCCATGCCGTCGTTCCGTTGCAGAGCCATCCTTTCACCATCGCCTCCATTCCTGAAGACGGTAAGATGGAGTTCTACGTGAAGAGCGAGGGCGGCGCGACCGCGCGTTTTTTCCGGCACGCTGAAAAACTACACCTGTTGCCTTCCCATGGGCAGCCCGAAGAAAGGCGGGGAAAGCCCGTCGCAATCGACGGACCGTACGGGCGGCTTCGCCCGCTCCGACAGTTCGACAGCGTGGTGCTGTTTGCCGGGAGTACCGGCGCGACCTTCACCATCCCCTTACTCCGGGACATCGTAGCGCACTGGAAGAAGCAACATCACCAGGGGGCCGCAAGGGAGACGGCGTCCCTTTCTTCAATGCTTCGGCTTCCGGATGGAGCCGCAACCCGCCGCGTCCGCTTCGTCTGGGTCGTCAAGTCGCGCGGCCAACTCAGTTGGTTCGCAACGCAACTGTCATGCGTTGCGGAAGACGTAGCAGCGCTCCGCCAGGCTGGAGTAGATGTTGATGTTGAGATGAGCGTGTACATGACTTGCGATCCTTCATTCACCGACGACCGCAAGGCTGTCTACAGCAACGACGGTAATTCAACCTCCTTGCCATCCCCAATCCAGGCCCCGAGAATCGACGGTGCCTTTGACGAAAAGACTTTCGTCGATAAGAAGGGCAAAGACGGCACCCGCATCACCGAGATAGAAGACCGCAACAGCGACACATCTTCCCTTCACTCATCATCCGAGGAGGACCAGAGCAACAACCAGAGACCCCTGGCCAAGGCAGCATGCGGCCCAGACGGCACCTGCTGCTGCCAATCCACCATCGTCGAAGACGACAACAAAGCGAGAGCAAATGGATCCTCCCCCGACGACGCCATCCAGCCCATCGTCTGCACCTGCTGCAACAACAACCCCAACACCACCTCCAATCCACCACCACCCCAACCCCAACAACCCCAAACCCACCCACCTCCCCCAACCACCACCACCACAGCCAACCCCAACTCCCCCTCAGTCTCACTCTCACAACAACAACCACAACCCTCCTCTCCCCCCGCCCTCCACCCATCCATCCACCTCCTAACCGGCCGCCCGCACCCGCCGTCCCTCGCCCGCCGCGTCCTCGAGCGCGCCCTCGGCGAGACGGCCGTCGTCGCGTGCGGCCCCGCCGCCCTGGGGCGCGACGTGCGCGCCGCCGCCGTCGCCCTCAGCGACGAGCGCGCCGTGCATCGCGGCACCGGCGCGCAGGGCGTGTGGTGCCATGTCGAGGGGTTTGGGTGGTGAGGGAGGATGGATGGTGAGACTGAGGAGGTGGTGGAAGGTGTATGTATATATGATGATTGTTTCTTTTGGCTGCGTTTTGGGGGAAGAAGGGAATGGGGGAATGTCTGCACAATGTTAAGAAGAGGAAGAAGAAGGAGTATGGAGTTTATACGTGAAAGGGAATGATAGCACGACACTACTACTAGAAGTATTTCAACTCGAAAAAGGTCTGAACTGTTCTGAGTTCAAGTCTCCGGCGGTGACAATTTCTTTTTTTTGTATCTCTTTCACTTTCTCTATTCCATCTGGGTAAGCTTTCGACGCAGGCTGCGAGCCCCATGCTTCGACGACCTCCAGTTATGTATGTACCATATCCCATCTACACATGTATTCACTTCCTCTCAAAAGAGAAGAAGAACCAAAAAAAAAAAAAAAAGTGAAAAGCCATCCCCAGAACGCCAACCCACCATCGCCATGCATTGCAAAAAAACCCCCAACCTCCCTCCCTCTCTCTCTCTCTCTCCCCAAAACCCCCACTCAAATCATCCCACTCAACACCAAATCCCGACTGCTCCACCCGATCCACACGCCAAACTCCCTGTTCGTCCCCCCTCCCGTCGTCGGCATGACCCAGTTTTGCCTCCGCGTGTCCCAGTAGCTCAGGTCGCGGCGGGTGACGGCGAAGCTGACGCGGGCCGCGTCGCCGGGCTCGCCCGCGGGCGCGAGCTCGACCTTCTCGAAGCCGCGCAGGACGCGGACGGGGAAGTCGACGACGCGGAGCTGCGCGACGACGGCCGGGTCGTGGCGGTCGGGCGGGAGGTCCGGGGGTGGCGACGAGTGGGTGCCGTTGTTATCGTTGTTGTGATGAATTTGATGGCTCTTGTGGGAGGAGGGTTTCCCGGGCGGGTTCTTCTCGAACGGGCTCGTCACCTTGCCGTCGTCGCTGATGATGCCTTCGTTTGCTGAGGCCTCCTCCTCTTTCTCCTCCTCCTCCTCCTCCTCCTCCTCCGCTGCTGTTGTCGTGGTGGTGGGTTTCTTTCCCATCATCGCCGCGTTCTCCGGATCCGTCCAGTGCTCTGGGTACGAGACGTACAACTGCGGCACCGCGCTGCCACGGACTGGACTGGTGTTTCTGATCGTGAATGAGATGTTCGCGACGAATGTGTACAAGTCCGGATTACCACCGGGTCCGCCGCCGGCCTGCGACGGCTCTGCGTGCAGTTTCTCGTCCGTGAAGGCCGGGGGCCACGCCTTGTCCGGGACGCCGGGATTGGCCGTGTCGGAAAGGCTGGTCAGGTACGGGTAGATGTACTTGCTGAGGCGGCGGAAGCCCGGCGGGAAGAGTGAGTCCTCGGGCGCGCCGGTGCTGTTGTCGTAGGTCGGCGGCACGGGGAGAACCTTCGGGTCTGGGCGGGGGGCGGGCAGGAGCGTCTTCTGGGTTGGGTCGGTGACGATCTGGAGCTCAGAGAGCTCGAAGGTGCTGTACGAGAGGCCGTAGCCGAACTCGTAGCGCGGCGTCAGACCGTTCTTGTCGAAGTAGCGGTAGTCAATGTACAGCCCCTCGGTGAAGTTCTGCTGCGGGACGACGGCATTCGGGTAATACATGATGTGGCTGTCCGGGCCGTAGTCGTCCTCATCCTTAGCGACGGTGTACGGCAGGCGTCCGCTTGGGTTCACTTCGCCAAAGATGACGTCGGCGACGGCGTTGCCGCTCTCCTGCCCGGGCAGATGCGCCAGGAGAACGGCCATGACATTCGGGATATCAATCCAGTTTTCCAGGATGACTGGGCCAACGGCATGAACAACGACAATAACGGGGCTATCGCCTCCACCGCACCGCTTAGCAACGGTCTCAACGAGCTTGTCGCCACCCTTTTGGGTGTAGAGGTCGTTCCGGTCACCCTTGATGCCCTCCCAGGAAATAAAGCCCTCGCCAGCATCGCTGTTCACAAACGCAAGGCAAAGATCCTGATTCTCAAGCGCACGCTGCTTCGTCTCGGGGATCTCGTTCGCAGGGTATTCGTGAAGGAGAACCATATCGATGTCGAACTCGCGCCTCAGAGCCTCCAGAGGGGTGACGAGATAAGGGAAGTCGGCGGCGCCGCTGCCCCAGCCCGAGGCCAGCGTACCCTCGTTGCAGCCGCGGTCAGCACAGGCGTTGCGGCCGTCAGGGTTTCCGCGGGCATCCTCGCCGTAGATGCCGACGCGCATCTTGAAGTCGTCCTTGTTCGACACGAAGCCGCTTGCGATGCTGTGGCCCTGGCGGGAAATGGGCAGGGTGTTGTTGTCGTTCTTGACCAACACGATGCCCTCTGCAGCGATACGGCGCGCCAACGCCCCATGACTGCCGTTGGCTTGAACGTCCACGTACTTGTTGACCACACCGGTGGTCTTGTCGTCGCTGCCGGGATGCAGCAGTCCGACCTCCTCGTCCGTCCAGGACGAGAAGTTAGGCCCGTCCGCGGGCCATTTCTCCGGGTCATCCTGGCCGAGCTGGTACCAAGCCGCCACAATACGAGTCACCATGTCATTCAACCGTTCCATCGGCACGGAGCCATTCAGCGCGGCCCTGGTCAGCTCCGGGCCCCACAGCGCCTTGCCATCCTGCCACTTCAACCCGTCGCCGGGCATGCTCATGTCCAGACCAGCCAGAGCACTCGCAACGCCGCTGCGCTGGGCCAGCCAGTCGGACTGCACGAAGCCCTGGAAGCCAAGCTCATCCTTGAGCACGCCGTTGAGCAGCTTGCTGTTCTGGCACGCGTACGAGTTGTTGACCTGGTTGTACGAGCACATGACGCTGGCGACGCCGACGCGCACGCTGTCGGCAAAGGGCCAGGCGTAGATCTCGTGCAGCGTGCGGTCGTCAATGTTGGACGACATGGCGTTGGGGGCGCCCCACTCCCACGACTGGCGGAAGTGCTCCTGCTCGTTGCCGACCCAGTGCTTCGCCGTCGCGATGACGCCCTCGTCCTGGATGCCCTTGATCGTCCACGCCGCCGCCAGCCCCTGCAGCACCGGGTCCGCCCCGAAGCCCTCCCAATTGCGCCCGCCGGCCGGCAGCCGTCCGAGCGGGCCCATGGCGGGGCCCAGCAGCACGTTGACGCCCTTCCCCTTGGCCTCGCGCGCGTGCGCCTGGCCGCGCAGGTACATCAGCTCCTTGCTCCAGGTGGCGCCGACGGTGAGGCCGGCCGGCCAGGCGGTCGCGTGGTCGGCGAAGCGCAGGCCCAGCGGGCCGTCCTGCAGGCACAGGCTGGGGAAGCCGAGGCGCTCGACGGGGCCCGTGTTGCCCACGCAGAGCCCCATCTCCCAGCCGACGCCCGTCGTGACGTTGACCTTCTCGGCCAGCGTCATGCCCGCCACCAGCACCGACGCGCGGTCGTACGCCTGCGCCCACGCCGGGTCGGTCCCGCCGCGCGGCGCGGGGTACCACGGCGGGCTCTGGCCCTCCAACGGCCCCGCCCGCCACGCCCACAGCCCGCCCGCCCCCAGCAGCAGCAGCAGCGCCAGCACGAAGAGCAGCGGCAGCCAGCACCACAGCCGCTTGCGCGTCGGCGTGCATGCAGCCGCCACGCGGGCCCACGGCGAGCCTCGTCCTCCTCCTCCTCGCGACTCGTTGTTCCGCCATCGCGGGTCGGCGTAGGCGTCGGCGGCGGCGCCGACCTGGGACTCGGTGCGCGGGCGTTTCCTCCTCTTGCCCGTGTCGAGCGGGGCGCTCTCCTCGTTCAGCGGGTCGAATTCGTTCAGGTCGTCGTCGTCGGACGAGAGGTAGGCGGCGTCGAGCGAGGGCCGCAGGCTGCTGCCGGTCGAGGCATTGCGGAGGTGGTGGTGTTTGCGGCTCTGCAGGTAGTTGCCTTCGTCGTTGTCGACGGCCTCGTACTTGCCGCGGAGCTCGTAGTCGTTGGGCATTGTGTGTATTAAGATTAGTTGGGTCCCCGGAATGGGCGGGTGTCGGTCTCACGCGTGCACGGCGTGAGGAGGCAAAGAGGGTGTCTGCATGAGTGCCAGGGCGGGAGAGGGAGGAGGGCGCGGTGCAAAAGTGAAGGAGGCGTTTGACCGGGGGCGTCGAAGTGGTGGATGTGGGTTTCTGGCAGCTGAGCCCGAGCGGTTTCACCTGCGACTTGGCAAAGGCTTGGTACGTCCAAGAGATGTCAAGCTGAGGCAGGCCGAGAATCCGGCGCGCGGCCTGCCCTTCGCCCGCCATCATCCAATGGCTCGTGGATAGAAGAAGCTGAAGGAGCGTCGCACCGAGACGTTTGCTCCCCCGCCGCCGTGCAAGTCAGTCGGTCTTTCCACCCCGGCCCTGCTCTGCGACGCTGAATCGACGGCCGGCCGCCGGCAGCCTCAGGGCCTCGCCTCTGCCCTCCCGCCCGCCACAGGCCCCCCTGCTCTCCCTGCCGATCCTTCGCCAGACAAAGCCCACAGCCCGTCTTGCGCGGCCACCGCTCCCACACACTGCGTTTCCATGCATCATTGGACACCGTTGCCTGCTTTCACTCGAGTGATTGGCGCCCGCGTCATCAGTATCATCGACGGCCCAATAGCAGCTCGCGCATCTTCCACGCGTCTGGTTTCACACTCACCAGGGGGGATGAGAAAAAAAGATTCCAGCCCTGTCAGGCAAGCAGCTGCAGACGTCCGTTGTTCCCACTGTCGAAATCTGTTCGAAACATTATAAGGCAGTCCAGGACAGCAGCATTGGTCATAGTAATGTGCCTCGACCCCACAGGATCCCCCCAAAAATAGCACCGTTGAACACCCGTCCCGGCGACACGCCGTTGCAACACCGTTCTTTCGCGAAGGCATGAGCCGTAGAGCGCTCCTATAAGACAAAAGCATGTAACGTTGCCATCGGCTGAGCGCGGCTCTCGGAAACGATCCGATCAGGCAGGAGGTCGAACTCGGAAGATCAGGGTGTGGAAGAATACCAAACAGTGGAGCGCGCCAAGCTCGGCTCCAAACCTTTTTCCTCCCATCGCGAAGTAGCGAAGAAACGCCAAGCTCCTATATACCCCAGAGAACGTGCTTGCAATGGCGTTTGCGGGGAAAACCTGGGGTGCATCTCCCTATATTGTTAGTAGATTGGCACGGCGAGCACGCAATAGCGATTGACTGGGGGCCTGAAAGCTTGCGGCTCAACGTCCAACCGTCTTTTCGATATCAGGTGCTGTGGAACGATCGTGATTGGATGCTGCTAACAAGCACGGTGTATCGAGCGGGCTTGGTGACGCGAAACCATGGTCCCAAGCACTAGAAATTCGAAACTACCGTCATTGATACTTCGTTGTCACCAGGGACACGGTGGGTGCAGAAAGAAACTGACCACCTACATCCATCTCGCATAGGAACTAAGTTCCAATATCTGGATTCATTTTTACGGTCTTAATACTTACACCTCCGTCCGGATATCTGTTCCACCTCATGAAGAAAGGATGTTTGAATTTACCTCTATATCGGGATATCTGCTTCGAATGGCCACGCAAAGAATCGCTATAAACGGATCTATTTCTACACTTACCAAGGGAAGACTACGGCAAGGTGACACTTGCAAAGATGTAAACACAGGTTCCAGCGAGAAGAGCGGAAACGTCATTCATGAAAGGGAACGACAATGTCCTCCGCGGGAAGGAGAAAAAGCGCAGTAATGAGGAAGTTGGAAGCGCATATCATCCACCTTACTACACCCAACGCACTCGATCACTTCTCAAAGCACCCAAACCAATAGAATTACTTCTTCAATTCCGTGCTAACAATTCTACCTCAGACCCTTCGCCTTCGAACGAAAATAAAAGGCACACAAAAACAATAGAAAACGGGGTAATTCCGTCCCCATCCCATACCGAGCACCCAGAAGGAAGCCCCCAGAAAAAGCCGGACGGGACCAAAACCATTTAGCATGAGTTTCTACCGCGCGGTGGTGCAAGCCTCGGCATCATCAATCCCTTGTTCCCATTTACCCTAGACACGCGGGTATCCTTTACACACGGGACAAAAGTCCTCACCTGACAAACTCCACACTTGGTGCTTGGTGTTTGAAAGATTGCCTGTTCTTTCCACTGCTTCTGTCCTGTTTTTCCTCGAGGCTCTTCCACGTGAATAGCTCGTCGTCTTCGCTTTTTTCGGGTGACATTTGCTTGGGTGCTGCCTCGCAGCAGACCGTGCTTCGACGCGCTCACCAGTCGTCATCATCCTCATCGTCTGTGAACTTCCGTTAGCACCATTTTCAATCGACTGCACACAAGACATGATAAACTTACCACTGTGGCTGACCTTGCTCTTCCTCGCCGCAAGAGCACTAGCCAATGCATTCGCCAATCCGCCACCGTCACCCCCACCACTGCCACCTCCGGCAGTCGGGGGAGGTGAGGAGCTGCTGCCAGGCACCGCCGCCGCACTGCGGTCTTTCTTCTCCGTGTCCGAAACCTTTTTGAGCCTGGCTCCACCGCGGATACTGGCCAAAAGATCGTCTCTGCCGCCGCCGCCGGCTGGCGCGGGCATCTTGGGCGCGGGTGCGCCTCCGGGAGGCGGTGGTGGTGGCGCGGGAGGACCACCGGCTCCTCCTGGCGGAGGGGGCGGAGGGGGCGGAGGAGCGCCTCCACTCGGAGGCGGTGGCGGCGGGGGAGGTGGGGGAGGAGCTCCGCCGCTTGGAGCGGGTGGCGGAGGAGGTGGCGGCGGAGGAGCAGCGGCCGGAGATCCAGTTGGAGGGAGCGGTGGCGGCGGGGGTGCGCCACCGGTCGGAGCAGGCGGAGGAGGTGGTGGAGGAGCTGGTGGTGCGGGGCTTGCTGACGGAGGAACGGGAACCGGACGTGAAGCGGATGGAGGAGGCGGGGGAGGAGCAGGTGGCCCAGATGGAGCAGGTGGTGGTGGTGGGGGCGGAGGAAGGGCAGCTGGTGACGGTGGAGCTGCCGGAACTTTGGGTGGAAGCGGCGGCGGAGGAGCGGCTGGAGTGGGCACAGCCCGTGCAGGCGGTGGAGGCGGCGGCGCAGCGGGAGAGGTCTCGCGTGCAGGCGGAGGTGGAGGCACAGGGCCACGAGCCGGGGGAGGAGGCGGAGCTGGACTGGATACAGCACGCTGGCCACTGAACGGGGGTGGTACTCCGAACTTGGGGCCCGAGTCTTCCTCTGCCTTTCTCGGCGGCGGCGGGGGAGCCGCATTTGCGACATTCGAGGAGGCGCGTGCTCTTGCCGGTGGAGGAGGAGCCTGGTTCGCAAACTTGCCTGCATCAGCAAGCGGGGGCGGCGCTCTGAATCTTGGCTGGGTTGGCGGTGATGGCTCTCGACCAGGTGATGCTGGCTGAGCCGGAGCTGCGCCACCCTTTCTACGCGCTGGCGGTGGTGCCGGAGGTGGCCCACGTCGAGATGTCGAGGTGCTGCCTGTGTTTTGGGGACTGAGCTTGTTCGCCGCCGGGGGTGCGCCAGGCGGTGGCGGCGGCGCCCTCAATTTGGATTCATTGGCGGTAGCCTCGCTGGCTTTCTTCTGCTCAATGTACATCTTGATGAAATCGGCATTTTCTTCAATCTGGTCGGCCGTGATACCCATCTGCAGGAGTTCCTGAAGCACCGGCTGCATCGCCGGGTCTGCGGTATCGATAGTCGAGCTCTTGCCGTTTCGGTTCGGTGGCGGGCTTGCAGGGGAGGACGGTTTCTTGGGAGGAATGATCGAATGCTGCTCCTGATGCTGGTTCGACGAGTGCCTACCAAAGAGGCTGCCCAGGATCCCATGCGAGTGGCCACCACCGTTCGTAGACGCGCCATTGGAGGTTCCAGCCGCCATGCCGAAAGGCTTGTTCCTGGTGTTCTTGTGCGCGTTCTTCTCCCGCTCGTCTATCTTCTTCCTGAACTGCCTCGCCTCCTTCTCGTCGGCGAATGACAGACCGGCAAGACATTGCTCGAGCTCGAAGGTGTGGAAGAAGGTGCGGTCTTGGTTGTACTGGAACGTGTCGTAGATCTCCTGATCCCAAATCACGCCGCGGTTCAAGGGCTGCGCACTCAGTTAGCAGGGCTCACCTCTTCCCCTGCCTCTCCCTGGACCGCCCCCAGCTCGCTGTTCACAGGCTCCAACTTACCGAGATGTCAACCAGCTTGATCCAGAAGGTATTCCCCACAAGGTCGTTGGCGAGCACGGCGGCGCCCTGCAAGCCGGTATAGGTCCATTTGTGGCGGTTGGGGTATGCGATGTAGAGCTTTGCGACAGCGACGGCATGGATCTTGTTGGAGCCCTTCGGCACGGTCCGCTTGACCACCTGCTTGTCGTCGTCGGACAATATTGTAGGCATGCTGGGCACGCGGGTGGTCGGTGGTTCGGGTTTAGAGGGTTGGGGTCGCGCGATTTGTCCACATGGAAGGGTGTGGTTGGGCAGCGGCGTACGGGTTGCTGCAATTTCAGGCGTGCGTCATAAGCAGGAGAGAGGGGCCAGTGCAAGCCGTCTCTCGCGAATTATCCGCGAGCGCCCGAGGATCCAGGGTGCAGGCCGCAGTGCGCGGGCTGCGGGCGGTATGAATACGTTCGAGGTCAGCTTGAGCGGCTCAGGCGGCGTGGTGTCGTGCGCGGCCTCAGCTGCACAGCCTCGCAGCAGTTGTGGTGGTTGCGAAGTAGTCAAGTGGCCCGTCTGCCCTGCTCGTTACCCGCACCCGCCGTGACTAAGCCCCTTGCCGCCAAGCGCTCCGAAGCTCCCTGAGCACCACCTGCTTGCAGCGCCGCCCTAGCTTCCAGGCTGCGCCGCGAAGGCTCTTGTGAATCCGCTATATCCCTGCCCGTGGTGCTCTGCCTTTTCCCGCTGGCGGTCGCCTGTCCTTGAACTCTGACGAAAGCCTACCCTTGAACTCTGGCGATGGTCTAGCCTTGAATTCTGGCGATGGTCTACCCTTGAATTCTGGTGATGGTCTGCCTTTGCCCGCTGGATGTGACCTGTCCATACCCGCTGGCGATGACCTTCCCATGCCTCTGTGCGCTGGCGACGGCCAGCCTTGGCCCAGCGTGCCGCGACGCTCCGTATCGAACGCCCTCTTCACGCCCCTCGAGTCGGTCTCCCGGTCCCTGCCGTTGGCCGACTGCCTAAACGCCCCCACCAGCGCATCCGCAGCCCATCCTACCTCCTCGCGCACCTTCTCATACTTTGCCGCGATCATCTTCTGGTTCGCCGTCATGAGGAACGTGCCCGACACCACCGGGGGCCCCTCGATCGCCTTGCCATCGCTCCCCAGCCTCTGGCCCTGCACGTTCAGCCCGCGCGCCTCCATTTCTTCCCGGAGAGCCGCCCGGAGCCTGCGGACGCACCAGACCCTGACCGTCCGCTTGGGCGACGTGGCCAGAGTCGCCGAGGACGCCGTCGAAAGGAGGTTCGGGTCCTTTGCCTCAAACTTGCGCTTCACGTGCTGGTGACGTGGGTTCGCTGTGTCAGCGATGACTGACTTTGTGCTCTCGCTGAGACGCCATCCGGGTGAGTAGAAATGAGAGAAGAGCGTTGGTTTTTTTCCCAATGGCCAGCGCAAGGTAGGCTTGGATGACGTCTTCCACGATGCAAAGCCGCGTGTACCGGTCATCATGCGCTGAGTTGATAGGCAATTATTTCGTCTGGTGGTCAAATGAAAATTGAAATGAAAGAGACCGTGAATGAAGGAGGGCCGGGCTGTCTGGGTGCATTCCTCACGTAGATGTTCATGGAACTGGGAGTGTCGGGTCCTGCAACATTTGGAAATCTTGAAAGATTAGCGAGTCAGTCGATGGTCATCGGCCGAACAGCCTGACTAAGAGGCCATGAACTTCAAAGTCCTTGCCGCTCACAGGAACACTACGCTTGGAGCTTCGAAGATTTTGAAGATTGCTACCATACTTTTCGACATGCTAATCATCAACCACATCGCGATTGAAGAACCTGAAAATTTGCCTTCCTGCTTCCCTACCGCAAAGCTGATTCAGCTCCTCCTCTGTCATGTTGGCCAGCTCAAAAACGCTGCCCACGCTGAACGCAACCCGTTCCAGCATCTTTTCATTTCCCGTAATACCAGGGACGATACGCAGCATATCCTGTGGCACTTGGTTAAACGTCTTGCTTTCGGCATCCTCGCCTTCCTCTAGCCCGATCTGCACTGCTTTGACAGGATCGGGCTCATCCTGCTGTTTCTTCAATTCCTCAAAAATCTCGGCAGTCTGATACGGTGAGCTGGACCAGATGATGCGCAGACGGGGGAAGGCAATCGTCAGCATGACAATCTTTGCCTGGAGGTCCGGGGCAGCGGCCATTGCGGCGGCGGCAGCCGACTGACTCAAGTCCGAGAATGGTTCGAGCGTGAATGATTTGTTCTGGTCGAATTCAATGAGCAGCATAGGGTTCTTGTAGTGCTGGAGCATCGTCTCGGCTTGGTTATACAGGCGGCCATTGTTGAAGGACGAAATCAAATCCTGGACGCTCTTACGCTCGATACAGATGTTGGGCGTGAGGACGTAGTCACCGACCGTCAGCATGCATGGCACGACGACCATTTGTCGACCGTGTAGCAGGGAAGGGAGCGACGATCGAAACTCGCGTACATCCACGACCACCCGTGGGGGAGTTGCGGTGGCGGCGAGACGACCGCCACCGGCAATCCTGGTGTTGACTGTCCGGAGAAAAGCCTCTTGCGGATCTTGGATGTTGATATTGTCCAAGGCAATAGCCATATTGCTCCTTTCACGAATCATCTTGGAGAAGGCATCCTTTTCACGTCTGACAGCGCTGAGATAGCGTTGTTCTTCGACGGACCCACCATAGTACATGAAGTACACCCTGACGTTTCGATCCGTGTGCGAGCTGCGATAGACCTCTATCCGTCGGATGAAGGCCGCGTCTGGCTCGTACATGATGACATAACGAGGCCGTACTTCCTCCAGTACATGCTCATCCATGTCTCCGTCGTATGGGTGGATTACGAGCAGCTCTTTCATCTCGTACAGCTCGTAATAGTCCTCCATGTTTTCAAGTGGGTCCGCCGCGATTTCGCCTTTCTGCTGGGTTTCCTCTCCCGTGGGTTGAAGTTCAGTGAGAAGGCTCTGCATATGAGCATCACGATTGAAGCTCTGCTGCATCTCCCCCATCACGGTTCTAGACGGACCGGATCCAGCTGCCGCTCCGCCGCGGACGCGTCGTCTCTTGTTCCGAGGTGCCCTTCCCGGTCCGGCTTGTCCACTGCGGGTGTCATTATTGATCACCTTGTTGTTCTCTGCGAAGAGAGAAGCGCTGACTTTGCTAAAGTCTCTCTTCCAACTGATGTAGTTCCGCAACTTCCGTCTCATCATAAAGGCAGCGGACGGGCCCTTCGCTTCTTGGTCCTCATTCTTTTCCTCGGGCTCATCGGACCTGACACGCATGGTTTGTAGGTATTCACGCAGCTGGCGGGAAGTGCTGTGGTCACCGCACATGATGAGAATGGCGCCGCTTGAGTCATCCTGCGGGACAGGATTGAAATAGTAATCTCTCTCAATTTCCTCCAGAACTTCAGCAAGCATGCGCCATTTTGGCAATTCTTCAAGAACAGGTCTGAGCGATTCGGGTACCTCATTAGAAGTGTTGGTTGTGGTAGCGTCGTTGAGCTTGCCGGCATAGACACGACGTCTAGCAGTTTCGAACAACGTATTCGCAGCGTCGAGGAACAGCCACGGTGACTGGTTCATCCGTGTTGATCCGGGCGGCGGAGACGAGGCGGCAATGACAGTGTCCAAGTACTTGTTGAAATCTACAGCATCGTATGCCAAGACGGCATGGAGGATGTGGCGGAGCAGAGAGAGATCCCGGACTATCTGCCGTGTCCGAAAGCTTGTGCGGTGCCACACGGGATCCAGTTGACGTCTGATCTGGGCGTCGAAGTTCCTGTGCAGAGCACTGTCCAGCGTCCAGTCCTCCATGTCTAGAGAGCCAGAGTTGTTCTTCCGAAGCTCGATGATGCTCACCTCGACACATTCCATGACCGCCTGTTGGATAGCAGCCATGTTGTCAGTCATGGGCACCTCCAGTTCGATCACTTCAGCTTTCCGGCGGCCCTCAAGCGATTTTGCTACAGCGACATGGAAGCGGGGGTAGAGAGAGGGCCGGCGCAAGAACAGATTGCGCATCATGGTGGCTAGCGGAGAGAAGCCGGTAGCGAATGGCTCGGGATTGTCGGAGAACGCCTTCAGGAATCCCGCTTTGTTCTTCTGACGAAAGATGCGCAAGATGAAAGCCTCGAGCGATGTTGCCACTATTCGGTCGGCGTGCAACACGACGCAGCCGGTGATGGTGGCGGGATCGAGCAGACCGGATAGCAGATCGACGATGAGGATGCGGGAGGTGATGCTGAAAATGCCGCCGCGTGAATACATTTTCTCGCGGGCGCCGACACTCATCATGTTGGTGTTGACCAGGCTGAGGCCGCGGGCCTTGGGGGCATTGCTGACGGCGGCATGCTCGGCCAGCGACTCGCCAATCCAGCCGTTCTCGCGGTCGTCGGCGCCGACGAGGAGGACGAGGTTGTTCCCGGCGGCATCGTAGGCGTGGAGGAGGTTGGTCACGATGCGCAGCAGGCCGAGGCCGCGGGCGAGGATGACGAGCTGGTCCTCATTGCGCTGCAGTCGACGTCAGCACCGAACGGACAGCAGCAGAAGCGGGCGAGACGCACCAGGTCCTGGAAGATGTCCTGCTGGAACTGCAGCGGCAGCGAGAGCTTCACGGGGGCTTTCTCATCGCCGGGCATCGGGCGCGTCGTGGATGATGATGGGTGTCACGCCGACACGCGCGCGAACACGAGATTCTGGCGGCCCGCGCGCCTGCCTGGCGCCTGGCGCTTGGCTGCATGTGGCCGTGGCCTTGGCTCCTCCGCCCGCCGACATCACAGCATCGCGCCAGCCGACCGCTCTGAAACGCCCTCGCGCATTCTGTGGGGAGTCAGGTCCGTCCGCGTCAGGTTCGCGCCGGCTCGCTGCCCGTCTTCCCGCCCCACCGCCCGCCGTTGGACGCGTTCCGTCTGCTGTACTATGTATACATGAGTAGCACTCGATCTTTGAGCATCGCCTCTCTTGTGCGCGCATGCTTCTCCGCATCACCTGCGGGCAGATGAAGCGGCCGGCTTGTTTCTGGGAGCCTCGAGTTTCGAGGAAACTGGTCAAACATACGCCCCCGCCCCTGTCCGAGCACCGAGCGGAGATGACGGCTCGCGGGGCACAGCCCTTGGGGCCAACGCATGACTCCGAGAGACTGCCTCCATCCCAGATTGCTACGGGAGTCTACCTCGGACTGGGCTGATGGCCAGACAGCCACGCACGACATACACCTGTATGCGAGCCGCCCCCTCAGCTAATCCCCAACCCAGTACCCCCGGCAATCAACTGTCGGTACCATGTTCGCCCGCCACTGTGGAGAGACCGTGCGACCCGTTGTTGTTGCAGAGAGCGCCGATGGCGGCGCCCGTCCACTTAAACGCTGGCCGTGGTCCGGGATGCGCCCCTTGCCCACAATCCATCCGGAAGATTAGTCGAAACACCGCCGGCCCGCGTTCCTCTGCTTGCCTGACATTTAGCTCACTTTTACCTACTCCTTGAATTTAGATAGGCTGGTCGGCCCAGCATGCGTGACTTCATTTGTGCAATGCCGTATAAATAAGACATGGCCCAGCCGGTCAAGCTTTTCTCCACCACTGCCAATTCCCTTGTGCCGGTCAAGCTTTTTTCTATCACTGCCGAGTCCTTCGTTTGCATTCGCCTTTCAACATGCGTGTTTCCAATATCCTCGTCGCCGGTTCGGCTTCTCTTGCGCTGGCTGCGCCGGTGCAGAACAAGGAGGAGAAGCGGGCTTCAACCTTCACTTTCCTCGGCATCAACGAGTCCGGCCCTGAGTTCGGATCAGGCATCGGTACCAAAGGAACGGACTACGTTTGGCCTACTCTCAGCACCATTGATACCTTCATCGCCAAAAATCTCAACACTTTCCGTGTCAATGTGTTGATGGAAAGACTTACGCAAAACTCCATGACTGCTTCTCTTGACGCCGACTACCTTGCCGATCTCAAGGAGACAGTCAACTACATCACCAACAAGGGTGCCTATGCGATGATCGTTCCCCACAACTATGGCCGTAAGACTCTCCCCCACCTCCGCTTCAAACCACAATAAAACTAACCCACCTCAGGCTTCAGCGGCAACATCATCACGGACACCGCAGGCTTCAAGACCTGGTGGACGAACGTCGCCTCCGAGTTCGCCAACAACACCAAGGTCATCTTCGACATCAACAACGAGTTCCACGACATGGACCAGGACCTCGTCGTCAGCCTGAACCAGGCCGGCATCGACGGCATCCGCGCCGCGGGCGCCACCTCGCAGTACATCACGGCCGAGGGCAACTCGTGGACGGGCGCGTGGAGCTGGGTGTCGAGCGGCAACTCGGGCTCGATGGGCGACCTGACGGACCCGCAGGACAAGCTCATCTACCAGATGCACCAGTACCTCGACAGCGACAGCAGCGGCACCAGCGAGACGTGCGTCAGCACCACCATCGGACAGGAGCGCCTCGAGGCCGCCACCGCCTGGCTGAAGGAGAACAACAAGAAGGGCCTGCTGGGCGAGTTCGCCGGCGGCAACAACGACCAGTGCAAGACGGCCGTCTCGGGCATGCTCGACTACATGAAGGAGAACAGCGATGTTTGGGAGGGTGCTTTGTGGTGGGCGGCCGGTCCCTGGGTAAGTGTCTCCATTCCTTTTTTTTTGTTTGAGCGGTTGTACTAATGGCCTGCACAGTGGGGCGATTACATGTACAGCATGGAGCCTACGGATGGTGTCGCTTACACCGCTTACCTCGACACCCTCGCTTCTTACGCCTAAACGATTCGCGACCTTTGAGCGGATTCTGGTAGTGTTCTGCGGGATAGGTGATTGCTTCGATTGTATATATTCTTAAACCTCTCTTCTCACACATATTTTTTAAAAAAAAAAAATACGGGGAATACTTTAGCACTGTCATAACCTTACTTCTTATTACTTTTGTGACCAACGACAAGTGATTGGGGCCTCCTCAATTGACCACCGATTCGCATCGAAGCAGCATCAACACTGCGGGTGGTAACAGAAATTGACGTTATTCTCTGGAAGATGTTGTATCTAACTTACGTAGGTAGTTGAATTGAATGTCCGGACGGATATGTTCCCGTCAAGGCTCACATCTACATCCAGACATTAGATTCAACTACCTACGTAGGATAACATACAACCCTATACGAAGCCTAGCGGGCCGAAATATTTTGTCATCCGCTATGGAAACAGCAGCAGACGACTGTACTCGGCAATTGCGAAGCTACATATACCATCAAAAGATGGTGTCGAGTCCGTCCATAGGTGCATAACAATCTCCAAATTTAGTTTACAAAGACATGATAAAGTAATTCCTTCTCATTTCCATTATTTCTATTTTGGTCATCAGAACACATTCAGCTCGACATTATTACCTCTTCCGCCCCCATCGAAATAAACACAAATATTACAGCCCGACCACAACCAATCTACGGATGCAACCCATCAAACGTCTCCCTAATCTCCTCGACGCCATACCCCGCATCCAGGGCCAACTGCAACAAAATGCGGCTCTTGGACGGGTTCAACCAACCCGCCGCCACCATCCAATCCTCCACATCCTCCTTCGGCACGAAGCCATCGGGGGTGCGCCTGCTCGCGACCATGGGCGTACCCGTCGCATTGAACGCGGCGCTCGCGGCTTCCTTGACGGCGTCGTCGATGGAACCGGCGCCGCTGCCGGCGAAGACGATGCCGGCGGCGCCGGCGGCGACGGCGGCGGGGACGAGGGCGGCGACGTCGTCCTGGTGGGTGTAGAGGACGGCGACGGTGGGGAGGGTCGTTGCGGTGGGGGAGGGGGGGAAGTTGGGCTTGTTGGGGACGGAGGCGGCGGTGTAGTAGAAGTAAGGGATCTGGTTGATGAAGAAGCCGAGTTGGCCTTGCTCGGTGGCGTAGAAGGTGTCGAGCGAGTTGGCGTTGTTCTTTTGCGTGTAGAAGGCGGAGCCGATGCGGCTGTGGGGTGTCAGCGTTTGTTGCCCCCTTTTTGCGGAGGGAAAAGTGGCGGTAGAGCTCCTCGAGGGAGACTGCGGTTGGAAACTTACTCGTTCAGCGTGATCATCACGCCTCTCCCCACTGCCTTTTCGCTCGCCGCCAGGCTGACGGCCTGGTAGAGGTTCAGCGGGCCGTCGGCGCTCAGCGCCGTCGCGGGACGCATGGCGCCGACGACGACGACCGGCTTCGTGCTGTTCACCACCAGGTCGAGGAAGAAGGCCGTCTCCTCCATCGTGTCCGTCCCGTGCGTCACGACGACGCCCTGCACGTCGTCCTTCTCCAGCTCCTCCGTGACGTTGCGCGCCAACTGCAGCAGGATCGACGAGTTCACGTTCTGCGATCCGACGTTCGCAATCTGCTGACCAAACACGTTGGCCAGATTCAATACGTCAGGTACGGCATCGACCAGCTCCTTCACGCCCAGCCCGACCTGGTAGCCGACGGTTTGCGAGGACGAGGTTCCCTGCGAGGCGATGGTGCCGCCGGTGGCGAAGATGGTGATGTTGGGGAGGGAGGCGTTGATGCTGGGCTGCTCGAGCACTTGGCGCGGCAAGATGGGCTGGCCGAGGGGCGAGGCGGATATGGTGGTGGGGAGGAGTGCGGCGAAGGCGGCTGCCGCCGAGAAGGTTGAGGAGAGCATGGGTGGCAGATGGAGGTGATTTGGAGGGGGAGAGGAGAGGAGGGGAGAGAGAAGAGAGCTGGAGCTGGAGCTGGAGAGGTGAAGCAGAAAGCAGCAGCCTGGGCGGCTCTGCACACAGGTATTTATACTGGATATCGAGAGACAGCAGCAGTGCCTACCACTCACTGACTCTTCTAGCCCACCCAATGCCAGGCCGTGTCAATCGCAGCCCGCCCCGGTAGTATCCATGCCGAGAGCTAGTGAAGCGCGCACGGTGCGCGGCCTACGTCGGTCAGCCATTGTGTCATGGAACTGGCACAAGGAGCACTAAAATCGGGAGAGCAAAGAAAAAAACAAGGGACGGGAGCTGGGCCGAGAGCTGCGGGTAGCTATCTTCTGGGCGGCGTGGGGTTCCTGGCTGCCGGCCTTGCAGCTCAGGTACCCTTGCGGGGGGGGCGAGAGGTGAGCCATGGCCAGAAACCAGAGGCTCGATCGGCCTTGGCTGGTGCAGGGCCGAGCGCAAGGTACGACTACTGCAGCCCGATGGGGGAAGAAGAACGACTTTTGTTGAAGAAGGATGCTCTTGGCTGGCTTCGTAGCGCAGCGGCATGGCTTGGACAGGTCGGCAATCGCCATTGCACATCCGCCCGATTGCCGGTGTTGCTATAAGCAATTGCTTGATGGAATGCATAGCCACGCCCTTATCGTTCGTCGCCCAGCCGGGCTTCTCCACGGCGGCAAGCAAATGTAGGCGGCGAGGTCGGATGAGGCGGTGTCAATGCGGCCAGTTGTGCTTACGCGAAGCGGCGATAAGTGAGCCAAGGGCGCCGGGGCGTCGGCGGGGACGACAGCCACGATGGAGAGGCGGGAGAGATAGGGAACGGCGGGCGGGTGGGCATGCTTTTGCCGACCGATCGGACACCCAAACCCTCCCGCCAATCGGCGCGAGGCCGGCACACGTGCGAGGCTGCGCTCCCCAACCCGGCAATTGATGTGCATCTCCAAACCAAGACTTTACACGATGGAAAACCACCCGTCCCTCGTCGGCGTCAGGCACGAACGAGGAAAACTCGATCGCATCCAGGGCGCATTGCACGCCTTGACAAACGGAAACCCGGGCTCCGGAATCGCCACCAGCTCAGACCGCGCCGAAACGTAACGTTTTGGGCGGACAGACATCGTGAGCGGTTTTCGTGGTGTTGGCATTACCCCTCCGGATCCGCAATCCACTGCGGGTTGACGTAGGTTTTGGGCGCCCGCCAACCCCTGGATCTCGAAGATCTGGAGCTTAGACGCTTGGCGCGAAGGGCGAGAGCAGCAGAGCCGCCCATGTGCTCGCCTTGCAGCCGTCCGTCGCGCTTGGCACCCGCGTCCTGACCGTGTCTGGCTGCCTCTTGCTGTCGATCTTCGCTGCAGACGTGCCGCATTGGGCAACCTTCGGCGTTTCTGGCGCACTGCAGCCTCGGAATTATTATCGTGTATACGAGAGACGTCTATAACCTCGTGGTCGGTCCGTCTGGTATTGCAACAGCGGGGACTGGATGCCACAGCTGCCCACGGGGGAGTCGAGGATGACCTAACAGAAACAGCGCTTAGCTCGCTCCGCAACTCTGCAAACACCGCAAAGCGTACATTGTCCAGTCTACGGGCCGACTTGTGCACGCTGTGGGCTACATGCACTGAACCGTCACTGAGCACCTCGTCGTCAGGCGGACCCTAAAGACTGACCAGAATGCATCGACTATGACCACTTCTCAATCATTCATTCCAGGATGCCGCAAGCGCCAGGCCGACGTCCATCCTCCGACACCCCAGCTTCAGGTCTCCCCACCTCAAACCGCATGGAAAATTTGGTATAAAAAGATCATTTCCATCCCCTGGCGGCTGTATCCTCCACGCTCCCCATCATTAGCCACGCCAGTTGCGCCCCCTCCAATTAGATTGTTCGTTCAGTACCTTTGAAAAAAATAAAAAAAGCAAAACAAGCACAAAGTAAGGAGAGTATGACTCGCAAGAAACAGGAAAGTGAATAAATACGCCTGATGCCCCCATGCCAATTCCCATCCAACCCGCCATTTCAGGTAAAAAAAAAATCGTACAAACAACTATGTGGAGTTTCTCAACCTCATCCCTTTGTGCTTTTGACTTTGTGGTATACTTGTCTCAAACCCTGAGACTCAGAAATCAAAGAACTTAGTGACGGATTCCCAGGCAGCTCGAGCCAAACTCTTCCGTGGGCCGAGATTTACAAGAGACCGCTTTCGTGTCCTACTCAACAATATTGATGAAGGACATTTGAGATCAAATCGACACTGAAAGGAAAATTACATCACCACGCAATTTTCTTCGTGCTGCTCCTTGTTAGACCGGGACAGGCGCTCACGTCCCTTCTGGACCTTGGCACCGCCCTTCTTGAGCTCCTCCAGACGTTCGCGTGCCTTGGGGAAGTTGTATGCTGCAGCGAGCAAAGTCGTTAGTGACGCCGTACAAACATGCGAGACTAGCAACGGGGGAAACTTACAAGCTGCCCGGCCATACCATCGCTTTGCCTCTTCCAAGCTTCTCTGACACCCAATTCCTACTTCGGTGTAGTATCCCATGGCAAACCTAAAGATACGTTACTGAATGTCTCCTGGAGGGTGACAAGATTGAAGGGCACTCACATTGCCTTTGGAAGCGGCGGATCCGCGCACGCCGCTTTCCGCGCCCAGAGGTACGCTTCAGTGTCGCTCTGCTCCAATATGCCTTGGCATCCGGTCAGATACCAGCCTGACAGCGCCAACTCGCTCTGATGCTCTTCCTGAGCCGCCGCGCGCGTGTACCACCCGATACTCTTCTTCGTATCAATCGGACAACCGAGATAGCCGTACTCGAACGCCTCTCCGAGTCGGAACTGCGAGAACTTATAGCCCAACTCGGCAGCCTTCTTGAAAAGGTTGAACGAGTACTGCTCGTCGCGAGAGACGACATCAGCAGCGGCGTCGCGGGACCCGGCCTTGTTCGAGTACAAGAGCGCGAGCTCGTGCAGCGCGTGTGGGTTCTCCTCGTTGGCATGGTCTGCCGCGCGTTTGAGCCAGGTAATGGCTTCTTGCGGGGACTTTGGCTGGTTCAGGAGGCCCTTGAGCTGGATCATGCCCATCTTATACATGGCAGCAGTGTCCCCGAGAGCTGCTGATCGTTTGTACCATTGCACTGCCTTGACCGGGTCTTTCCGGGTGCCGCCGCCATCTTCAGCACCAATCTCACAGCAAACAGCAGTACGGTACGCTGCTTGAGCATGTCCTAGCTTCGCTGCCTCCAAATACAGCGAGAAAGCTTCTTTCTCACTACGCTCCAGCCCGAGCTGTCCAGATCCCATGCAGTCTGCCAAGTAGAACATAGCCTCCGGATGTTTGCTGTGGGCGAGCTTCTTGACGATCTTGTGTGCCTCCATCGTATAACGCTCTCGGTTTTTATTGCGCGTTTTCGGATCCGCACGACCTCCCTCATCCGCCAACACAGCAGCAGCTTCGACAAGTTTCTTCGCAAGGCGCAGCTGGATATCTCTGTCATTCGGACGGGCGGCAGCGTCGTTCCGGAGTCTGACTAGCTTGTCCATGGTAATCGGGTCAGACCCGCGGCGAGCTTTCCTTTGGGAGGCGGAGGGAGACGGGCCACCAGGTACATCCGGGTTGGGAGTAACATTGTGTTGACGGATTGGAATAGGCTTGCCCGATTGCTGCGGCGCCTGCTGCCCACCCGGCTGCTGCAGCCCGGGACGGACTGGCGTAGCATGGTGCGGGAGAGCATCTGGATTAACGGGGCGGCTGTCGGCTGGACTCATCATATTATTGCCTCGCTGGTCGACAGGACTCATCATGTTATTTCCCCGCTGATTTACGGGGCTCCTCGTGTTGTTTACTGGACTCATCATGTTGTTGCGCTGGTCCACCGGGCTCATCATGTTGTTCGGTCCACGCGGTCCCATATTTGTCTGTAATGGTGGACCGCGTGTTCTATGATCAGGGAGTGGCTGATTGGGAGGGCCGTTGTTGTATCGTCCATTTGGTCCAGGATCAGACGCCTGCGACATTTCTGTAGCGTTGCGTTGCATTTGGTCGGGTCGACCTCCGTACGGACGCATGCCATGACCTGGAGGGCCTGGAGGACCTGGAGGACCTGGAGGGCCAGGAGTGCCACGAGCCATACCATTCGGTGGCATACCGCCGTAAGCCTGTCCAGGTGGTCCACGTCCGTATCCTTGCGATGCTCCCGGGTGTGCAGGGGGTGGCACCTGGCCATACCCGTACCCTCCCTGGTCATTGAAGGTCTGACTTCGAGGCAATTGCGGTACAGGCGGGGCGTCGGCAGGCATCTCATGAATGTAATTGGGATCCTGGCCTCGATTGAAATCCGGTTGGGATCTACTCCTGTGCAATGGCTGGCTGAAGTTTGAGTTAGACCGTCCGCGCGACTCGGCAGGAGGGTAGTCCCGCTGATGGCTTGGCGGAGCATTGGTTCCACCCAAATGCTCTTCAAAGGACAGGCCGCGTCGATGTTTAGGTGCCTGTGGAATAGCGTCGAAGTCTGGCATCTCAGCTTCAATGGCGTCCTCGCGACTCAAAGGTTTGCGTGGGTCATGACCGTGCTGATTGTTGTAATAGTGGTCGACCACCTCCTCCACCGTGTCGCGTTTGTCGGGCTGGTATTTTAGCGGGGCGTAAGGTGTGGGAGCTTGCGCTTTCTGCGGAGGCGGCGGCCGTCTTTCGCCACCTGCAGTAGAAGGACGCTGGCCATAGCTCTCTGGATTGGCACCGTAGTGACCCGGAGCTGGACCGGGCTCCTGCCATTGCTGGTCATAATCTTCCTGATAGTTTTGCGGCATCGTCTGCGAGCGCTGCATCGGTCGGGGCTGTTCGGGCGAACCAAATGGCATGCGGAAACCGCCAATCGAAGCCTCGGGCTTAGCGGTATGCGATCGCTGCGGCGGGGGAGGGTAGTCGAACTGGTCAGGGCCGCGTGCGTATCCAGGCATATTCGGTCTGCTGCTGTCCAGACTTGGGCGCGGTCCATCACTTGCCTTGCTCATCTTCCGCGGAGCCTTCCTGTACGGGTCGCCATTTGGTGGTGGGGCATTCTTGATGGGCGCATTAGCTGTGGTGTCCTTGACCATTCGGGCTTTCGACCTTGGGGGAGTTTTGTTGTTTGGAAATACCGGAAATGGGTTGTCGAAAGGCATTCCCTCGGGTGAACGCGGGCGATTTGCTGTCTAGGCGTCAGAACAAAATTCAACTATTTTGAAGCGCCATGTGCTTACGTGCTCTGGCACCACGCGGCGGGGCATTTTGAGGCGGGGGTCGCCCGCGGCCCATCGGATCGCCTTGGGGAGGACCGCGCGGTGCTGGGCCTCCGTATCCGCCTCGTCCTGGAGGAGGACCGTATCCTCCTCGACCTCGGGGGGCCGGACCAGGGCCTCCATCTCGCCCTCGAGGAGCGCCCCCAGGCGGCGGACCCTGGGCGTAGTTCTGGGGCGGCGGCGGCGGCCCACCGTTCATCCGCCCATAACCCGCTGGAGGGGCGTTCTGGCGAGGCGGCGGGCCTTGTTGCTGCTGGTAGCCGCCGCCGTACCCTCCCGAGTATCCTCCATAGCCATCGTCATAATAGCCGTTTTGGTATCCATCGTCGTATCCATATTGGTCGTACTGCTGCTGGGCCTGCCCATAGCTGTTGTTGTAATGAGCGTCGTCGTAGCCACCCTGGTCGTAGTACTGGCGCGGGGGCGGACGGTAATTCTGGTGTGCGTCGTAGGCCATATCGAACGGCGCGACTTGGGCGGCGCGGGGGAGCAAGGGCGGTGGTGTTCAGGTCGGTGGTGTGCTCGCGAGCGAGGATAGCGAAAAGGAGCGTGGTCGGGTTGGAAGCGGGATGCCTGCCGTGCGATAAGGCGCTTTGGCACCTTAAGACAGGCGGTGGTGTCGGTTTGCGGGCTTGTCGTCGTGTCTGGTCGGCGGACGAGTCGATGCTGAAATTGCTCGGCTATAGGCAGATCACCATGACTTGGCTTGGGCAGCGGGAACTATCACAATTACGAGCGGCGCACAGTCCAGATTGAGGAGCTGAAGCCGGACGTGTCGGAGGCTCAGCAAAGCTTGCGCTGGAGATTGATGCGTTTCAAAGCACCCCGGCGCGCAGGGTCGGGTCGTGGAGCGAGAGCGGCGCAGGCCAATGGCGGCTGTTGGGCGCGGAAACGTGGGCCTTGGGGTCGCACAGCTGGTCGGGCTGTCCGGAGCAGCGCGCGAAGGAGCGACTGGGGCGAGCGAGCGCGAGCGCGCAGACGGCGGGTTGGAGTGTTTGCTTCGCGCGCACCTCTCCAGGCGCGGCGTCGTCGACGGCGGCACGAGACAGGGCAGGTGCGACGGCGGCCAATCACTGCCAGGCTGGCGCGGTGCAATTTCAGGCGCCTGGCGCCGTCGCCCGGTTTGCGTCTCCGCGCCACTTGCACCGCCACAGCGCCAGCCCGAAAATCGATGACACGGGCAATCCAAAGCCAATCGCAACCCCAACCCGCACAGCTTGAATCGCCCACGTCCGCGCGTGACCTGACGAATCCGCTCCGCTTCGTCGCTGCTGCTGATCGCCGTCGCTGTGCCTGTTTCGCCCCGATCCTGCCTCGCCACCGCTGCCATGCCTGGTTTCGGGACCTACTTCAAGATGTTCGCCTCGTGGGTCCACCGTCATCCCCGGATCGCCCGCGGGACGCTGACAGTTCGACAGGGGCGCTGTGCTGTGCATTGGAGGTCCCGCACTCGTCTACTACGTGTCTCCAACCGAGGAGGAGCTGTTCAAGGTATGCGTCTTACCTGCATCGATTATGCCTCGGGCCGCCCCCATCGTGGTTATCATCAGAGCTGGCATCACTGTGACACTGCATTGCCTGCCTACTTTCGTTGGCGCAGGCTTCCGATCATCTGTCTTCCTGTTGTTTCCCTGGCCAGCACAGTTGCTCACCCGGTAGCAGAGATACAACCCGGAGCTGCAGAAGCGCTCTCTGGAGAACCGCATTGGAAAGCAGCAGGACTTTGACGATTTTGTCGGCAGGCTAAAAGAGTACTCCAAGTCAGACAAGCCGAGTATGACCAACCCCGCCCCATGAGGCCCGTTCTATCCTCGACACTGACCCTGTTACCACAGTCTGGGAAGCCGCAGACGAGGCACAGCGCAAGCACTCGGCGCTGCAGCGCCAGAAGATTGTGGACGAACAGCGCCAGCTGGCTGTCGACGTTGAGCAGAGACGCCAAGAGATGCGGCAGTCCGCTGGAGAGCAATGAAGGTTGTGGTCTCGCCCCCTCGCAGATTTCCTTGCTTTGTGTCTAGCTGTATGACGGTATCCAACACATGTACTATCAGAGCCCCCGCTGCTAAGCACTTCTGCGGCCATCATGAATGCGACGACCCGCCATGCGCCATCGGTTCCATTGCAGAATTCTGCTTCCCTTGGCTTGTGCTCTCACAGTGCGCTCACTACCTGGAAAATGCTGCGCTCTCTCAGCGCATCCACCCAAGGTCGACGTGCCGATGAGACGGAACGGGATCATAAAACAGGAATTGAGGAAAAAGGAACAAGCTTCAACCCTAATCTGGTAATCACCACGCCTATCAGTCTTGCCATTTGCCATCTTCTACGCATCCTCGTAGCGGCAGCACTAAACGCAGATCGCGATTGCATCACGCAATGATACTTAATGCGAAACGTCAAGCGTCGCGGTTCTTTCCAGACAGAGTTCGGGCGATGGTCAGCCCACAAGGAACGTCGACACGGCCCGGTAGTCGGCACGGAAGATGCATGATACCTAGCGTGCATGCGGAAACTTGATGCAACCTTTTTTTCTGCATCTGTCTTTACATGGTGTTCCACCATGTAGCTAGTTGGCTTGGCTTCACATGACTCGTTCTCTCTTGCCAACCCGTGCCAACCCTATATTCCCCTACATAGCTGGCGCAACGGCCTGTGAGACGGTTTGAAAGCTGCTGCGTGACGCAACGCGGCTCAGGACTTTCGGGTTGACTTGTTGCCGAGCTGGCACCTGAAGCAGTCATGGTCGCAAAGCATGTAAGAATTGATGACCTTTTGGTAGCGGGAGACACAAACGAGGGGGAATGGAAAGCAGTAGACGCACTAGTGCGATAACGGAACGTTGGGAATATTTCCGTGTCAACTATCACGGCTTAAGTAAGTAATACGCCCCGACTGCTTTTGCTCATTTCTCACATCATCCACAACGTGATTCACAGACTACATTGTTCCATCCTCAACCTCCTTTTGAAACTCGGCCATTTCCTCCAATGCTGGTCCGAACACCGTCGCTCTGTCGCCACCGTTCAAAAGGCTCAGCTTCCTCATCAAAGGCGCGATCCAGGCTCTGGCAGCGTAGCTCTTGCAGCCTCTGATGAAATAATACGCCACACACAGCCGATTGAGGTGCTCGAATGGCCCACGCGTGGCGTATGAATTATGCCTCGCCGATGAGAAAGAGTGCGTATCCAATTTTTCCTATTTTTACGGAGCAAAAGCGCTACCACTGTTGGCAACGAATTGAAACAAAAGGTGCGTACTAGCCTACCGGTTAAATGTTCCGACTACGGAGGTGTACCATTGCTGGAAAGCGCATTCGCACTCCGCTTCACGTCACCCGTAATCGTATACGGGACCGAGGCCACGGAAAACAATATCGCTAAAAGTCCACAGTAAAGAGCCTCATGCCACTCGTGCAAACTCTGTGGAGCCGCGTAATGATGATTCTATAGTCGAAGCATCGACCTCATATAGGCTTAGCAAGTCGTCGTCATCACACTAAATAGGCAGGTTGTACTTTAGTCGGCCCCGAGAGCGTTTCGGACATCAAGGCCAGAGGTTCGGACATAAACGAAACAAAGATATAAATGGGCCGTTTCGGCGCCGTCGAGGTCTCTTCACAGGCCGCTTTCACCCCGATCCAAATCATGAAGGCAAACGTCATCACGGCGGTAGTCACTAGCCAGGCCTGCCTGGCATCAGCCGCCCTCTACAACGAGACCATCCAGACGCAGTACGGCCCAGTACAAGGCATTCCGGCATTCGACAGCGAGCCCGTCAACAACATTTCGAACTGGAAGGATGTCACCGTTTGGAAAGGTATCCCGTTCGCGGCCGACACGTCCGGTCAGAACCGCTTTCGCCCGCCACAAAAAAGAGCTGCATGGAATTCGACTTTGGACGCCAGCGCATTTGGCGATGTCTGCCCATCCGGAAGCCTCAACTTCGGTGGAGGACCCACCAAACGGCAGGAATCGTCTGGCAGCGATGCCACCTCCGGGGAAGACTGCCTCAACTTGAACATCTGGTCCGCGGCAAATTCGACCGACGCCAAGCTCCCCGTCATGATTTGGTCGTATCCGGCCGGAGGATCAGCCGCCCAATCGCTGTTCGACGGCGGGGGCATGGCAGCGAAGGGGGTCGTGTTTGTCAATTACAACTACCGCGGTGGCGCACTGGGCTGGCTGGCGCATCCTCAGCTGGGGTCGGAAATGGTAGGCGAGGTCGGACGCAACGTGTCGGGCAACTGGGCCATGCTGGACCAGTTCGCAGTGGTGAAATGGGTTCACGAGAACATCGCAGCCTTCGGCGGAGACCCCGAACAGATAACCGTCGCAGGACAGTCTGCCGGATCCGCCGCCACATACCACATGGTCAACAGCCCCCTCACCAAGGGCCTCATCAAGGGCGCCATCGTCGAGAGCGGCATCCGATACCCGTTTGACCCGCTTTGCTCGTCGCTGGCCGAGAACTACAGGAACATGACGACCGCCCTGGCCACAGGCGTCAGTCTGATGGAGAGCCTCAACGTCACGACCATCGACCAACTGCGCCAGCTCTCTCTCGACACGCTCAACACCGCCTCGGGCGACTTCGGCGCTGTGCTCGACTACTGGGCCCTGCCCGACACGTACTACAACACGATGCTGAACGGCCCCGCCAACGACGTGCCCCTGATCACGGGCAACACCAAAGACGAAAGCGGCGCCTCGCTCCCCATCAACATCACCGTCTCCGAGTACACCCAAGACCTGCAAGACCAGTACGGCTCCGACTTCGCCCAGCGTTTCCTCGCCCTCTACCCGGCCACCAACAGCACCCAGGCCGGCATGTCGTTCAACGCCCACTATCGCGACACCTCGCGCGTCTCCAGCTGGCTGTACGCCAACGGCTGGGACGCGAGCCCGACCGAGAGCCCCATCTACACGTACTACTGGGACCACGCGCCGCCGGGCCAGGACCGGGGCGCGTATCACGAGTCGGAGATCTGCTACGCCCTCAACAACCTCTACGGCACCGACTACCCCTGGGAGGAGCAGGATTTCGTCATCGCCGAGAAGATGTCGGCGTACTGGGCGAATTTCGCGAAGACTGGGGACCCCAACACGGGCGCCTCTTACACCGGACCCGGCGAGTTGGTGCACTGGAACACGTCCTCGCCGACCAAGAACGTGACGATGCACCTGGGCGATGGGTGGGGTGACACGCCGCTGGCCAGCCCCGAGCAAGTGCAATTGCTGAGCGACTTCTTTGCTACCCAGCCCGCGTTCTGAGGTAGAAGATGTAGAATTTCAATGTGGAAAAACAAAAAAGAGGACGTGCCCATTGACGACGAGTCCCATGTAGATACTTAGCCAATCCGACATGATTTTTGATTTTAACATGCTTACTGGTCAAACTGTCTTCCATCCGTAATCCGTATCTACCAATTTATCCAGAATCTTCCGGTTTCTGGATGACTATTTGTGAGGGGAGCCCAGTACTTTACCGGACGCAGCCTGACACATCCGGAGGGTGGTATTGAAGCTACGCATGTAGTGTGATAATCTGTGCGCAGAGCCCCAACTTCCCCGCATACCTCGGGGACTGCCTCATGCCGGAATTGTTGCTGGTCTTATAGTCCTGCTTGAAGAAGCAGTTGATGCATTTTCCTTTTCACTACAATTTTCATGTTTAACAAAGTTGCGTGGTGTCCGAACGCAAGTCGGATGTTTCCCACGACAATGGATCTGGAGAAGGGCCAGTGTAATTACGCTGAGAATTTTTCTCTAGTAGAAGAAGTAAATGTGACCATACAATACGACCCAGAAGAAAATTGAAGAAGTATAATGCGCAAACTCGATTACCACCTCCCCCCCTCTGCTTCTTCGCCCTGTATACCTTCTCCGTCCTCGACGTACGTACGACAACAACATCTTTCTCTGATTCGGCTACTCATAGTCTATAGAGAGTAAGCCTGGGAAACGCCAGACTCATCGGCCTGAAGGATGACATCGACTTTCCTGGGAATCGATACGAATGGCTGGGCAACGCATTCTACATTACTTACATCATCGTCCAATTCAACACCCTCGAAGGGAAGATATCCAAGCCGCACAAATGGAATGCCATCCTTGGATTCCACGAAACGATAAAGGCAGAAAGCTTGATTTTCATAATTGCACTTCACGATGGCGCTGGAGGGACATGCTGACGACCAGGAAAACAGTGCCAACCAGGATCAAAACGGAGGGAATACAATTCGAGAATTTCAACCCACAACCACCACTGTTCAGCTGCACGAGTGGCTCGGGTGGCTAGCAAGAGACGCACCATCCGGGAAAGATTTTATAAAAAATTCCAACCAAACGGATAGCTCTGAGGAAACCGCGTTAAAGATGTCGGGTAAAATTTAGCACAAGCCTCAGGAGTATCGAATGCAGCCATCCCTCTCCTTTGAAAAGGTTACCGAACAAAAGAAAAAAGACTTATAAGCCGCAGATGAAGCATGGTTACTCCAGTCCGGAATCGCAAAGCTGGATCGGTCCTAACGTCAAAGCTTTACGTGCGAGGTTGCGGCTGTCAACATTAATTTTTTCATGCCGAGCTTGGGACTTCTCAGTTAATTAATGATATGGCGGGGTGGGCACACGGTCGGCTCCGTGGGCAAACTCATCAAACTGGAGCACTCAACAGAAGATGACTGAGGTTGATTGTGAAGCCGGTGAGACGCCAAAATATTTCCGAACGGAGTGAGTCGAGCCGCATGAAGGCCTTTCCGGTACGAGAGGCTAATTTCTGTCATCTTTGTGAATTACGAACTGCAGAAAGTTTGCTTTTCGCTTGACGATCACCTTTGATTGTTTATTGCACAACGATGGCTGTTGAGTGTATCGATGCCGCGACTTCAGAATCACTTAGATGCAGGAAATGGAAAAGTGTATGAGGTGGGAGCCAAAGCCCCCAAGCCGCAGATAGGGTATTTTTAAAAATTACAAATACAACTCTATAAGCTCTATAGTCGTACCCATTAGAGCATTAACGTACTAAGCTGCACTTTCTCCTTCCCACTGCTCCGCAACACCTCCCCCAAACCCCAACCGCTTCCCTGCCACTTCTTCTTTTCCCCACAACACTCCAAACAGCATCCACTGCATTACCAATTCCCATCTTCGTCTTCTACCTGACTCCCAACTCCTCCATCCCACACGCTCCTTCCTCTTTTCGTATCACTCTTCCAAACTCGTGCCGCTACAGCTCGTAAATTGCGCTCTCAAGAAGAAGGAGCAATTTAGTTGATGCAGCCGCAGTCGCCCTTGAGGACGTCACCAAGGCCGACGAGGATGTCGCCGACGAAGGGAAGCAGGCTGGAGACGAGGGACCAGACGGTGGCGATGACGTCACCGAGGATCTCCTGGAGGGCGAGCAGGAGGGAGACGAGGGCGTTGACGAGGAGGTGGACAACGGAGCCGAGGAGGGTGAGGATGGCTGGAGAAGTGTTAGCGCATCGTGAAGCGTGTGAGATGTGGGAAGAAAAGAACTTACTGCCACCGAGGACGGCGACGACGCCCTGGAGGGTGCAGACGATCTCGAAGACGAGCTTGACGACGAGGTTGACAATGGCGGAGACATCGACGTTGGCGTCGACCTCAATCTTGCCAATCTTGACCGAGGCGTCGACCATCAGGGAAGCGATGGACTTGATGTCGGCCTTGACCTCGATCAGGGCGGACTTCTTGTCCTGCTCGGTGGGCTGCTGGGGAACGGCGGCCACGGTCTTGTTGATGGAGCTGGTGTGGCTCTGGACGTTGGTGTACAGGGTCTGGACGACGCTGTAGACGGTCTCGTTCTTGGAGACGGTGGTGGTCTTCTCCGAGTAGGTCTTGGTGAGCTGGCTGGTCTGCGAGCCAGTCAGGCCGGAGACGGCACCAAGGGCATCACCGCCGGTGGGGGCGGAGAGGGCACCGAGGAAGAGGGTGCTGAAAGCAAAGGCGGAGGCGAACGAGAAGCGCATTTTGACGGATTAGAGTTGTAAAGATTATTAGGTCTCGAAAGAGTGACTGAGCGACTGAATAGCGAGTGACTGTAGCACGAAAGGCTGGAGTTGGAAGAGAGAGTGGCTCGATGGTGAGGAAAAAAATCTCTAGCGGCGCCTCAACGGTCGAGTCTTATACTCAGTCGACTCGCCATGGCCACGGGCTGTTGCGAACCCCCGTGATGGTCGTCGTGTGGGCTCGACCAACTCGACTAGCTGCCAAAATGATGCTCTTCAGAAGATATGCCGGATGCGGCTAGGCCCGCGAAGTTGGACTTACATCACAGGCCAAGAAACGCGCGCCCGGCCCAGCGCTACGGTGGACGGGCCTGCGGCTGCATCCCGAACCCTTCCGCTTTGGGCCCTGATCGACGGGAGCGGCAGGGGAACGGCCCTCGAGCGCGGCGTGGGCGGTTGCGATGCGGAGGCAAAGGGGCACGCGTCCTGGCGAGCGGTGACCACCAGGGCAGGGTTTACCGGCAGCCAGCCTCATTACCGTCTTCTACGATCAGCTTGGAAGCGTGATCCACGATTTCCAGAATCTCCACATCAATCTGCGAGGCCTTGGAATCCCTACTGCTCATCCGAATGTTGGATTGGAGGCCAGAAAATCATCATTTTTTCCTTGGTTATGCGGAGAATTTACCCCGTAGGCGCCCGACTGCCGGCAGCATCCTCGCGGCGAGTCGGTCTGCCGCCCTGGGCCGGTGTGGAAGGCTGCGGAGCGAGCCAAACGTTGGCCCCACGGCCAAAAGGGGCGTTGTGGCGCTGCTGAGGGGCCGCCATCTTCCTGTTCCTGACCGTACGAATCGCGACGGCCGGGGCGTTGGCGGGCACGGGCCGGAATCCTGCCTCTCCGCCATGGCCGCGACTCCGCCGACCCATCCGACCGTCGGGTGCGGCACGATTGTAATCAGCCTTGGCCTTCGCAGGGCGTAGCTTGGTAGGGCCGCTGATGCGGTGGCCAAGGGGCGGTTGCGCCGCATCCACCGCATGAATTCAGCCCTACAGCCGAAGCCGCCCCAAGCTCGTGGGTTTTCTGGAAGTCATGCCGCTCCTCCCAGGCCATCGTCGAGCCCTCGCTCGCCGAGCATGCGCCGAGACAAATGGCGTGCGGTGTGCTGTTCGAGCACTTGCCGCCGCCTGTTGGAGCAATATCCCCGAGTCATACCCCTTGAGGGCGATCCGAGGGCCAACATCGACCGGTCATGGGCTAGCAGCCGTTTACGGCGCTCCCGCGGTCAGCCACGCGCCCTGCCTCTGTTTGATAGGAGAAGCTTAGTCTGGGGACCCTCGACCGTTGGGCTGCTTTGGGGATTGAGATAGCTGATCAGACTTGGTGGCTTCGATTTTGACTGCCGCAAAACTCATTAGATACCGCGGCCTCTGCGACAGATTGGGGCGAGACCAGGCTATTGACACTCGACCGACACCGCCCAATCACCGGTTGCACGGTTGCGCCGGCCGCTGCCAGTTATCTGCTGTACAGGCAGGCGACGACGGATGGGGCGGAACACGACCGCAAAATGATTACGCTACTTTTTGCTTAGCGCTCACCTCTCTGCATCCATCCGCCTCGTTTGGCGCCATTTCGGGCGACAGGCAATCTCATTTCCTTCCGCATCCTTCCACTCTTGCTTTCTTCCAATCACGCATCGTCGAGGCCTTCGAACAGATCAACGCCCCAAGACCTGCTGGGATTGTTGAACCTCGCCAGATACTTGTCTCCGATCTTCTCGATCTTGTCCATGTCCGCGTCGATCAGGCCGCACTCGACAGCCTCGAAGTTTTCCTTGATCCAACTCTCATGGCTCGACTTGGGGATCACACTTGTGCCTCGCTCGATCCCCCAGGCCAGGGCAACCTGTGCCACGGTGCAGCCGCGCTGTTCGGCAATCCTCTCCAGCTCCGGGTTCTCGACCAACAATGGCGCCTTCTTCTGGGAAGAGCGGCGGTAGGTGGGATTGGTGTTGCCCAAGGGCGAATAGGCCGTGACGTGGATGCCGTGTTTCTGGTGAAATTGCACCCACTCCTCCTGCTGCAGGTAGGGATGCAGTTCCATCTGGTGCACGGAGGGCGTCACGGTCGACGACCTCAGCAGCTTCTTCAGCTGGTGGGGGGAGAAGTTGGCGACGCCGATGCTGCGGGTCTTGGTGGGCAAAAGCTTCTCCATGGATTTCCACGTCTACCCGCGATCATTGGCACCTGCATAGCGATGGGCGGGCAGCACTTACCTCGACGTAGTCATAGTCACCGGACGAGCCCACCGGCCAGTGCATCAGGTAGAGGTCCAAGTACTCGAGCCCGAGCTCCTCCAGCGTCTTGCTTAGCGCAGCGTCGACGGTCTCTTGGTCGCCGTGGTGGTCATTCCACAGCTTACTTGTCACCCAGATGTCATCGCGCTGCAGTCCGGCCCTCTCGAGCCCATCGGCGATGCCCTTTCCGACAGCAACCTGGTTGCCATAGATGGCGGCGGCGTCGATGTGACGGTAGCCGGTCTGGATAGCGAGGGCGACGGCCTCGGTGGTATTGTCCGGCGACACTTTCAGGTTCCATGTGCCGAAGCCCAGGAGCGGGGGCGCCACGCCCTGGTGAGGCTTGAATGGCGTCTGCCCGCCGTCGGTGGCGGCGAATGCTGCAACGACCAAGGCTGCGGCGCTCACGATGCTGAATGAGACCATTTTCGACATATTTCAGGTGCAATTGGGAACGGCAGTCGGGAGGGGATGCATGGCGTGTCGTCTCCGCACCTTTATGCGAGTTGGGTGGTGGATGATGTCACCAAGACGCAGCAGTCGCAGAACCTCCATACCTACCCGGAGAAACAATGCACCGCTGCAGAGCCGAACTGCCCGCATGCACACGCAACCCGTGGCCATCTCTCCCGACCCGACTAATGGGCATTTCCAGTCCTGCGTGTCGTGCAGTGAGGTCACAACAGAGTTGTTTTCGACACTCGTAAGGCGGGGAGTTAAGGTTAAGGGTGTCCGCGATAGATTAATTTTCCGTGTGTAGTCAGGGGCTGCCCCATCCGCGCGTCCACCCACTCGGGCGCCCGACTCGTCTTCACACGCGCCCGCTGCAACCCCCTCCAACGCCAACAAGCCCACTTCTGCAGACTCCTGGCCGCGCATCTTTATGCAGCACACAGTCAACCCCCCTCTTGGTCCGACACTCACGTGCGTGTCCGAACAGCCAGCGCATCCCTTCGCAAACGCGAGCGAACCACCAGTGGGCGTTTTCAGCCTCAGTCTTGCATGAAACACCGCACGCAAAGCGCCCAAGCAACACGTCACGGCGCGTCTAGCGATGGACAGTCGCCTAGATTCTATCGATCAGTCAAACTTGCATCCATCCTCTGCACCACCGATGCGATTTGGCCTACAACGATTTCTTGTGTGGGCAGTTGAAGCGAGTATACCGACGTAGGTGCAAGGCCAAACGACCTTTGCTCATGAGGAGTTGAAGCAGGTATCCAGATGCAAATGCGAGTATGGATCCACATCCAGGATTCGACTACCCATGCAGCTTACTGCGAGATCTGAACATTTGTTTGGCGCCGAAGCCTGTCTTACCCTTGCCTTGTTTCAAGTGAATCCCCGTCTATTGCTGATTTCCACCTTCCTGTTTCCGCCCCTGCAATCGCTTGTCGCCGTCAGCCTCAACTTTCTCTCAACGTGACATCTTACCCCACTTTCACACCTCGCCTACACATCAAACCGTAGACAACATGGACCAAACAAGCTCTGAGGAGGCGCACGGAGACGTAGGTACCGGCTCTCTGTGTATCAAAGATGATGCGCATCGATCAACTTTTGGGAACAGGATTTTGCCAGCCATCGACGGAAACGCCTTGTGGACGTCATTGATATCGTCCTGGACAACGTAAAGGTATCCTATGCCCTTCCCCCGCTTCGGCATATCAACCTGATGACATTCGCAATCAGAGGCACAAGCCATACACCGATGCTTTCCAAAATAAAGAGCTATGCGTTCGCTGCTCGAAGCTCGGCTTGAGCGAGAAGAAGTTCGTCATCTTCGATCATTCTTCCAATCGCAGCCAGCAAGCATATCGCTCCACGCTTGCTGGAACCAACGGCAAACCCTCAAAATCCGAGTTCGCCCTGGGGCCTGGGTCCGGTCGTCAAGTGCTTGGAAAAGCGCGCGAAATACTTGACCGGTCCAAAACATGCCCGTTTTGTCTCCTTGTCATTAAATCTCTGCCTGAGCGAGCTAGTGATCTCATTCAGGATGCCGGCACCGAAAAAGGAACCAAGACATGCTTTGCAAGCTGGCAGATTGATGGACGTGAGTTCACGCGGGAAGGGGGGAAGATTCTAGAAAGCCGGCCTCGAACAAGGCGTCTGCGCCTCGAATGGAGCGACAACGTGTTCAAGGCCAGTTACCTCGTTCTTGTCGCGCCAGAAGCGAAGCAAGGCCATGATCCAGTCACACGAAACCTTTGGGAATCGGACGCTTTCTTCCTGGGCCGTTATATCCCTAGCGCTGGGAAGAATCATGCGCTTGTCAAGAGATGGCTCAGCATCTGCGACGAGCACCATCAAGGCCTTTGTCGCGTCGAGAAGGACCACAGGTTCCAGGAGATGATCTCGAAGCCGTTCTTCGGTGTCGTTGATGTGCACCAAATGTGTCTCACCGCATTACCAAAAGAAGACCGGTATATCGCCCTCAGCTACATGTGGGGCAGCGAAAACATGTACACTACAAAGCTATCGAATATTGCGAACCACAAGGAGCCTGGGGGACTTGAGAAGGCCTTTAGATCACTGCCTCACGTGATCAGGGATGCCATTCAACTCGTACGAAGCTTGGGAGAGCGATACCTGTGGGTGGACTCGCTGTGCATTGTACAAGACAGCCCAAGATCGTGGCAACACAATTCCAAAGTCATGGACCTTGTGTATGGCAATGCACACCTTACAATCTGCGCGGCAGACGGCAATGGGCCCCTGGACGGCCTGAAGGGCATTCATCCCGAGCGTGTCATCCGGCAGTATGACGAAACTTGTGCTCCTGGGGTTCGGCTCATGGTATCCCATCTGGCCGAAACTTACATCGAAGAATCGACATGGAATACACGTGCGTGGACCTTCCAGGAGCGCCTCTTATCCAGGCGGTGCCTCATTTTTACTGGCAGCCGCATCTACTTCCAGTGTCACAGCACAGCCATGTCTGAGGACATCATCGCAGAGTGTCCCCAACATGCCTGGTCCTTGGAGCTTGTCCATAGCCCACTCCAGCTACTGGACGAGCTAGGCACCCGCGCGCTGCGTGTATACGTGGCTTGCGTCGAGATGTACACAAGACGAACGTTGGGACGTCCCAAAGACATACTCGCTGCCTTTAGTGGCCTAGAAAACTCTATCGGAGGCAAAATGGGATCCCCATTCGTCTTCGGCCTGCCCAGCTCGCATTTTGACCTGGCTCTTCTGTGGGAGGCCGACGGCCCTGTGAGGCTCCGAAAAAAGAAAGACAAAGAAGACGACGCAGACTACGGTCCGATTCAGTTCCCTACGTGGTCGTGGTGCGGCTGGATACCCTGTGAATCTGGAGCAGCAGCGATCAGATACACCATACCCGCCATCGAACACTGTCTGGACAACGTCCACCAGTGGCTCATGCATCACACTTGGATCAACTGGTACATCCGAGACGGACATGGTGCGCTTCGGGCAGTATGGGACGGCACAAGAGCGGCAGATGAGCACCAGAAATCTCAACCCCAATGGCAGGGCTACAAAAAGCCCAACTTGAGTCCCAACGACGCTTGTTACGACAGCTACGGCAGGACCGTCTCGAACGATATCTCGGCTTTGACCCGCAAGCGCCACGAAAAAACGCTGCCCGAGTACCCTTACTGCAACAGCGTCGCGGAGCCCGGCGCACAGCCAGACCAGGTCTTCCCCGATCAGCGGTATCTACAGTTTTGGACGTGGTCGGCCTGGCTCCGACTGCTGCCGCGAGATGCGTTTGACACGGGACCCGACGCGGGGCCGCCGGGCGACGGCCAGCCGCAGCTCCGTAGGTACGATATTGCTGATTACACGGGCGACTGGTGCGGCACGATCAAGCTCGACGAAGCATGGGCTGACAGCAGGCTGGAAGGAAGGGGTTCGGAGCTGGAGTTCATTGCCATCTCGGAGGCGAAGGGCTTCACACAGGAAGAGCAAAACTACACGTGGAGCTACTACGTCCCGAGGAAGGAAGAGCATTCCGAGTGGGATCTGTATTTCGTGCTGCTCATCGAGTACAGCATGGGCTTTGCGCGGCGAGTTGGGCTGGGCAAGGTTTTCAAAGATGCGTTTAACAATTCTTGTCCGCCCGGGAAAACGTGGAAGGAGTTCATAATGGAATGACGGGTGTTTTCTTAGGCCCCGATGATGATGGTACTCTGTGTGGGGAGCCAGAATAGTAGCCAGGTTCCAGATTGGCCTGGCCGGTGGTCGCAGAGTCAGTGACGGGAAGGGCCCCCCCAAACTCAGATGGCGTCAATGATGTAATTCCACACACAGAGCAGGAACCTTCCAAGTGCCGGGAGCTTCCTGCCGCTCGGGATGCTCCACGGAGCATGAGTCAAATGCGTGCCCGGTCTGTGGACCCTACCTGCGCAAACCGCGTTTGCTCCTGCCTTTGGATAATATGGACGCGAGAGTAGGTCCTGCCTCACCTGGTTATGGAAGGTGAGGATGCAGCATTGCCACCGGCTGATCGCAGTGTGGCCCGTTTGGGCAGGTGCAGCTACCCGTTCCAGCACCCACAGCGGGCTGCGTCTTGCCTCCAATGCACACGCGCCTTCCCATCTTCCAGTCGCCATTGCCGGGGCAGCACTGGCGCACAGACACCCTGGTCCCGTGCTCGCCGCGCAGCCTCGCCCGCCCAAAAACTACTTAAGCAGCTCTTCCTCCTCGACCTCGATTTTCTCTCGCCATACTTGTGAGTCCCACCCGCTTCCACCTTCAAAAATGACCTTCGCTAATACTTTTTACAGACCTTCTTGGGGCTTGCTATGATCAACAAGATAGCAGTCTACTCGGCACGCCGCATTGCACAGCGCGGTTGTTGACGGGTATGTAATCTCTTCGGGGCTTACACCTGGGACAATTTTTGATGGCCAACAGCCAAAATCTTTTTCGTTGACGCTCGTGCCCTCGAGGCGCAGCTCGAGGAAGAAGAGTCAGCAGCTTCTGCCTCTCAGGTGAGATTGTAGTCTGCGATGCGTCTCACCAAGACCTCTGGGCGTTTCACTGATGTCAAGCTGCCGCGCTGCGCAAAGGTTCTGTCACGGTTTGTTGCGACGGCGCACTCAGCTCCCGGCAAGCGCACCACTACCCACGTTCCGCTCGCAGTTGCAGTGGTGCATCTCACTCTCACCTGCGCTACCGACCACGTACTTGCGGATGCGGCAAGGCGCTTTCATGAGCTCTCGCAGCTGTCGGCATCGGACCTCAACGACACCAGACTGTCATGCACATACTCAACATGCCTTTGAACGCCACGTCTGACAAACGGTGAGGCCGCTCCAAGCCAGCTTCCTTTCTGGCCTAACTCTCGGACGCATCCCACAGTACCGACAAATGGCGAGATGAAACGCCTTGAAGCCAGACGAACGCAACGCTGGTCTGCATGGCGGGCGACAGATACCTTTCGCAGCACTCCGAGCTCGACTCCTTCGGCATCCACCTACAGGACAAGGTATCGTAATCTTTCTCGACGGCAGCTCCGACGTAGGCAAGACGCTTACCGCAGAAGGGGCGTATGTACGTACGTAACCCTTTGCTCCCAAAATCCTGCATCCCAAGTATACCGTGCGAGATTCTCTACCAAGTACTGACCTTTCCGTCCACAACAGTCCCCGACCGCTTCAACAAACGCCTTTTCTTCATGTCCATCGCCAGCCTCAGCAGCTACCCCCTGATACCTGAATCGCGGCTCACTGGGATCTTCCCGCTCTGCGCCAAGTGAGACGTCACCGCACTCCTCGTCCCTCGACAAAGCAGACGGGACATCTTCCGAGAGACACGTCAGTTCCACCAGCCGGCAGCAGTGATAGTATGGACAATATTCGGCATAATGGTATCGTCACAAAGATTTTGCCCAGGGCGTGGCCGAGATGGTGACGGAAAGGGGGAAAGGGCGTCATCGACCAGCTTCAGCCTCTCTACTTACAGAACCGGGACATCTTCGAGACGCGTGAGGAGGAAAGAAGGTATATCCATGAAATGCGCCGAGAGAGGAAATACCCACAGAGCTCACGCCAAGTACAGTCCAAGACCTACCACTGGTTCGCCTTCGTCTTCGCGCGCGCAATGCGTGCTTGGCGAATCCCCTGGTTCATGCTCTGCGGCACCCTCTGCTTCGCCTGCTGGTACTTCCCGTCCGCCCTCGCCATCCAGGCTTCGACATGCGGCCAAAGCTTCTTTCAAATGATCCGTTCCGTCTCCCATTTCCTCAACTCCTTCGGGGAAAGGCGCCTTGGTCCAGCCAGCATGCACCGCGGATCCTTCCACCATCGAAGCTACTAAACCGGGTTCAGTAAGCTCATGCAGTGTAAGTATGCAAAAGCTTCCGAGCGAGCACATAAGCCTCCAGACTGTTGTGCGTATCGTACATCGCCATGATTTTACTTTTATTGATGCAATACCTGTGGTGTCGCCTCGTCCGTGCGAGCCGAGGTGTGGGGTGCAAAAAAAAAAAAAAAAAAGACGTACAACAGCCGGGATTCCCCAATGGTCACCCACTTGAGTACTAATCGGCCGGTTCGCAGCTTGAGTACGGCTGAGCGGACGGGAAGCCCTATATTCTGCGACCTATGGTCGTACGTGCAAAGGAAAGTTGCAAACAAAACTAATGACTGCAGGTTAACTGCCTGTTGACTGCCGCTCAACCGCATTGCTCTGACAATCATCCGATTCTTGTCTGCCATCAACAAACTGTCTCTCGTCAATATGCGCAGCAATCAATCACGCTACTCGAGAAACTATGGCGTAGCCGAGGCGATCCGAAGCCGCTCAAGAATAGCGTCCGGCCACCATCGCTTCATGTACCAAGCCCTCACATGTAGCCAGCTCGATTACTGCGCCAAACCTATAACAACGTTCAGCTCCAGCGCGGGAAGATGACTGATTGGAACTCACCCATGGCACTCCACGTGCTTCAGCAACCTGCTTGTCAACTCTCGTAGCCGTTGCAACCCAAGCCCGCTGAATGAGGGATGGCGGCTGATATAATTCCAAGCTTGCACCGGCGTTATCTCCTCCTCCAACCTCAAGTGTGAAGAGAGATCCAAAAGGCGATCCAAGCCCACGTTGGGTACGTTCCATCGCGAGGATCCACTGGTTTCTACAACTGGCCCGGAAGGAGCTCTGAAGAGCAAAGGCGCGGAAGCTGTCAGGGCGTGGCCGGGAGGTGCGGAGCAATTGTGCACGCTGTCCTCCATGTGTGGTAGACAAGGGCTTTCGAGGCTGTTTTCCGGGGTGGTCAGCTCTTGCGAGCGTCAGTGGGGCTCGGCGGGGCGCTCACGTCAGTACGAATTCAATTCCGAGGCTCGGTAGGTCAAGGTCTCTCATGCTGGTTGAATTTCGTCCAGAGGGACTTCTATCGTCGTGATCACCGGAAGCATCCGTGCTGGCTGGGAGCAGATATGTCAGCCAGAAGTTGTGTATGGAACATCCAGCACCTACGCCGATGATTTTTCTTGTCGCTCCGCACATGGCCAACTTCATGTCGGATGGCCTTGTGGCTTTGGCTGTGTAGCGTGGGAGCTGCCGTTGATGGAGACGAGGTCGCTTTCCGCACGCGGATATTACGTTCGGTGCGTAAGCCTTCGATGGTGACGACAGCATTATCTGACGAGTCCTCGGCGGCCGAGGAACAAAAGGCTACGTCGTGTGAATCCGGCCATGGTTCCGGGATCCCATGCAGGGCCAATGTTTCCTTTAGCCTCTCGATGCCAGCGTAAAGCCTCTTGGTCTCTTGCATCAAGTTTGCTTCGTTGGTTCGTAGCTGAAGAACCTCCATCTCCAAGGCTTTGGTATAGGCTTCCTTCCGCTCACGATGAGTCCTGACATGGAGAATCGGTGTCAGCACTCCGGCCAGGGGCAACTCATTTATGGACGTACCGTTGCGCCCTCCGGACTTGCTCTCGGCGCTTTGACAAGGATGCCTCAGGTGTTGCTTTTTGGTCCTCAGACTCTGGTATAGGGACTTAGAATTGGCTGACACACAGTAGAGTAGGAGTACGACAGCAACCGATGATGATCCTTTTCCCCAAATAGGGTAGAGTGCGGCCGATCCTGGATTCAAAAGTACCCACCTCGTGCACCGTGTCGATGCGGAAGCCATTTGAGTTTCATTGGAGAACTTGGTCGGAGTAAGTCCCCGTAAGAAAAGAAAACACGGTCCGTCGGTGATATCCTTTTTGCCTGGAGCTCTATGTGGTTCGAGCTGGGTCGACGTACAAAGGCTACGGGGGTACACGACACGTCTAAAAAAGAACTCTGATTATTTTGGTCGGATCCTTGAGCGTTCCTTGGAGACAGCTAAAGCAGTAAGGATGATGAAATGTGTTGAGGGAATGTGCGGTGATGTCTCACTAATGTAAGTTCGCGTGCGGCTGGGGCCGAGGATGGCCAACAAATGATTGGATGATGAGATCTCACAGCTGAACGCCACGGATTCTGCTTATCCCATCAACGACATCTGTCGCGTCCGGTTCACATGTGGGTCTGACACATCCCGCGTTCCGTACTGGCGTCCGCCTGCTCACTGATCAAATGATACCCTTTTGGGGATAGTCGGATGCTGATCAATCCTTAGCGTCTCTCTCAACCCATGCGGAGGATGAACTTGGCTCAATTAGGAAATCTCGATCGAATAATCAACCCTCCGCAGGGGGACATTGTTCGGACAACGGCACTGGGAGGCTGCAGCAAAGTTACAGCCCCATTTGACAGCACTTGCTTCCTCAATGTAAGATTAGATGCCTTCGTGTTATAAAAGACGCGAAGGACGTGCTCTCAATAACCAATACACCCTCTTGCAGACAAGCCGATTTACTTACCGCTGTCCCATTCTCTCCACCTCGATCTACCACCATCATGTTCACTCTACTCCGAGACGTTCTTCTCTTGGGCACTCTCGCTGCAGGTGCACCGAATCCCCACCCGCGACAGTGGCAACCCACAACCGGACGAGCAATCTATTTCCTCACCAACGACGCCGAGAATGCAGTAGTCGCAGTTCCCATCGCAGCCGACGGCACTCTCATGGGCGGAACCGTAACCCTCACCGGCGGCGCAGGGTCCAACGCCATCAACGGGATGACCAACGCGACCGCAGCTCCAGACGCACTGCTATCCCAATCCTCCCTAGCAATCGCCGGCAACGTACGTCCCACACCCCCACCATCCTCCCCCCCCCATCCACCCCCAAAACTGAAACCTCACCACCACCCCACAGCACCTCTTCGCCGTCAACCCCGGCTCCAACACCCTCAGCATGCTCTCCATCTCGCCCTCCGACCCCACCCACCTCACCCCCATCGGCCACCCCGCCCCCATCCCCGGCGACTTCCCCACCACCGTCGCCGTCTCCGCCCAGCACCGCCTCGCCTGCGTCGGCACCACCGGCGCGCGCGCCGGCATCTCGTGCGCGCGGTTCTCGCCCGCGACGGGGCTCGACGCCGGCGGCGGCGACGCGCTGCGCCCCTTCGACCTCGGCCAGACCACGCCGCCCGCCGGCCCCGCCAACACCGTGTCGCACGCCTTCTTCTCCGCGGACGGGTCCGGGCTGTACACGACCGTCAAGGGCGATCCCGCCGCGGGCAACAACACTGGGTTTTTCTCCGTCTTCGCGGTGGAACGCAGCGACGGTAACGCTGCGGCAAGGCTCGCGACCGAGGACACGCGCAGCTCGCCGTCCGGCACGGCGCTGCTGTTCGGCGCGGCCGACGTCCCCGGGACGGCGGACGTCTTCGTGACGGACCCGTCGTTCGGGGCGGCGGTGCTGGCGGTGGACGGGCAAAGCGGCGAGGCGCGGCTGGTGGCGAGGGGCGCGATCGAGGGGCAGAAGGCGACGTGCTGGGCGACGGTGTCGGCGGCGACGGGCACCGCGTTCGTGGCCGACGCGGGGGTGAATCGCGTGGTGGAGATGAGCGTGGAGGATGCGAGCGTCGTGTCGGTGCTGGAGCTGGGCGGCGGCCCGCTGGATGATGCCGATCCGGGACTGACGGACTTGAAGGCGGCGGGGGGGTTCGTGTACGCGCTGTCGCCCGGGAATGGGACGACGGGGGCGGCGGTGGCGGTGTTGGATGTTTCGGGGGGGAGGGGGAAGGGGAGGATGGTGCAGCATTTTGAGGTGGGGGGGCTGGGGGCGGGGAAGAATGCGCAGGGGATGGTGGTGCTGGTTTGATTGATTGATTGGTTTTTTGGTCACTCGAAAGATGACTTGGACTGCATGCACTGGTAGGTAGTAATAGTTTGTGGAATGTGAGCCAATCAGAACCCCCGCGCGCCGCACTTGCCCAGCGACCACCCAGTACTCATGCTATATTTTGAGAATCCCCCCCTTACGTCGCAGGCGGAATCCTGCCCCCGGCCTTCATCCACAAAAACACCAACCTCTGCACCATGATGGCGCACGCACCCCCGAGAAAATCCCCCACCACGTTCCCCAGCCCACCGCCATAGCTCACCGCCCACGCGCGCACCGCCTCCGGCTCCCCCCTGCGCCTGAAGTCGCCGTCGATTTTCCGACTCGTGTTCCTGACCGCGGCCCCGACGAAGGCGCCGTGCAGGAAGATGATCATGATCCACACGCCGTAGTAGGTGAAGAAGGGATGCGTTATGTTGACGAGGGAAAGGACGAGGAGGAGCGCTTGGCCAACGCTGAGGGCCCAGAGGGGGATCGAGGGCGTGAAGGTGGAGGCGAGGAAGGCGGCGAACGCGTAGGTGAGGTCTACGGCGTGTTTTGGTCAGCATCTCGTCACACCAGGGGTGGGGAGGGGGGGTGCGCGGCACGTACAGCACAACTGAAACTGCAGCTCCCCCATCGGCACCTTGTCGAAGCTGTACAGATACATAAACACCGGCGCCAGCCCGAACAGTGCGACGAGGCCCAGCAGCACCGTGATGGCTTGCGGCACGACGTACTTCGGCAAGAGGCATTTGAAGAAGAGACCGGTCCGTGTGCGCTCGGGGCCGAAGCCGCTTGTGCTGGTCGCGGTGGGAGGCGTCGTCTGGGTGACACCGGCGTCTTTCTCGGGATCTTCGACGGGTGTCGAGGTGCCTGTGGATGTTCGTCTTCTCTTGGATCGTGCTGCGCGCCGACCCTCTTCGGCGGCGCGGCGGCCTTGGGCTGGGACGAGGCCCCACCATACCATGGGAAAGAGGGGCGCGACGCAGAGGCACACGAGGAGGACTGTGCGCCATTTGCCGTCGTAGGCTTGCATCAGGCCGATGTAGAGAGCTGGGCCGACGAGGACGGCCGAGCCTGTGGAAAGGGTAGTGTCAGTGCTCCGCATGAAGAGGCAGGATGGAAGGGTCTTACTGGAACCGGTGCTGAATGCTGCGTGAGTCCTGGGGTCAAAGTATGCCGAGGTCTCGTGGAAAGCGCAAGTGGCGAAGGCGTGGACGGTTGCTGCCATGGATGTTCCGCTGATTTGGCCGGGAGGGATCTTCGGCTCGCCCAGGGTAGAGAAATAGAAGCTAAGGCAGCTACCCACGAAGATGAGGGCGACTCTGAGCCAGTGGGGGATGAAGCGGAGGATTGGCGGCGTTGGGAATGCGGTTGCGATGACGGAGAGCGAGACAACGATCATGAAAACTCCTGTGAATCCCCCGAACATGGAGTGTGCTGCAGTCGAGAGTATAGTCATCGGAAGAGCCATCTGGAGGAGGAAGTTAGAAACACTGGATCAAGAAGGACTAAGATTCAGGTATACTGACCGTGTGTCCAAGGAGGAAGAAGGCAATGACATCTCTCCTGAACCAGCCTCGTGCACTTCCAGCCTGGTGAGAGTTGGAAGAGGCCAACGGTGCAGTTGTGGCCGCCCGGAGAACGTGCTCAGAAGCTTCTTTGTCCTCTTCCGCCATCGGGGGAGCATGCGGGACTGCCTGAGACTCAATCATCGTGGCACGTGCTAGAGGCGCGGTAAGTGTTGTTCGTGAGCTTTTGCTGAGGCTACGCTTGGAGCTTCGGCCCTAGCGAGCTTGACTTTATATCTGAGCCAGGCGCCGTCTTCCAAGATGCTTCAGGTTCTTGTTAGCCCACTTCTGTGTCACATTTGAGGGCCAACGGATAAGGTCGTGGCACGCCCTCGACATGTCGGCATCGTGTCTTGGCTGCTTGGCAGCTGTAGACCGCCAATGTACCTTCCATGAGCCAGAGTACATGCATGTTCGCGCACTATTACGTGAGCTAGCCCTGGTTGACCGCGAAACTCCAACGGTCGTTTGCCTGGGCCTATCATCACAACTTACGGCCAGCGTGCTAACCGCTGCAGGTACACAGAGCTACACCAACAAATCCCTTGCCCCATTCATCCTTTCGTTGGGGAGTTGAACCGTCTTCCAACGTATCGGATCCCCCCACGATCGCCCCGATGTTTCACGGCTCAGCCTCAGCCGGGCTGAAACGGGACGGGCTGGTAAAGGGGCCGGCGGCTGGCACTCGGCTCCTCTCCCGGTTCAGCAGCTCGGCATCGGGAGCGCAGCACGATGCTCAACATTTACGCCTCCGGTATCCAGCCTGTCGGTTACTGACATGCGGTACAATATGTTGTTGCAGCACAGACGGGTTGGTGTGGTGGCATTGCAGCTCAGCCCTCCACATGACTACCAGGCTGCCATGCATTCAACCGAACAACAACTTGGTCCCAAATGGTAGTCTGCATCGGCAGATGGCGGTGTTGATAGCTGAGAGCTGTGCCGTTTCAAAGGTCGAGGCTGGAGCCTGGTCTTCAGCTTTTGGATCTCACATCACTTTCTGCCGTAAGAGCGAGCTATTTCTGGAGCCCGAATCGGAGCTCTGCCACGTTTTTAAGACACGTCGTGGAACCGTTTCACAGGTCGAGCGGGGCCATCTGACCAACCGTCGTCTGTACCACCCTCAGTGTTGGCTGGTTAAGTTTGAGACCCCGCACGCGTGCCCCGACAGCCGTGGCCGCTGTTGCAAGGCAGAGCCCGGTCGCAATCCTTGGCAAGGTTCTGACATGGAGATCGGATTCCCGCGAGCCTGGAAAGCCAAGATGATGTGAGGGTCCTCTACGTTATCTTTGGGCAGCCGTTGGACCATGATCCCAGCGGTCCGAGCCGCACGAACCCCGCATCTCACGTCAGGCCTACTTTTCGCGCTACTCTCCGAACCTCTTGAGCCACGTCCATCATCCAGCCAAGAAGGTAAAATGTGCTGATCTGCGTCCTAATGCGAGTAGCCTGGCCACACAACACAGCTGAAGGGCTGGACTCTGCTCCGCCACAGCGCTGACTTGCATGGATCCCCCCTTTGGGGACTTGCTTCTTCTCGCCTCTCACGGAGATGTGTCAACATGTATGTACAATAGACCAGGCAATTAGGCATTTTTCAGTCGATCATGTCCCATTTGACAAGCCCGATATTCATGGTGATTAGAGCTGCCTCAGTACTCTGGGTATATGGGATGACTCGATGAAGCACTCCCTCACGGCGCACCTTTAGAGCCGATGCAGAGACTCTTCACCAGCCGTGACCAAACCGACACGCACGTGTTCTCATCCAGTCGAGTAACTCGATATCCCCAGCACATCCGTCCCTGCCGCCGCGCGCACTACCCAAGGCAGACCGCCCGCAGCGGCATCCTTCACACCAACACAACATCCACCCTCGGCACCCCTTCCATACCCATCACCTCCCCATCCATAATCCCATGCACATAACACTCCCCAACGAGCCTCCACCTCCTCTCCCCCCGCCCCTCCCCTCCTTCCTCCTCCTCCTCCCCCTCCTCGCCTTCCACCTCCCTAACCACAAACGGCACCCCCACCCCCTCCACAACCACGACCCTATCCCCCACCCTCGCGCCCCCAGGACACAACCCCATCCACCCCTCCCCCTCCCCCAGCGCCGCCAGCCTCCGCCCCCTCACCGCCCTCCGCACCGCCGCCGCCGCCTCCCTGCACGTCTTGCCCGGCGCGCGCTCGCCGCGCAGGTGCGCCAGCTCCAGCCTGCCCTTTCCCAAGGGACGCCGCTGCCGCGCGCTGTACGTCTGGTCGGGGAAGGTGGGCGAGCGGCCGGTGGTGGCGTCGAGGAGGAGGCTGAAGGTTTCGGCGAAGGCGGCGGCGGGGGCGCGGGTGTGTAGTGTCTGGCCGGAGGAGGGGGAGGTGGAGCCGGCGACGAGGGTGGTGTGGAAGGCGGTGAAGGTGCTGGTGGGGGTGGTGGGGGTGGTGCCGGAGGAGGAGGGGGGCGGGGCGGGGTACGGGTGGCAGTGGGCGAGGGCGAGGGCGATCCAGGGGAGGAAGTGGGCGTTGGCGGTGGAGGGGGAGATGGCGGAGATGTCGGGGTTGTCGCAGGGGGGCGTGAGGGCGGTGATGGGGTGGAAGATCTTGCCGGGGAGGCGGAGGGCGGGTTTGGCGGTGGGGGTGACGAGGGAGAAGAGGGGGTGCGGGGTGGGGGAGCGGCCGCCGGCGCGGTAGATGGCGTTGGAGCTGGTGGAGAGGCCGAGCGGGCTCGTCTGGCGGGGGAGGCTCCAGTCGGGGACCCAGGAGGGGAGGTCGGCGTGCCGCTGCTGCTGCGGGGAGTGGTCGACGCAGGAGAGGATGGGGGGGAGATATTCGCGGCCGGCGCCGAGGCAGGCGAGCGTGGCGGCGTGGTAGACGGCGGCGACGGTGTTGGCGGGGTCGTAGCTGACTTGGATGCCGGTGGCGGTGCAGACGCCCAGGAGGCCGTACACTTTGTCCCGGGGATCCGAGGCCTGCGCGTTGCGGGTACGGGACAGCAGGCCGAAGAGGGAGGGGGTTTGTTGGAAGCTGTGGTAGTGCGTCCGCTCCTCGCCCAGCATGTGCATGGAATCCCATCCCCGCGTCTGGCTGTCTGGTCCTGCCTGGCCGTGCTCGCTCTGCAGCCAGTCTGCCAGACCGCTACGCACGAGGTTACTGAAGCCGTTGGTGAGTTCTTCCCAGTAGACGGTGGTGTCGCCGCACACGACCCACAGATTGTCCGAGAGGATGCATTCTTGGACGATCCAGAGTCGGTTGAACCACGGCCGGTTGACGAGATCCCAGAGATGTTTCCAGGCGCCATCGTGTGCGCTGGGCAGGAACAGGCGTTCGAAATCCTGGGGTGGAGGTGCGTCCACCGTCATCTGGAACACAGTGCCGATGAATTTAAGCAGCTCGAATGCGTTGTCCGATCCTTCACTTGCCTCGCCCAGCCAGACAACCGTATTGACTGCATGCCTGTATATCTTGGACATGAGTGGAATCTGCTGTTCCTTCTCCCTTTGGTTGCTCTGATCGATGCAGATTTGGTCGATCCACAGGTTGATTGAATCGTCGGTCTGGCGGAAATGCCGAAGCGCTACGTCCAGGGAATGGGTGATTTTGAGTTCGAAACCGTCGCATTCAATGACGCTGTCTGTGCTGGGATTGGGCACCCCCCAGGTGTAGCTCAGTGCCGTGTACCATACGGGCTGGGTCAGGTCCTCCATGGAGAGGCCATGTCTTGTGCGGAAGTAGCGTACGTCGTACGGCCTCTCATCAGATTCGACATCAAATTCGAACTCAACCGAACAGTGGTGCAGTGCGCCCTTGAGCTTGTCGCTGAAGTGGCCCGGAAGGAGCTCCAGAATCCGAATCTCATGGCGGTCGATGATGGGGTTGTAAGCACCCTCGGGTGTCTCATCATCTCCAGGCTTGGGCATCTGAGCTCTGGCAGCTTCCATTTCTGCTCTCTTCGTTTCCGCCCACTGGGAAACGTGTTCAAGCGGAAATAATCTGTCAACGTGTTGCGGGTAAATGTTTGCCGCATCAGCGGTGATTCCGTCCGAGCGAGCAAATTGGAATGTCGAGGTTTCGAAGTCTCCCAAGTTCCCATATGCTTTCCTCAGCTCCAGGTCCAATGCAGGTTCTGCCATTTTGACGGGATTCTGCCGACTTGGCGATTCCGTCTTGAAGGGGCTGTTGAGATGCTGCTCGGCGAATTGGGCCAAAGGGTGTGGAAGGAAGAGGCAACGCTCGGGGTTTTATATACTGCACGTCTTTGGGTGGGGGCTGTTTCAGATAGCGGTGGGCGAGTTCGGAGTGGTCGTGTTGTTGTCGGTATTCCAGCCCCCACAATGACTACAGAGCTGACGCAACCCAACACACGCCAAGTTCGCATTGGACCTGTAGAGTGACTGACAGCCACGATAGCGATAAACATGACTTATGAAGGCTTGTGACTCGACTCGAATACGAGGTAGGCGACAGAATGGCCGACTTGTGAGGCGGATGATCGCCAAAAAGCACATAGCGAGTTTCAGCCACTACCACAACATCGTGTGCTGTAGCATGCTATGGTCTCGAAGCTCTGGTAAGTATTCACTGACTCATGATAACCCGAGTCAGTCTGTCATCTTCGGAAACCGACATTGTCTCACTTGACATCATACCATCGCCGTTATTGGGTCGTCACTTGCGGTTGAGCGGCAGTCAACAGCCTGTTGACTTGTAGTCATTACCTCTGTTTGCAACTACTTCTTCCACGTACGACCATAGGTCGCAGAATATAGGGCTTCCCGTCCGCTCAGCCGTACTCAAGCTGCGAACCGGCCGATTAGTACTCAAGTGGGTGACCATTGGGGAATCCCGGCTGTTGTACGTTTTGTGTTCTCCACCTTTTTTGGATATTTTTTTGCGTGGATCCTGGGCTCGCTAAACAAAAAAAAAAGCTTACCTAATCAGCGCTTTTGGCTCTCCATTCACTTACCGTTGGGACCTGCGTTTTCATTCTATCTGGCCTTGTGCTTTGCCAGCTTCCGTTACGTGGCTCGGGATAGCGTTCGTCAGGTTCAGCGGATTCGAAGGCTCAACAAGGTGTGGGCGTCCCTGTCCTTCGGAGTCCGGGATGGTCTGAATCTGCTGATAGACTTCGGTTTGGCATGTCCGCACGATATCAGAAAGGCGGTTCCCTATCCGTTATTCAATCAGTCTGAGCTCTGGGGCCATCACTACCGCTCCTTCAATTGCCTCTTCAGCCGCACGTTGCAAAGTATCACCGTGCATTGTTGGTAAAGGGTTGGCCTACATGGGGAGGGTATGTCTGTTCAGGGACGTCTGAGAAAATAGATCTGGAAGATCTTTCGCTACTTCTTTGCGCATCTCTTGTTTGTCAACAATCTCCCCTGTACTTCTTTCAACCCCTCCACGATGGGGGTATATTCGACCTCGGAGCATCTCTCTACCTCTAGCAGACGCTGTCTCAACCTCATGTCGTTCTCGGAGGCTGTGTAACATCTCGGACATAACATCCAGACTAGACGCATGTGCGTGCGGTACGAATGTTCCCTCACACGATGCGTACATGCATGTACTATTTTGTGGAGCACGAGTAGGATTTCGGTTCGAGAAAGGTCAAGCAAACCTCTTCGGAGAGGTAGCGTCAGTGGGTGAATGAGGGATACGCACGACAGCTCGTCGCGCCTCACCGCCAGGCCAGGGTGCCCTGTTACGAAGCGCAGCCGATTGACAGGGGACAAATGCATGTCCACGATGGCAAGGGGCCATTCCGCAAAACAATTCGCCAAAGCTCTTGCTCTTGTGCAACCGTCGGAGATTAGGTTGTCTCAGCCTTTTTCGTACACTTGCTTCCGGTTCATTGTGGCACTGGATACGTCTTCTTTCCTTCTTTTGTCTTCCGCCGACGTTGGAGGCTTGGTAGAGGAAGCACGCTCAAATATGGGCGGTGGAATTTTGTGGACAAATACGGCCATCAATAGCATGGCGCTCGTCACCACCAGCTATCAGAATACTCTTGCCGCCCATTCAACTCATTCGGTCAGATTTGTATTCACTTTCCTCGAGCTCCCGCCAAGCTCTCACCTGAGTCTGGAATGGTCTGGAAGCTGAGTAAGCGGAACCAGGTGCCTCGGCTTCGCCGTGCCCTGCCAGCTCGTCAGCTCATCATGTAGTGCGCAAAACAAGCGCGCCGAACAGTGGGATTCGCAGGCAGAAGAACGAAGCGACTATGAAGGCGATGGTACTGCGCGAGCTGGACTACGAAGTGGACGATTGCTCACGCCCTCAAGGCAGCAACGAAGCATTTGCGCATGAGTTGAGCTTGCCGTGCGTCGCACAAGAAAGACCCGGTTTTAGAATCATGGGGATGACGAGATATGAACCACTCGCAGGGTCGAAGTAGACTGACGGTCCAATCGGTGCTCAAAGTAGCAGTCGTTCAGCCTTGCGGCTCTGTGTATACGCATGCGCGCGTGGATCGATTGCGCACCATTCCGTAACACGCCTCGGTCCCATCCGAGCCTGCGTAATGCATAGACGAGCGTAGAGCGTCCCAATTCGGGAGCAAGTAGCGCAGCAGCGCTGGAGAATGATACCTACGCGCGTGTTGGTCAACTGGTTTGCAGAGATGCTGGAAGAGTGCGAAGCTGCGCGAGACAAAACTTACGATGGACCGGCGAAGCAGGTTGATATTTAACATAGGTGACGACGCTCTCTGTAGAGGATGCCATGGTCATCGTGTATTTTTTCTTTCGCCTACCTATCTTCAATAAGCCGACAATCTCTTCTTCTACTCAGTATGGCTGGCATTGCTCTCGTCTCGATCGGCCAGGAAGGCAATGCCAGAAGCCGAGGAGAAACGGCGTACTACTGCTGTGCTTGCGGATATGGGCCGCAGATTTGGTCGTTGCACCCCGCATGCAGCATGTGCCAAGTTCCAGCATGCGCCCGATGTATGGCTTGTGAGATTTCAGGAAAGCGGCACATGCAGGAGACGCAATCCAAGGCCGAGCAATCCAGTGAAAGGTATGTGTGGCCATCGGTATCACTTCAATGCAGCGCTGACCCACCACAGACAGCCGAAAAGCTCGCCTCTGGTTGCTTTTGGAGAACTGTTGTGCGCAAAAGGACCGACGTACGCAAGTGGCGCATATGCGGCTACAATAAGGTGCCTAACCCATGCTTTGCCGGAAGTTTGTCTTACTCATCAGAATTAGGTACCCTGGCTCGACAATGTTGGCGCGTTTTCTCCAGGATGAGCCGGGTATCTGCGAGCGCATCTGGCAGGGGCTTGAGCGGCCCGCAGTGGTAGAGCGTGAGATGGAAATGGACCAAATGCTACAGCACTTTGGCTACCATAAGCCGGGGTAGAGGGTGCAAGGCAAGGCAAGAAGAGGACGACCTGTGATTCAGCATTCATCTGGAGTTAACAGCGGAGTGAGGAAAATGCATTCGTCTGCGGTTGCCGGGCGGAGATGAGAGTTGCGGTCGACGCGGAGGGGATGCGGAGGGGGACGCGGAGGGGGACGCGGAGGGGTGGACGCCCGGGCGTCGCGCGTCTGTGTGTCCTGCGTCATGGTGCGTTAAGCGAAGGAAAAGTCGTGGCCTGTTTGTACTCTGTCCCATCAAGCGGTGCTGTTCATTTACCTAGCTGGTTGAATCTTATGTTTCACTCCACTGCTATCTCCTTCACCGATTTCATCAGACCTCATTGTCAGTCTACCCTCAAATCGCATGCAGCAATACCTCTCGGTGAAGTTCTCGGAGCTCGCCCACATACTGGTTTAGGCTTTCCGACATGCGGCCTCCGCTACGAATGGGCTTGGTGCGGGGAAGAGCGGGTAGCTTACCGCCGTGGTGGAACTGCAGGTCGAATGGAGACGCACCTTGGGAAGCAAGGGTGAGGGAACGGGAATAATAAGGCGGGTGCAGGTTTGGGAGTCATTCCGCGCGCGGTGTTGGATGTTCGGTGGGACCCACTTTCCTTGGTTCCAAGAGGAGAGCAGCCGAAAACGTGGAGCAATTATTACTATTATTATTACCATGAGCGCGCTGTTATTAATGTGCTAAGACATGGGTACACCGAACCTGCGAAAAATGGTCCCAGTATTCAGATTTATATTGCGAAACTCAGGGCTGCGGCTGGGATTTACCTTTCATCTCGTAAACGCTTTGGTCGAATTGACAAAAGAATTTCGGCATCGAGCACACCGCGAGGCAAGCATTCAGGTCTGGTCATATTGGTGACTTTGTTATTCACTAAGGGATGATGTAATGCACATGGGTTGCACAATTCGGAGGCACACGCCATACGCCACAACTAAGGATATTTACATCGACGTCTAAAACGATTCGGGGTCAAAAGCCATTCTGTATGGTGTAGTGGCCTGTCTATATTTGGCTTGGCGAATCATAGCAAATTGCCGAATGCGTAGAGGAGGCACAAAAGTCTGGCCATTCAAGCTATGGAATGCTAACCGAGCTTGATGCGGCTTGGTATGCAACCTAGCATTGTCATTGGTCATATATGATGGTGGCTCTCATAGTGTTGCAGCATTGCCACACGGTCGTAGATGTTGCTAATTCAGATGCGTCCGTACGAGGCATTTTAGAGCTGAGATATCCCTGTAATAGCTCCTCAATTACCGCCATATCACATGGTCGATCACGGCATCAAAGGACCGTTCACTCTCGAGGCTCACACTCGTTGGTAAACAACACACGAGCCGCATTGCCGGGTAGCAGAATCATTGTTCGTGAGGAAAGGAGTATTCTCACAGATATCAACAACGGAAACATGTATACTAAAAAATGATAGCTCGAAGAAACGCCAAGTCATCCCAAATCAATTGCGATTCCCAGCCATCAACCCTCTCCCATGAAACACGAGCAAATGTATTCACGAAGATGAAGTGCTGTTGTCGATCTCCTGCGGCGGCTCAAGCCATGTAGCGAACTGGTTCACCGCCTTGGCGGGCTGGACCTCAGCGCTGGCGATGGTGACGTTTAGGTTGGGGACATTGTTGACAACCTGGTCATTTTGTACCACCTGCCACGTGAGGTTCTCGCTGAGATACTGTTCGGTGGCATTGCGGTCCGAGGTGTCGATGCCTCTCTGAGCCAGCGCATCAGTGAGCATGACCGTGCCAGAACTGGTCACGGCCTTTGCTTGGGCGCCTGGCGACGGGGGTACCGCCAGAGCTGCAAAGGAAGCGAAGTAATCGCCGTCCAACATGAACTGTACAGCATACGATACGCCGCCCAGCACGCTCTTGTCGAGAGTGACCTGCGCCATGTAGTCATAAGTAGTGGCAGGAGCATCGCCATCGCTGCTCCCCCCTCGCAGCGCCGAATTGGTCGCACTGTTGCCGTACAATCGGTTGAGGTTGGTGGTGAGCTGTGAGTTGGAAACGCCGACGAGGTCTGGGTAGGTGTAGCCCAAAGCGGACGTGGCGCGGACCGAGTTCGAGGTCCAGAAGGTGCCCTTGGTGTCCCTGTGGAAGGGAGTGAGTGGAGAGTTGGCGTTTTGGTTGCTGGAAGGCGCCATTGTCCTGGTGCCGGCGGTTTGAGAGGCAGCGCCCACCCAGCTGTTGGGGTAAAGCGTCTGCCAGATCGCAACAACCCTGTCCACATTCGCATGGTGCATGGCGAAGATGGGATCCATAGCAGAGTACGAGATCTGCGCCATGTATCCACCGATATCCGAGTGGACGCCGTTGTGGATGCCCTCCAAGTTGGGAGCAGTGTTGCCGTTTGCATCAGTGCTAAATACATTATAGGCCTGGTTCCTGCTGAACAGTGTCAAGAGTGTGTTGCGGCGACTGGTATATGAAGCCTGGAGGTTGGCCTCAGCTCTGCTCGAACGAGTCGTCTGACGGTTCTTGGAGTAGCTGCCATCGAAGTAGGGGTCCGGTACAACTTGGAACCTATAGGCGTAAAGCGGGTTCGGAATACTCTTTGAAGATCCGTTTTGAGGGAACGTTACTTGGATGTAGGCTTGCGTGAGAGGCTGCGGGGTGATTCCACTGGATGTTTTCTTGGCCCAATCCCAGAAAGGGAACCGCAGCGTTTTGACGGCAGTCTGGTACCTGGTCTTGGTGGCACCCGCTGGGGTTTCGTTGATGATTTCATTGGCGTATTGAATTATGGCTTGCTGACGACAGTTCAGTACGCGGATGAAATCGGTTCAGGTCGGGACGCTCACCTCCCAGAGGGAGAGGTAGGGCCTGTGCCAAGACCCGAAGAGGTTGGAGCTGTGGGGGCAGTAGCCAGGCCACCACGGCTGGGATGCGTACGGCCCAACACCATCCCAGTTGACATAAGGACGTCCGTGAATTCCTACCAAGTGGCCAATTAGCTTCTGTGCTAACTTAGTTGGCTCATGTACCACGAAGATCATGCAGCGTACCGGCAACTTGGTAGTACGACAACTTGTTGGTCTGGGGTTTGAGCTGGAAGCGTTGCATAGCAAGGACGAAGAGATTCCATTGATCCGGATTGTTTGCCAGGTCGCGGACCTCTAGGCGGGGATATACCCCGCCGGTAGCTCCGGTGAGCGCGAAGAATGAACTCTGCCTCTCGACGAGCTCAGACTCAATCGGAGAAGCATTGGCTCCGAGAGAGAAGACGGAAAGAGCACCGAGTGCCGCAGAGATATCAAGAAGACGCATAGTGAAGCGTTAGAATACCAAGCGAGGGAGAGGCGGATAGAGAACGATCCGTGGTCGGCAGTGGTTGAGGATGCAGGGCAGCGATTGTTAAGTATCTGGAGCTGAAGCCCGTGCAGCTAACTTGTAGGGCTATTTTGGGACCAGTAGGATCATCTCTGCATCCCAATCGCAGGGACCAGACCCTTGTGTGCCAAGGTGCCAGTAGTCGCCTGTCCCGGAGAGAACGTGCCTGTGGTTGTGGCAATAATGGAGCGGCGTAACGTAGGCTGAACCGTGGAACAGAAGACGGCACGGAAGCAAGCCAACGAAGTACCTGGTCTGACCCCAGCTCATGCGTTTTCCCAATGCGCTCGAGGCCTGTTTGCTCAGCACCGTACTGAAAGAGAACTAACCACGAATAGACCGCCGAAAGCGATCATCCACATGTAGGTGCTGTTAATCCCCTCGATCATTTTCGTGCAGTCGCATGGATTATTCCCCATGCGCTACGTCCTGCTGCAATGCTTCCCGAAGCCTCCGCGTACGGCTGTCTGCTCCTTCAGTTGCAAGTGCGCTAGCTCCCGATGCGCTCGTGGGTAGCCCTGGACGCCCGTGGATCACAGGTATTGTAAATACGGGCGCCTTATGAGAGACATTGCTACGTGTGCAGAGGCTCCCATTCGACATTCCGTTCGTGCAACGGACTCTCGTCAAGTAGCGACACGGGATTAGACGTCCAACATTGGCGAAAGGTTGTTGACCGCTATTTTACGCAGGGCCGTGGGGAAATTGAAAGCAGGTTGGGACCAACGCTGGAGGGCTTGTTCAGCTGCTGCTGCAGGTCTGGATCTTTGAGCAAAGCTAGATCGACAATGCCGCATAAGTGGCCAGGAACAGGCCGGTTGCCGGTAGTAGTGGGCTGACACGCCAGAATGCAGCAGGGCGTTGCACGGAGGAGCCGCATCAAGCGGGTCGCTTCTGGTTCGATCTGGCGACGTGAGCTGGCGCAGGAACAGTGGCCCGCCAGGAGCGTTTCTGTCTGCGTCCGGTAGCTGGTGACGGCGTTGCCCTTACCACGGCTTGCGCTCGAACCGCGGCCCAGCCGACCCGATTTGTGCAAGAGTCTCGCTCGCTCCACGTGCACGCAAGCTCATCGCAACTCGGGTCCAACGCTTGCAGTCTCAGGCGCAGGCCGTAGGGCGCAACATGATTGCAGCTCTGTCGTGGGATCAATACTCCAGTGCGACCAGTCGGCAACAAGCACCACGTCGATCGGCTGCCCAACCTGGCGTCGGCGCTGGCACAGGGCGCTCTACGCCACAGCAGGCTGCCGCTACGGTGGGATCCCCGGGCTTCCATGACGCAGGACGATATGTTCTGCATGGCGAAAATGACCAGAGCTGAGAATGCGGGGGATCCGCGGACAGAGGAAGGCGGGAGGATTGCTGCCTCCGTGCGAATACGGCCTCATCGGGCCGCTTGTACGTAAAACTTTGTTCTCCACGGCGGGAAGCCCAGTAGCGTTCGTCGATGTCTCTAGCTGCAGGCGGCGCTGCGGACAGGCGGCGCGTGGGCGCGATACGAGGCGTGATCGGGGCGCAACTGAGGCGGCCGTTGTGCTCGTCTGTGACGGCACGAGCGTAATAATGGTGGAGCGTGCGATGAAGTCGGCGGGCGCTCAGCAGCGCTCAGCAGGGCGCACAGGCGAGCCAATCGCGCGGCGGGGATTCGCGGGCTGGGCGTGTGGGTGGTTGTCTATCAAGGCAGGCGCTAGTCGCGGCCAGTCTGACGAAAAGCTCCTGTATGACGGGCTCGACCTGGCTGGCATTTGCCAGCTCCCGTCCCGCCAAACACCACCCGATCGCCTATCCATCGCCTGGGGACCTCTGTGCCTTCCGCGTGCATATGCGTCTCCGTTTCCGCAACTCAGGCCCTGATCCCCGCCGACACAGCACCGCCTAGCGCATTCCCAACTTCGCCCCGCTGCCGTCGCGCCGCGCCCGTCTGCGCCTGCGTCCATCCGCTTCAGCGCAGGCCATCCACTGTTCGGGCTTTGCCTCTGCTTTGCCTCTGCCATGAAGAACCCGTCCAGGCCCGACCTGGAACAACGCCGCAAGTCGTCTACGCTGCACTACCAGACCTTTCCCACCAAGCCACCCACTTCTCGCGGCCCTCCGCCCTCGCCCGATGCGTCCTTCGGCCATCGCCGCGGCGATTCCGACGCGTCCGCCCAGCACCATGAGTCGCCGCTCCCCAAGAAGCAGCTCGCCGTGCTCGCAGTCATCGCCTTGGCCGAGCAGACAGCCCTCAACTCCATTAGCCCGTATCTGCCCGAGATGACAACCACATTTCCCGGCGTGACGGAGGACAAAGTAGGCATCTACGTTGGCTTGATAGCGTCATCGTTCGCTCTGGCACAATTTGCAACAAACTTCTTCTGGGGCTGGCTGTCAGACCGTATCGGCCGCAAACCGGTCGTGCTCATGGGGACGCTCCTCACAACTGCGTGTTTCATAGCCTTCGGGTTCTGCAAAACACTGTGGCAAGCCATAGTCGTACAACTCTTGATGGGTCTTGTGAATGGCAACCAGGGCGTTGTTTCAACGTGTCTGGGAGAAATCACGGATCGCAGTAATCAGAGCCGGGCCTTCACCTACCTGCCTGTGGTCTACGGCATAGGGGGCATTACCGGGCCCATCGTAGGAGGGCTGCTCGTCTTCAAGAAGAATCCATTCACGGGCGAAAAGGCCCGTTATCCATATTTAGCGCCCAACTTGTTCTCGGCAGCCATTCTGCTCATCGACATGATACTCACCATGTTGTTCTTGGAGGAGAGTCTGGAGGGAGCCAAGGATCTGGCTCCTCTCGGAAAGAGGATCGAGAGCCTTTTCTCCTGGCTGTGGCAGTTCACAAGCTCCAGCCGACCAACTTACGTTCGCCGAGTGGTAGGCAAGAATCGTCGCCGCGGCAGCTCCAGCACGCACGCGGACGACGATGACGAAGACGACGACGCCTCGGACATTTCTCAAGAATCTGCCCCCACTCTTCTGCCAAATGTGTCCAACGGCGAGAACTTGACGAGGCGAGAAGTCCTCAACCGGGACACGATCCTTCTCCTCCTTACCTTTCTGATCTTTCAGTTCGCCAATATCTCCTACAACTCTCTGTATCCCATCTTTGCGCAAGCACCCCCACCCACTGGTCGCAACTTGAGCACCGAAGAGATCGGAGTTTCTCTTGCCTTCGCGGGAGCCATCACAATTTTGTTCCAGATCGGCATTTATGGGAAGCTCAGAGAGAAGATGGGTAACAAGACCACGTACAGAATCAGTCTTGCTGCCTTCGTGGTCGCGTTCCTGCTTATGCCCTGGGTCGGCTACAAGAATGGTGACAACACAGGCGCAGGTCTTGGTCGCGGCAAGGCCATCATGTGGATCGAGTTGGGCTTCGTGCTTATTGTCAAGACGGTAGCTGCCGTCGGTGGTTTGACTTCAGCTCTGCTCTTGGTGCGTGTTCCCCGGGACTTTGGCGAGACAAATCCTCCAAACAATGACCAAGCTAATTTTTTTTTCTCAGATCACGAACTCCGCCCCCGATCACGCAGTACTCGGCACGCTGAATGGCTTAGCCCAGACCCTTTCCGCGGGTGGCCGTGCGGTGGGACCTTTCGTATCTGGAAGTCTGTTCTCCGCTGCAACACGCATCAAACCAAAGGGCGAGGCTATGGCTTTTGGCATCTTCGGCGGAATCACTTTTATTGGCTTCTTGCTCAGTTTCGGCATCCGGGGCGCCGGCCTCGAATCCGATGGCTTTGACGAGGAAGAGGGCAGTGAAGCGGACGATGTTGATGACGAAGACGAAGACGAAGACGAGAGCTCAAACGAGAGGTCAGGATTGCTTCGCGGAAAGTGAGACTAGATCGATCCGGTATGTATGGGAGCTAATGAAGGCGGCCGTATTCATATGTTGCAGTGGCTTAATTTCAGCGAGGCGTTACGTCTGAGATTATTATTAGACCGGGGCACCAAAGACGCGGTAGATGATAGGTCGGTCTTGAAAAGAGGGGCGGTTGATATCCGTTGGGGCTTGGGTGGCAGTTTGCGCTTACTGTTTACGGTTTCTGGCTTATGATTTGACGATTCTGCTGTAAATAAACTATCGCGACATAATAACGGCGGCTTCATGGAAAGCGCGTCGAGCTGTATGCATCACGTGTTGGATTTGCAGGATCGCCGCACACGATTACCAAGCGTGGACACCGGCCAGGGTGCCGCGGTGACCGGAGGCCCTTGCGCAAGCTGCTCGGCTCAACGTCATCTCATGACTTCAGAACTTCTCCAATCCTCCCATCTCCAATTGCACCAATTGACCAACCATTCAAGATGCTGCCAACACTCAGGAGGACGAGCATCCTCAGCAAGCTTTTCGGCGAGGTACGCTTTGCATCTTCCACTTCGATCGTGGCCCAAAAGCTAACCCGAAGCTCTCCGCGCGAGGGCACACGCGCCCATTAGTTCAAAGCCAAGACCGTTGTCACGCTCTTCCACGAGCCCGCGTCCGCGTCGTCCATGCGCGTTCTCAACCTGGTTAAGCAGGCCGAGGCCGAGGCCAACACCACCAAGAAAGATACCGATGTCGAAGTCACCTTGGACGTCCAGGAAGAACCGCCCACGAGCGACCAGGTGGCGATACTTCTGGATTACGTCGGTGCCAAGGACGCGGGCAAGATCATTCAGGGTGCGACGGACGAACACGGGGCGCTGAGGAAGTTCAAGGCGAACAAGAGCAGCTTCGTTAAGCCGTTGGTATGTGGCTGGTCCTCTCTTAGACAATGATGCGCGCGTGGATGGTGCGCGCGCTAGAGGATGCCCCAGGCTGCTTTTTTTTTTTTTTTTTGGTTCGTACTGGATTGCTGACTGTGTTCAGATTGTGGATTGGGGAGGTGGCAAGGTCGTCACTGATGATAACGAGTCGAAGATCCTGCGCCTACTGAAGGACGCGCGCGCCGGAGAACCTATTCCTGACAAATAAACGGGCAGAGTACCAAATGCTCATTCCAGTACACAGAAAACCTCTACTCCACGGTCCGGATCACCCCGGGACACGGTAGTAGTATTTGGGTAGTGGCGGCTGGTCAAGTATGACTCAAGTATGACGCCTCTCAACTCATATTCTCTTTGATAATCAACTCAAAAATTGTTTTCATGTTTTCATTGTCAAACTTTGCATTTACAACACGTGTTTCGTTCGGCCTTGGGTTGCCTCTTGGACATGCATCGATTGCAACCAACACGGCATTCGCAACAGCCTGTCCTCTACTGTATTATATGATCTTGATTGACATGCCTCCAACCAGTACCGTTCACGCTGTTGTTGTGAAGGAAAGTGCTGATCGATTTTTGAAGCCACTCTCCCGTGTCCCGGCCAAAACTACGACAGGTGATAGTGGCTTCGGTTCTGCACAACTGTCCTCCATTCCTGGGCAAGGCGCGGAAGAGGAGTGGCAGGACCCGAGCCGGAGGAGGGCCTTGGCACGAGGAGCGCGGGGTGCATGGGGTGCGCGGGTGAGTGCAGGTGAGCGCCGGCCATGTGTAGCCAGGTGAGTGAAGGGTGATTGTCAAGTTTGGCAGGCGCGCCCCCCGTTTGTGCGTCGCCAACGCCCGCCCACACGATGGCGTTGACACGTGCCTTCCTCTTACGGCTGCCTTCGGGGCTCCTACTTCTTTCCTCCGCCGCCACAAGATCTTCACACTTTGTCCGTCAAAACTTCAACCCTCGCTTTGCTCTTAGAAGCCTTTTTCACTGTCGGACCCCTCTCTTCGGCTTACACATCCTTCGTTGGCCGGCCTTGGCTCTCGTCGTACTCTACGGGCAACCTGTGTCGACGAGCCATGGCGAGCGCCGGCACTTCTCGTCCGCCGCCCGTCGCTCAACCGCCACCTGCCAACATGGCCGACAACCGACCGCGCGGCATCGTATTGGCGGAGGTCGCTGGCAAGGCGCTGTTCTCCACCAAGCTCGGTCAGGTTGCACCTCGTCCGGTATCCGATCCACCCGAGCCAGTGATTGCGCGCGCACCTAACATGAAGATGGAGATTGAGCACCAGATCGACCGCTTCGTGCAGCAGCTGCGCGACGAGTTTCCCACTCAGTGCAAAGAGATCTTCGTCGGTTACTACACGATCCACGATTACTTTGACGCTCATGACATTCATCGCCTCGGAGAGAAGTATCTCGCTTCCGCACTTGACTGTATCGCGAAGCAAAACAGTACCGCTGTCCAGGACTTCGTTAACGACTGGTGTCCGCGCAATCATGACAAGGTGCTGAAGATCTGCTACGGCACCACGCTCCAAGAGTTGTTCAGCGAAGGCGAAATCAAGGACCGTGGCGAGCTTTTCTTCACTATTGCTGTCATCAGCATTCGGAATGCCCTCGAGGCAACCGCTAAGAAGCAGCAGGCACGTGAAATGGCCCGCACTTGTGCCACCAGGAGTGAAGATACAAGCGGAAAGCAAGAGGCACCCCAGGCAGGCCCAGAGCCGAACGACCAGAGTCAGACATACAAAGTCGCACCGGGCCTACTCCGCGTTGGATGGCGCCAACCCCACTCGTCTCCTGCGGCGCAAGTAGACACTGTTCAGCCCATTGCGACGACGCGCTCTTCAAGCATTGCCGTACCTCCTGGTCCTATCATGCAGCCCCACGCTTCTCTGCGCAAGAACAGTCAGGCGAACACCTCTGGCCCGGCCACGCCAACCCTAGCCGAACAGACGACCTACTCGTCCGCGAAGTCGAACTCTTCCAGGAATACGCCTCGGGTGCCGCCCTACCATTCCAACATCGGCATGGTTCCGCCGACGCATCAGAAGAACCACAGCACGCCGCGAATGAACGCTCTTACGCCTGGTTTCATTCCTCAAAGCGCCATGTGCGCTCCTGCTTCAGTTGGTCATACTCACGGCCCGCATTCTCAGACTACCACGCCTCAGGGTATCGCTGCTCAACTCTACTTCCCTCCCGGTCCGTATCAGGGCATCCATCATGGTTTCGAGGCTGGCCCAATGCATAGGGAACTCAGTAAGCCCTATTTTATCCCCCATTGTACCGCTCTAAAAGCTGACTGTGACGCAGACCCCTATGCCAATTTCCCTGGTCCCTACAACATGCAGTCGAACAATCCTGACATGAATTACACGACACCCCAAGCCACTCCACACATGCATGTTGCACAACCCGCTGGAGTTCCCGGGCCAGTCAGCTACGTGCCCATCCCAGCCTTTACGTCACCTTCAATGGTACAGCCCGGTCTGGCCAGCATGACCAACTTCCATTATGGAGCAACGGCGCAAGACATGAGACCGCGACGCATGTCAGGACCGGCATCGCGTCATGACTATGGCCCGCGCTCCCAGAACAAGCAGTTCGGAAGGGGTCCTCGTGGCGGTCGGCGCAATTCCGTACGCGGAAACTACAATGGAGGCAACTTTCGGGCCCCTGCTCCTGGCCTAATGAGTTCCGCTGGCGACTCTCCTTTCAACAGTAGGCTTCCCGCAAGCAGCAGCGAGCCATTCCCGGCTTTCTCGCCTCACTTTGAAGCGTCCAGAATGGCTGAATCTGGAAATCCCCCACCTAACATTCGAGACTTCAAACCTGTTGTATGGGTTCACAACATCCACCACTCCCTCAGTCAAGATGAGGCTGCTAAAGAGCTGAAGTCACACTTCGAGCATCTACTCAATAGGCCTGTCATGGATGTGAAGGTCAGTACTGACAAGAACAACCACGCTTACGCCCTTATCACTATGGGAAGCTTCTACGATGCGAACCTGGCACTGGGCCTACATCAGTCTCTCTTCTTCGGCCGCCAGCTCACTGTCAAAGTCCCAACTAAGCATGAGCAACGGATGCCTCCGGGTCACGACCTTACGAAAGGTTATCCGCTGTCCGCACCTCGTCAGCCTGCTCAGACCCCGCACGCCAATCAGACTGTATTCATCAACCCTAACGAACCGGGTGTCATGGGAACTCTCGACAACTCTCGCAGGCTGTCGGCATCGGAGCGTTGCGTCTCGGCTGCCACAAGCAACCGGCGTAGCCGTGGTCCTTCTCGTACTTATGAGGCCTCTGCTGATAACCCTATGTCCTACTCACCTCAGGATGCGCGACGCTTGCAACCAACCGAAGTGTCTAAGCAGGCTACCGGAGACACTACACAGACCTCCGAGGACAATACACATGCGGTCAGGGATGATACACAGGCTACACAGGCTACACAGGCTACACAGTCTACACAGGCTCCGCAGTGCCTGCCTACTTCTACTACGGCCACGCCGACAGCCGACGTGGCTGTGCAGCGTCCGGAATCACGCGCTTCTTCTTCAGCAACTTCCACGAAACAAAGGAAGTGGAGTTCCAAGCGCGGTAAAAAGGGAGGCTCAAACAAGTCTAGGAGTGGTACCACAACCCCAGAGCCTTCTACAGCTAGCACCACCGAGCGTACTGCTATAGTTGGAAGGCAAAGTCCGCTTGAATCCGCCACGAAGTCCCACCATGATGATGCTGGTCTGGTGGACAAGAAAATGACGACAATCCTTCAGCTTCGAGAGCAAGAGAAGCAGCGCAGGCCCACTTTCCCAGAGGGTCAAAGTTCAAACGAGTCAGTCTCGACTCATGCTACGGCCGAAGGAAAGGCAAGCTTGACCCAAGAAGATTGCGAAGGCACGATAGCTGGTGAAGGAAAAGACGGAGGTGTCGTAGACATGGCCGACACAAACGCAGTGGAGCCAGAGAAGTCATCCACCAATCAAGGTATTGCTGGTGAGAGTGGAACACAGATCGATTCTGGTAAGCTGGAAAGGCCAGGTTCCAACCTGCGCCGGGCTGAAGTCGCGTTGCCAGATATCAACCTCCACTCTCGCAAGGAGAAGCAAGGCACACCGTCCGCTACATCAAGCACACGTGTGAGCTATGCCCAAGCAGCTGCTTCAGGCAAAGCGCCTATCGCGATGATCAACTCTGCTGTTTCCACTCGGTCTCCTGTTATGGAGCGAGAGGCCGAGAGCAGCTACTGCACCCCTGTAGAGACTCTTCCGTCTCCTGCGAAATCTGAGACGTCGGCCTTGATTACGCCGACGAAGGTTACCATGGGTCAGACAGAGTATGCAACGCCTGACAAGGACGACAGCTTCGTCACGGTGCTGGAAGAACCATCTTCGGTCACGAAGGAGGGCATAACTTTCGCGGATCTTCTACATGTGTCGAACGAACAAGCCGACGATAGTAGCACAATCTCTCCTGGAGGTGCTGACACTTCTACTACGGCTTTTGCGGATGAACCTCAGGCGGCCTCGTCTACCATCGCTGCGAAAGTTCACAGCCAGGCCTCCCCAGCGCAGATCGGAGAGGCTTCAGCCTCTGCATCGACATCATCGAAGGCCGAGGATGTCGCAAAGCATGCCGAGCCCGGTTCCCCCGTCGAGATCAAGCCCAGCTCTCCCACCGAGACCAAGCCCAGCTCTCCCATCGAGACCAAGTCTCGAGCCAGCGAGGATACTGACCAGACAGACAATCTCGAGACGGGAGGCTCCGAGGTAGCGGGGGGACCAGTGAAGACCGCTCAACCCAGCGGTTCAATCCACCCGAACGCTCGTTCGAAGAGCGACAAGAAGAAGCAGGCAAAGAAGGGCAAGTCGTATGGCAAAGGCAAGAAGGGTTCACTCGGTAGGCTTCCATCCCCCTCAATTTTGTGAAGGAACTTACGAAACGCAGCGCCCAAATAGCAGGCTCCCCTTCGGACGGCGGTTTCGAGCTCGTAGACATTCCTTCGGGCAATGACTTTGAACTCGTAGACCCCCCTTCAGGCGACGATTTCGAACTTGTAACCCCTGCAGACGAAAGTGACATCAGCACCAAGTCAGACTCAGACGACAACATGATCATAGTCAAGACCTCTGGGACTATCCGTTCTTGCTAGTGGCATGGCTGCTTGCGCGGTTTGTGACAGAAGTATTGCTATAGCCGACAAGGGATGATGTTGGATGAGGGCTTGGGGGAAATTACTAAAGGCGGAAAATGATATTTCAGGGTTGAAAGGGATTCTTACCACGCCTGGTGGCGTAGGTGGTCATATAATGGCGAGAAAATGGAATTCAATTGCTGATTTCCACCAACACTGACTCCTTTAGCAAGTCTGGATACTGATGAAGAATGATTGTTTGCAGATAGAGGGGGTTTGTGTAGTTCCATCTCTGCTGACCAAGGGTGACAGGTACCTCTGACGGACAGCACGACATGATGTTGGAAGTCCCATGGCTGGGCGGCATTGGCCTAATGAGGCAATACTAGGAGACGGGAGAGAGGCTCGCTCGCGTATGCGCCAAAGCAGGTGATCATCACTATCAACCAGGGCTTCGCGCTCTTTTCGTGTAGGCACATGTCTCACCTCCCTTTTGCCGCGACAGCCGACGGTGGCGGGCCTGGTAGGTATAGACCGCCTTTCACGATGCAAGCGGCCAATCCTCCCCCCACTCCAGCCTGGCCCTTGCGGACAACACATCACTGGCGCAGCGGGAAGGAATGGAAAGGCGGGACCCAGCGGCTAAAGCACTCATCACCGCGATCAGAAGAAGCCCCGCCGGGAGGCGCCGGCAGGATATTGATTAGCCTTGCATGAGGTGGCGCTCCCTTCTGCCTTCCCGGGCTGCTGGCTCCCTTGCAGGGCATTGAAGTTGGGTGGCTGATGAAAGCGAGTGCTCACACACGACGATTTTTTTTTTCTTTTTCACTTACCGCCTTTCGCTCGAACCCACGCAGCCAGGACGCCGTACGAGGCGGTGCCAACGCATCAAGCCCAGGGGACGGTGGGATCAAACCGGCGACTCCCCGTCAAGACGAAGCAAGAGCGAAGGCGTGTCGAAGCAAGCGAAGGGCGCGGATCGGCTGGCAGCGGCGTGCGGCGCCTAGGCGAGACGAACCGAAGATGATGGCCGCGAAAATCCTCAGCTTGTCACATATTTTCGGCCCCCACTTTGCTCAAGTCAGGCAGCATGCCATGCCTTGACCCTCTGTTCGTGAGCGAGCTCCACAACAACGTGCTGCGCGTGCCGGGGTGGAGACCAAGGGACTGCGGGCATGACAATTGATCAGATGGAGTGCATTTGGAGCTCCGCCGTCGAATCGAGCGTCCGCAGACACTGTCTCCTCTTACTTCCCGCTGCATGCCCCGAGCACGGCCAATCCTTGGACAGCACATCATCCCCTTCACTCCGCCGCGAGCCTTGACCCTTGTCTGCACCTCCACCCCCGAACTCGAGCCCCCGTCAAGGCCGCCCGGCAGAACATTGCACTGCCTGCCACGGCGTAATTGCGGCGCCGCCCCAAGGCTCCAGCGGAGAAACTCGAGGGACGAGGCCATGGAACTTGCCAACGAAGCCGCAAAGAAGGCATCGATGAGCAGCCAACACGACACATGGCTTAGCCACCACGCAACATGCATCGTCCGCCCGCCGCCCTGTCTACCGGTAATCGCCATATCCTTTCGCTCACCCGTGCTGTTTTCGTGCGAAAGGGCCCCTCCCCCACCCCCCCCCCCCCTCGTCCGGAGACAAAGCCGCAGCCTGCAGCCCGCAGCCCGCGCAGCATGCAGAGCGGCAGCGTGATTGTGTGTGCTGCCTGGCTAGCGACTCGTAAAGGGACGCGCCATGCACTACACACACCGCTCGCCGGCGGGCAAATCGGGAGCGAGGTCACATCGAAGGCGGTCGTACCTCCGCACATCGCCACATGTACGCACGCACGCCTCGAGCGCCTTGCAGAACGCTTGAGCAGACAAAGAGTCGAAGGCGGTGGGACGACGCGGCTGTTTTCTCCATTTGTGAGAATGATGGCGAATAATCACCCAATAATCATCCAGCGTTACATACCTGAGAGATGGGCTGATGAACCGACTGATCCTCCTCCCTCACGGCTCCGGAGGGCCCCCGTCCCCAGCGGGTCGTCTGTTTCCTCTGTCGAAGGCGGCGGTGCTGCGTAGGTAGGCTTTTTTATTTCTGCGCAGCTGCTGCTTCGCATCTCGTCATCCATGGTGGCATCGTGGCCCCCAGCCGGCGACGAGTAGGTAGCACGCACGCCGAAAGGGCGCCCAGGATAGGACCGACCGGCGCGGCGGCTGAGAAGGCCCGCATCTCCGTCGTTGCGCCGCGCGCGGGAAACGCTAGGTCGGCTAGAGAGAGAATCGGCTTTCTGCAGAAACCCAGAGGGCCGGGGGGAAGCATGCCAGACGGACGTCGTCGTTCATGCACGACACGAGGATGCGTTCCGTAAAGAAACCCGCAGTAGTACGTAGTAGTGACAGGGGGGGGCCGTCGATGGTTCGCCCATCGCCCGTGTAGCTGATGTGCGTTTTTTTTTCCCATCCATCCACACAACATGCGGTTTTTCTTTTTGCCTTTCGGATTTACACCTTCGGCCGTTAATCATCAGGCAACCTGAGAAGGGGGGGCAAGGCCTTTGCCTGCTCTCGGCGGTTCTCTCTTTGCTCACACACACACACACACACACACACACACACACACACACTCCCTCTCTCCCTCTCCCTCTGCAAATGCCGCTCTCCGCATGTCTATTTCCTTGGCTAGTTATTGGTCCCCACGCAAAATGCCCGTTGCCTCGCGAGGAGGGGTAACCGAAATGCTTATGCTGATGCCAAAAAGTCACTGCGCCGCGCTACTACCTACTACCAATGGCCCCTTCCGCCCCTCCTCCTCCTCCTCCTCCTCCTCACCAACCGACCGCGTCCTCGTCAACGACGGTGCACACGCCACCAGGAGGGAGTGGATTGCGGGAAGAGAAAAAAGAGACACGGACGGGGGCCGATCTTCGCGAAGCGGGCCCCCCTCTCTTTTCGGCATGTCGTCCCGATCTTGGTCTTCTTCCATAATCGACGACGAGGGAGGGGAGGGAGGCAAGGGCCCACGTTCGGGTTCGTTGGCACCTGACCATGATGATGAGGGAGGGTGTGTCCCGGCCGGCTGGGTTTCTTTAGGGCTGGCTGCAGGCCGCTCTGCTGGGGTTTTTTTTTTTTTTTACCTTCGAGCGGGCTCACGGCCCACGAAGATACGGTGAGCGCTTTCCCGCGAACCGCGCGGACGGATGAGGGGGGGGGGAGGAAGGGGGCGATGAACGAGCGAACGGAGCGGGCTGCGTTGCGTTGCGTTGCGTTGCGTTGCGTTCCGTTGCGTTGCGCCATGTGTCTTGCTTCTTTTCCCCTCCCCCGCGCCTCTGCTTCTATCTTCGTTCCCGCATTCCTCCTGCTCGGCAGGGTGGCCGGGCACGGCGCGCGCGCGCGCGAGCAAGAAGGGTCCCCCCCAAAAAAGGGAGGGGGAACCCGTTTGTGATTGGTTGTGGCTCATCTGTAGGTACGCGCCACATCATCGACGACGACGACAACCGAGCGGTCACCAATGATCGTCGTATCGGGGCATCGTCACCGTCATGGAGGGGAAAAAAAAAAAAAAGAGGGCAAACACGTACAGTAGGACAAAGCGTTTGCAGGAGAAGAGGGGCATCATGACGATGGGCTAGTAGTTAAGCAATGCCGACGCGCTCGATGGGCGATGGCTGACGTGGGAGAGTGGAGAGGCCACGAGAGCTGCTGGTGCTGGTTGCTCCATGCGCGCCGTTACCCTCTTTGCCCACATCTGACGACAACGGATTCACGTAGCCGCGAGAAGCCGGCCGTTTGGGACCCGGCGATCGTCGGAGAGAGAGAGAGGGGAGTAGTCAGCGGCCAGACGTGCTTCCAAGTTTTTTCTTTTCTTCTTCCTTCTTCTGCTGCTCGAACCAACGTTGGCGAAGAGGGGCGGGCGTGCGCGTGCATCCGGGGCGTGCGCCACTTCCTCCATCATCACCATCCTTCCTTCTGTCTCCTCTCCTCGCTCCGTCTCTAGCGATGCTCGGCTGTCCCCCCAGTCGGGCAAAGCATCCGTACGATGTAGAGATCATCTCGGACGATGGCTCGAAAGCGGGTAAGGACGATGGCTTTTGCTCTGCGGCCCAGACACAATCTGCGGCTCGTCGATGATGATGATGATGATGATGATGAAGATGATGATGGGAGAAGATGAAGGTGCTGATCAACGTACGCGCGCACGTCGATTCTCGATCAACGCCTCCCCATTAGGTAGTCCACATCCACTACTGCCAGGGCCCTCTTTTTTTTTCTTCCCACGGTCTTACGAAGAAAGTCATTATTGCTCTTCTGCCCACTTGGCGTCCGTCGTTTCTCCATTGCCCTTCGGCCATTTTCCATTTCACTGTCCGTCCGTCCCCCTCTCCCCCCCCCTTTGATTAGCCTGCTTTTTGCATTGCGCCCTTTTGTCATGGGCGCGCCAGCCGCCTGCACATCAAAAAACAAGCCCTACTCGCGTCTCTTTTCATCAGGGGTCCCCACACCACCAAACCTTCTTTTCGTTTACCGGTCTCCGATCAGCGTTCATCATTTCGTTGAAAAGAGGAAAGTGCACACGCGGAGCGGAAACAAACGTACGATTTTCGCGGAGATTGCCACCGGGTCGAAATGATCATGGGGAGGGGGGGAAGGGAGGGAGGGGGGGGGGGAGGCAACACATGGACCATGATGGTGAACAGGGGTCTTTGGACTTCATGCCCTCCGTGCTCCCTTTCCTTTCTCTCTTTGACGTCCCAGCAGTCTTTGCTTGTTTCCATCTCGTTATTTTATTGCGATCTCGGCGGTCTCTCTCGCCTTTTTTTTTTTTTTTTGCTTTGTGTCAGTGCAGCTTGGCTCCGTGCAGCGCTGCGCCGTGCGTTCGTCATGCAATACCAAGCAACAGCGCTTTGATGTCCTCCACCGGGAAGGGCAGGGGTGTGGATGTGGGTGGGCGTGTGTAGGTACGTAGGTATGTGACAGCCAGGCATCCGCGACACGCACACCCCTGGTGGTAGGGCTGGTCGGCA